TCGGTACCGAGTCTGGTAGTTGGGTAGGCCTGATGAGGCTGGGTGATTTGGGTGATTTGCATATCTATATCGCATGCCACATTAATAAATAAATAAATACTACTATACAGTGTCTGTATATAAAAGCCATGTTCATAAGCCGACCTAGCCAAATAAATCCACTGGGATTTGCCTCCAAGACATAAGTACAGGCTTTTTGAATGAAAAAAAAAGCAATATTCAAAACATCAATATTTATATGAACTATCCCTATGAGCTTTTTAAAAGCATAGCATCCTAAAATAAACATGCATAGACAGAGAGTAAATAGTTTCGAGCCTGCTGTATGGGACTAAGGATATTAACTTCTGATTGCAGTAACACCTCTCTAGTGATTTTTTTCATATTTCAGCCAGAGGCCAAGTCATGATTCAAGTATAATGGGTATGCTTCAGCTCATAATGTTCATAGCCTGTGATTAAAACCATATTATTTTGTTCTCAGATGATGAAAACAGGTGAGCACGCACTTCCGTGCTAATCAGAAAACCCAACTTTGACAATGTGGATTTTGCCTACTGGAATCAAAAGATGAAAAACAAGAAAATGTCTTTATTATGTTTCTTTTGAAATCAGTGATGGTTGCCTTAAGTCATGTTTTTTCTGTTCCTTAAATAACAAGATACATATGGCAAAAACAGATGCTTCATAGCAACCTTATTTCTTTTCAACTTTGGTGAAGCCCGCTGAAACATATTTTTGCGGCAAAGCAAAATTTGAAACAGCACAAAATATTTGCTTCATGAATGAATCACAAGTCAATAAAACATAACTTTCAAGTTTGCATAATTGCGAAGATATACATGTACACTGCAAGCTGTACTATGTAAATAACATGCACCAGCTGGGTTTGCTTGCTCTAAATTTGAGCTTTCACATCAGCTGTTACCATATCCCTCACGTGCAGCACACTTACTAGTACTAATTTAGAGCAATCAGCTCTATTCAAATGAAATCTTATTGGTAATTGTGTCAGTATTCATTGACAAATATTTACATGATAATGTCATTACTTATACAAATTGTAAAAGTAAAGGACAAGCAACTAATCAAGCATGATTAACTCTCCTAGTGCTTTGATAAAATAATTCATTTATGATTATAATCAAAATAAATTTCAGAGACAGATGCTTTGTAATTAAACCCTTTTTTAACTTCTATCCGTATTAAGATCACATGTGTGATGGCTGTTGTGACTTCCTGAATTCAGCTCAGATGAAAAGATTTATCAAATTTTAAGCAGCCCTGACTCACTATTTACATCCATGGTCCTCACACACGAGTGGGGAACAGGATATGCACTGTGACATTACAGATTGGCTAACATGCATTTAGAACCTTCAATGAAAGCAAATGCCTATATAGTAAAGATGTGTACTATTTAAACTTTAAAATCCTGTAAATTACTATTTTTCATTCCTGTGCAAAGCAAATCTTATTCTAAAAACCACACTGCATAAATTTGCATTGGATAAACAGAATCACTACATTTTGATCTTATTTTGAAAAATAAAAAAACTGAGTATAAAAGCCAAAAAATAATTTTCATCACTTACTTACAAGCATTTTACTATTTACAACACCACTGTCAAAAACCAAAATACTGTACAATATCCTTGTGAACATCTATAGCCAAATTAAACAGCATTAGTCAGCCTACAAACGATGATTATTATCATGATCATTTATTGAGAAGCTCTGCCATACTGCGTCTTACTAAAGCATCATCAATCTTGTACCAGACATAATAACGGTTACATGGTTATGAATCGGTATTACGTTACTAACAGTGGGGACGTTATGTATATACTGCCGGTACAATGTATGAAGGTTTTAGTATTCCAAAACAGTTAATAAGCTTGACAGAAAATTACCAGTGCCTTTAGAGCAATGCATCTGTGATAAAAGATGAACTTTGTTATTTGCATTCCACAAAGTGATACTTTTAGAGAAATGGGAGAGGGACAAGGTAAAGTTTGTCAACTTTGTGGCCCACCTGTAAACAAACTTCGATTCCGTAAGGCTGTGAATATACTGTGGATATCTACGTTAACTTTCTAGATACAAAGAATAACTCACCAGTCAGTTAATGTTTTCAGCTACTTCTTAAAAGTAAATACCGTTCTTTAATGCAGCTTTGCACCCGAATAGGACTCAGCGTTGATAGAAATCTTAACTTCCGTTTACCGCGCCATGTTGTGACCTCAGCCTCCCACGCTTTAAATGTCACGTGGTAAGAGTCACGCCCACTTCTTTATAATCTATCACAACATGGTTGTGATAATTTTTATTGCCGTTTTATTATGATTATTAGTAACTTTGTCATGTTTCATTCTTTTCAGATATAAATATCTGTTGCTTCATTTCTCGACTTTCATGCACAATGCATATTTCACAGGGCCATTTCTGTAGTGGCGATCGAAGTGCATAAAATCGCACTTTTAATATATCTAAGTATTATTTAATATAGTTTTAAAATTTTGATGGCCTAATTAATTAACCTTACTGCATTTAATTTTCATAACTGTAAGGTCATCTTTTGATAATATTTATATTGCTCATTAACACAGTATATTTATATTTTGATTATGCATTTAATAAAAACACTATGTTAGTTTCAAATTCGACTATATGTATTTTTTCACATATTTATCATTTGATATCAACTTAAACTTGAAATGACCATTTTAATTCATTAATTTATTCATTATAACCTGTTTATTTTCAATTATCCGCCATTCTCTTTGCACTCCCAGCCCACATCTTGGATAGATTTAAAAATGTTCATTAGGACGATTTGTGATTGAAAGTGAAGTTTTAAAATAACTCTTCTAAATCTTCACCTTTATCAATTTATTTATTTAAGATAAAAGTGGCTTTAAGGTCAAGGATGTAAAATTCTATACAAAGTTCTAAAATTGATTTGGCAAAGAATGTGAAAATTTACAAAATGCATTTGGGTTGAAACAGCTCCCATAGCTAAATAGTCAGACTCTGCTTTCAACCTGGAAATCAGAAGAAAAGAACTGCATTAAATTGTACATAATATGAGAGTATAGGTGACACACACACAAATAAATACTGAATATTACACACTGCAGCATTAAATTAACCCTTTCCTGGTCAGAAGACACAAAAAGGCCTGATTGGTGTGTGAGTGTGTGTGTGTGTGTGTGTGTGTGTGTGTGTGATGGGGGGGGGGGAAGGGGGGGTGCTGTCCTGGTCAAATCGCCCATGTAAATTGAGTTATTTTTAAATAGCTCTGTTTTCAATATTTTTTAATCAATCATCTTGAAATTTGGTATTTTAATGCAAGATTGTTTTTTTTTTTTTTTTTTTTTTTTTTTTGTATTTCAAGTTATAATAATATTTCTTATTGAAAGATCATTATTTCCTCCAATTTTTATGCAATAATAAATATATAAGTGAATAGGTAATAATTTTGACAAAAAATAATGCAAAGTTGAGAAATACACTAGTGGTATAACAACTAAATATTGATTTTTTAAGAACATAAGTACTCGAGCATTTATATGTTTTCTATCAACAATGAAAATTTCAAGCGGTTAAGATAAAAAAAATAAATGTTAGGACATTTTAAGTAAAGTGCACCATTTAGTGCACCAGTAAAATGTCATTCAGAATCTGTAGAATTAATAGGATTCTCCAAGTAATGACTTGGAAATTAAGTGACCAAGAAAGGGTTAATTAGGCCTAATGAACAATAATTGCCCTTTGTGACTTGGAACCAAAAATTCGTGACTTGCCAAATTCAGTATCTATATAATCGAGCCACAAAATCACTCTTCAAGTCATTAATCATTAATCGTCTCTGATTTGTGGCTTTAAGTTATAAAGTTTCCTTTGTAAGGCCTGATAAATAAACATGGATTCGCAAAATGCCAAAAAAGCCTTTAAAACAGAAATCATGAAATCACTATAGTAAACTATACCATAAGTGAAAATATAAGCAATGGAAATGTCTCTAAACACCTTAAAACAACACGAAAATTAAACTTACAAACTTCATTTATTCACAGTAAATGCCAAACAAAAGTATAATAACATTGTGTTGTGTTTATAGGATTTTACTAGAAGCAATCAATTGAGTTATGTGCATCCTTCAAAAAGTCTTGCACAATAGTCAAAAGTGACACTGACAGAAATTATTTAGGTGGATATATATGTTAACATGGCCAAAATTGTTCAAAATATCTTTTTCCCCCAATTTCTTTTATATTTAATACTTATCGTATGATAGGAAAATAAAATAAAACACTTTTAGAGCAAAAATCCCCTTTTTTGTCATTTTATTCACCACCCCATGTGCTTTTAGCTCAGCCCCCTTTAAATGTCAAATTAACTGCTTTGTAAATAGATGTAAGATAGTGATTGGTTTGTGGGGTAACTCTGTAACCAAGTCAGATATTTTCACAAAAATTGGTATGGTTGATAAAAGAGGTGTGATCTAAAATTCTTTGCATTTGCTTTTGAAAATTTTTGTTTATGAGAAATGAGCCCCTAATTACAATGTTCCATCAAACCACTGAGCTACTATGAAGCTCATTGATCAAAAACATTATTTCACCTTTCTACTGATAAAATCAAAATTAAAGGGATAACAGCTCTTCGTATGAGATCTATATTTCACAATAAATGCATTGTAAACAACTCCTAGAAATATAATATTCTATTTTACCACAAAAAAAAGGAGTTATAGCAATTATTCTGCAATTTGTGCTTGTCATCGGACCACGTGACCTCCATAGATGGCTATACTCTGTAATAATCTCTTAAGAGATTATTACATAGAACCAAACTTTTTAGAAAAAAAAAAAAACAGGGACTAACTTTGAATTTAGAAATAGATTCATTAACCATTGGTAAGTATGGAAAAATTGTCGTTCACCCCAGGAAAATCCATTTTTTTGGCCAAAATGAATAGTTGTTATCATTTTAAGCTTTTCAAAAGAAATCCCTGGCAACAAATTGTACTACTTTTGGTTGTGATGAAAAAAAGGCATTAAAATGTTGCAGGTGAGGGAGAGCTGTTCAAATTCCAAAACAATTTTCACCACAAAAACACTAGTACTGCTGTTATGTCATCAGTTGGAATTAGCAAATTCACCCCAATGTATTTTTGATGTGACAGCTTTATCTCATAACAGGACAAAGTTTATTTCTGCATTATAAAGTGAATAAGAAAATATTTCCTAACATATATAAGTGCTAATTTATCTAAAATGACAAATTCATAATGGGCAAACACATGGTCTAGTTCTAGTGCATAGTTGGTCAAACAAATAATATAATGATTAAAACAATATTTTATATGAATTAATTAGATCAACTTAAATATACAGCTGTGTTGACAAGTATTAGTCTGCCTTGAGCCTAAGTGACAATCTATAAGGTGTAGACTTACGTTCTTAATCAACTTCTGTGGCCTGAAACTTTATACCAGTTGATCAAATTAATTTCTAAGTGATTGTATTATCCAAGACATGGTCGAATGTCTCTAAGTATAGCTAAATTCTTGCTCCATTTGAATTTGCACAGAGGGCAATTTATCTACAGAAACTCCTATATATATATATATATATATATATATATATATATATATATATATATAGGGCAATATTGATTTCAGTTATGGTCTAAGTATGCATCTGAAGCCATCTTTGGTCTGGTCAAAGAATTACACCTATACACCTTTTAATCTGTTGTGTGCACAACACACATGATAATACTGTTGTGATCACTGATGTTCTCTGATATGGAAAGACTAAATCAAAATACATGTATTTGATATATGTAGAGTCACATACTACTCAGTACTTCTCAAAAGAATATGCATAATGTAAATCGCAACCTTGTAAAATTGTCAACTGGTATAAAAAACTCAGCTAACAAACATATTATATTCATAACCATTAAACTTTTTAAAAATTACACAAATTTGTCTAAAAACTCACACTATATGTTAAAATTGGGATTAGTTAATCACAGCCTCCATCTTTGACCAATGTTTACATTGTAATGAGGATTTTTTTAATGAAGTGTATGAAATAACAGTACAAACAGTACAGTACAAACTATGCACTTGATTATTATATTCATTATTTCAGTATCTGCATTAAAAGAAATAGTTTTCACTTAACTGTTGAACATATCAAGATGTATGTTAATTTATATCATATGTTAAAATTATTTCTTAAAATGAACTCTTCTTGAAAAAAATTATGATGCACCTCTTCTGATATAAAGGGTAATGAACAAAGAACAATGAACCTGCAAAAAGTAAGGTGCAATTAAAATATTTCTATAACCAGTTCACTCTAAAAATATTGAATCCAATGTCTATATTCATAGCATTAATTTACAAATAAATATAACATTAAAAACAATATCTTGAAAGTAAGATCAATTGTGCACACCCACTGCCACTTACAAACTAAGGCAACAATGCAAGTAAGCACTCTCTTAGTCATACAGTATGACTGTTTTGATATCACATGAGGAGATGAGGCCAACAAACTGCAAACACAAATGTCAGTCTCAAAAACCAATACTTCTGTCTTTTAAATTTCCATTAATCGAAGTCAGGGCTGCTATATTTCATAAATGCTTTCTGAGATTTTCCTAGAAATCTGGAGGAAAACAACTGCCTGGCACAGTTGCTTTTATTTAATGTCAGGTTTACAATATTGGAAAATGTTGCAATAGAAAGCCCTTAAAAATCACATTTGAAAGTTTCCAGTAGCCAATTTTCAAATCTTTTTTAATTTGCTTTAAGTTCATACCACATAAAACAACAGCTGTTCAGAACCATTTCATGCAGCCTTATTCATAAAAATACATTAAAGTCAACTTAAATATGTAATAAAAAGAACTAAACATTTAGGTATACTCTTGAAGAATGATCATGACATGATCAGAAACCTTAAAGCCAGCCCTGAGAATAAAGGGAGATTCAAATGCCTTTGAAGAATGAACAGTCATATTTGAATCTATGTCCAAAGTGCCTTGGGTACCATTCCTTCCTTGGTTACAATAGAGGGTTCTAGATTTTCCTCTTTGAGAAATTGCAGAGGGAAGAAGACAATATTGCCTTTAATCTGCTTCAATTCTAGTTTTGCTTTCCTTGGATTAGACTCTGCAAGAGGAGTTTGTTTCTGCAGCTCCTTCAGCTGTGACATGTTGTGGATGTCATTGTTGGGAATGCAATTAAAGACCTGCAATGTATAGATAAAATCATAAAGGACCACTTCTCTTATATGTCTCCCCAGCTCTAAATTTTTTATTTCAGAATTTAATCAAAGATCTCTCGCTCTTTTTTCTCTGTCTCCTTACCTGTGTATAAACTTTGGAGTTAATGGCTGCCCTGTGTAACCAAGTCTTTTTATACATCTCGTTGCACACAGGGTCTGTCACATCAGTTTCATTGTCTTTAATTCCTAAATGCTCTCTAAGGAGGAAAACAAAGTTTTAACATAAATATGATAAAAATTTACAGTTTCCACTTTTCAACAGTTTACAATAATTTACACAAAACAAATTCAATATGAAGAAATTATTTTAATTTTGTTGTAATCTTATATTTGCTACAGTTGTCATATTAGCTTAAGCATGTATTTACAAAATAATCATTCTTCTCTAGGTGTAGACAGTTAAAGAATTTAGATGTGTTTTGTGCAGTGGGTAAAAAATTGTATATTACATAATGTAAAATCAGAATAAAGAGGAAAAAATACTAGCCTAAATACTGTCCTTCTGAGACTGGAAGCAAATAACCCTGCCTCATAATCTTTTCCATTCATCTTGGAAGCCAAAGTAGCTTTGTCCTTGGGGAAGAACAGAAAAAAAAATTAGAGATAGATTAGTTGTTCTACAAACTAATTCCCAGAGCACACTGCTCTGTCTGTCAGTAAATTTAGTTGCCTCTAATGAACAAATGGAGAAAATGGATTATGACTCACCCATTTTATTTTTACTTCATTAATGTGGACTTAAAATTGCTTCACGATTTCAGTGCAATGGACAGGAATAAAATAAATAATTTAAAAAAAGGTTAAAGGTGAAAAAAAAAATCATAAACACAAGCATACACAAATCCACACACACTTATCAATCTACAGTGATATACCTAAGCATATTAGTGCTGCAGTTTCCCTAGCTACTTTTCACTTATATATTAGATGACTAACACTATTCAATAATTTGGCTTAATGGTGATGGATTGTTTAATCAAAGTTGGCATAAGGCCACTTATAAAAATAGACGAAAACCAAACACTAACGCACTCACTTGCACAACAAGAGCACACTGGCATGCCTAATGTAATACGTGCACTAAAAGCCAACATGAAGATACCATTTTTTTTTCCAAGACAATACACCACAACATTATCAAGTGGTATATTATTTTTTAAATATGCATATTTGAAAAATAATATATCCCTTGATAATTTTTCAAATAATTATTACACATCTAGCTTCATCCATCTATTTTGTGTCAGAAGTAAACTTAAGCAAACAATCTGCTAGTTGACAGGAATTAGCTGGTAATATTCTGATAAGAGAGACCAAATATGGCCCATATTTCAAACTATAGACAGAGTGACAGACTAACCATTTCACAACAGCATCACTAAAACCTACTCAGTGAATACTATACCAAATCTATCAAGATAATACATCTTGTATTCAAGGCCTTATAACGAGGGTTCTAGAATTATTTTAGTTACTGGAACATGTTTCTATCTTAACACAAGGGAGTAAAAGTGAAAATAACTTACTTCATATAGGACAGCCATCTCACTATCCCTTTTGCCTAACAAACTGCGGTCATTGATGTTGGCTGAGCCTATGATCACCAAGTTGTCATCCACAATTAACATCTTACTATGCACATAGATCAGCTCACAAACCTAAGGGTAAAGATAGTTACATTTATGCATTAAACAGTAAGCAGACATTTAATCTTCAGGTTATAGCAAAATGAAAAAGTTACATTATATAAGTTTTTTTTAAGTTTAATGAGAGACTTGGCATTTTTCAATAGCTAAAGGAAAATGTTGCTTTCACTTATCATCTTCAATTGTCATATCTTACTTCTATTATCTTATGATTAAGTATAAGGATAATATGCAAAAAAAATACTATTAGTCTTTATTTCCCCAGTTTTGAATGTGAAGTAAATTACCTACTGGCCATTTTCAAATTCTTTGAGCTGTAAACAGCCATCTATTTCTATAACAAGCATATTTGTTAAGAGCATCATTTGTGCATCATAAATTTAAACTTACAAGTTTTCCATTCAGCACATCATGGTTTCTCAGACCATAGAATGAGATGTATTTGAAAGGGTCGGTCACTTAAAGTAAACAAAAGCACAACTTTTTTGATAACAAATCTGTTTGAAGTCGGTGAAAGGCATTAAAATTAAACATAAAAGTATGTAACATTATATTAAAGTCGAGATTATTATATAAGAAAAGCACATTTCACATTTTTTAAAAGTTGATTTTAAAACAATGACTTGAGAAAAAATCATATCATATTAGTCATAGTCTTATCAAAAACTGCTCTCTCTCTCTCTCTCTCTCATCGGTTTACTTACTGTGCTTGAGGAGTCTCTCTAATAGTGACTTCCCTCCTCTACAAATGGACTGATAGTTCCAGTGTGTAACTGTTCGTAAAGCGGCACCAGTTGTATCACCTATTTTTCCTTCAAACCCTGGCAGTAATGGCAGCACCACATAAACACGGAATGTTTCATTATTCCTGTAGAAATATAAGTACTCGCTAAACACATCATTATAAATTTAGATTTTTTGTATTTTGATGACTGTACTTCATTCATAACAAAACTGCAAGGACCAAAAAAGTACAAAGTATCAAAATCTCATAGATTACTCTTCAAGTTGATGATGCCTCATATTTAGAATCATTTAAATATTTCAACCTCAATCATACAGGTTATCAAATATAATATTCTGTAAAAGATTTTGAAAAAATATTCTCACTCATGAGCTTTGATGATCCTCTTGTACAAGGCCTCTCCTATTCCATTATGAACATCTGGATGTTCATACACAGTGATGAAAAACTGGTTCTAAAACATTAAATAAAACCATCATGATTGAGGTAACTCCATTTGCAAAAAAAAAAAAAAAAAAGAAAAAGAAATCGCATGCAGAAAACCAAATCGATAATTCACTGTTCTTGTTAAGACAAAATAAATACAAAGGATGAAATACAAAGGAGATTGAATTATATAGCTACTATGGACTGTGAAACTAAATAAAGAATTTTTCTTTGCAACTACAGTTTTCTACCAATAAAGAATCTTGAACTCACCTCTATATAAATGTAATGTTTGGCATCTTCAATGGCCTTGATGTATGCCTGCTGGATGGAGTCCTCTGTTCTAGCTATTCCTACTGACCAGGAGGAAGCACTACGCAATACCTACTCAACAGTAATCATAATAAAGATATATATACATATATACATACATACATATATAAAGTATGAGAGTGATGAAACTAAAAAGTATTACAGACTTCAGTCAAACTGGGCAGTATAAATATGGTCAAAAAGCATTGGATCTGTTCTGCAAGACAATTTAACATACCAAGTTTTCATGTCTGTTTTCATATATTATGTGACTATCTCTTACCTGAGCTCTACAGTAAAAGGAGTATTTTCTGAGTCCTTGAGGGACAGCAGTATGTTCATAAGACTTTGGCACCAAGAAAGGGTAGTCATGATTGTATTTGGCCTTGGTTTGCTAGTAACAAAATAGAAAATGTCTTGCAAATGGCTTTTTATTAACAATGTTCATAAGTTACTACAAATAAGATACACTTAATGATTCAAACAAATTTCAAGAAACAAAAATGCCATTTCATGCATATCCTACTTGTTCATAAAATATATCATTGATCAACTACCTAATCTTAATTACGTGTTTCATTCTGTAGTGAGTACAGTCATGACCAAGCATCATCATAAGTGGGTGTCACCTTTGTAAAGTTCCAGCGCTGAATAAAATGCCTAGCGACATCTCTGGCAGGTTTTCCAAACACTACGCTCCCTATGTCATGCCAGGGCATTCTGGGAATGGTGTTTCTGTCTACACTGTCTGTAACACAAAAATTTCGGAAAAAGTCAGCTGACATGCAGTTACCTTTCAAAGTTTACAATTGTCTTAATCAAGAGTAATAAAAGAAAATAAATGGAAATCTAAAAAATACATAGATAATGCATGCACAAAACTTGTCAAATAGGACTGACAAGATATAATCATAATAAGATTTGATAAATCAATAAAAATTCTTAAGTTCCATCAATTTAATTGGAAAAAAGAAAGATTGTGTAACAGAAGTGTGTATGGCATCATTTACCAGCATATGGTTCTTCTACCCCACCAAAGTCTTTTAAGATGAAGTTGGCATAGTCCTTGCCTATCCAGATCTTTGTGTTACCCTCAAGTCCCATTTCCTTCAATTGGTCCTCATTAATTGCTGATCCATGTGTGCTATACATGAAAAAATCCACATCAAAATACATAAAACAACCTTTCTTCTCCCTACAGAAACTTCTGATAGTCTTCATGAGAACTTAACTTTGATAAATGTTATAATTCAAATTTATAAATACCACTTAGCCTTCCAACCACTTTATTAAAATAAATATCTCTGAAAATGCTATCATACAACACTGCTTCTCTAAATCTTAAAAAACACTTTTTTATCTCCTAAAAACAGAAAACTGAATATCAATAAAACTGTAAACTGGTAAAAAAAATCCAATTAGAAAGCAAAATTAGAGGACAAACCTGCAAAAGTTACCAAATGCATTTGCCATTACTAAAGCAAGAAATAAATTCTGATAGTTTGGGTATTCAAATTTACCTCCTATCAGATTCAAGCAACGGATAATAAAATCTAACCCCATATAAAGCAATGAACAAAGTGTTATAAAAAAATATCAAATAAAATTTTGTCATATGTTAAGCATTAGTTGCAGCTTACAGAAATATCTGTAAAATAATGAATTGAAGCAAATAACTAAACAGATAAATGAAACATTGCATTAATGCAAGATCCTAATCCCAGTGGAGTTTGACAGAAAATTAATAATCTTATCAGAAAATGAGGTTTGCTTTCTTCATTCCAAAGAAACCACCATGGTTAAACAAAAAGTAGAAAAGGAATAGAGTGATGGAGAAAAATCCACAGAAATAATACCTTTGGGGAGAAATAAATCAAATAATGAAAGCTAGGAAAATAAATCATATGAAAGCTATGAAAGCTACGCATGATTACCATTGCAAAAAATAAATAAATTGTGGAACTTACAATGAAATCTTACTGAAGTTTCTAGATTTTTTTAAACCCCTGCAAAGATGAGAGAAAACTTCTGCCTTATTTCTCAGACATGATTTTAAGTAATTAGGTATAAGTGACTGTCAAGTGTGCAGCTCATATTAAAAATACATTATCTGATCATGTTTGCAATCCTACAAAACCCGGTTGAGAGGAAATATCTCAAAGGCAAGCACTACCATGAAAAACATGCATACAATATATGCCTTACTAAGCAAACCAATCTTATTTATAAGCCTTGCTTGGATGGAAACTTATTCCATGTCAGTACTGTGTAGAAAAACAGTACAATTTCTTTTGAAACACATTTTGTACAATTGAACATAACAAAACTGACTGTTTTATTGTACAAAGCAGATTTTTATGAAAATATATTACATGCAAATTTGATAACAACCAATTAATGAGATAAATTATATTTTGAGTTGTCAATGAATTTGTAATCAATGTAAGTGCTGAAAATGAATTTTTAACATAAATTGGTCTTATTATACAATGAACAGTTTCATGTATAAAAATCATGAATAAAAAATCAATTTCAATTTTTTGCTATGATTCTAAAAAGCTGGAAGGCATAGTGTAGGCCAATAGTACAACTCACAATCTGCTGCTATACAACATCTTTTGTTTGTCCATGAATTGCCTAGGAGTAAACATGTTTCATTTCAATGACAATGAGCTTTGTCAAAAAAAAAACTTACCTTATTATGCACCTGATGCAAGACACATAACAATTGTGCAACTAAAATCATACAAACTTTAAATATTACTAATAAAGACACAAACACCTTTTCAGGCAAAAAAATATTATAAAAAAGAAATCCCATTCACAAGCAATGGCTTAAAAACCTTAAACAAAGAGATGAAGCAGGAGAATTTCTGAAAATGAAATACATCACATACAGCATAAGACACATGGTAACATAGAGCTGCTCAAGGGAATACTGGCAATAACATTCCTGAACATGCAGCTACCATGAAACAAATGATACATGCTGATGCTTCACGTGAATATATATATATATATATATATATATATATATATATATATATATATATATATATATATATATATCCCACCCCCACCAACCCCATTTTCAATAAAAGATTGATATTGGTGTTATTTCTTTTCAGCTAACCACAACATGGCTTTTCAAAATATGTACTTATGTACCTCTCACTAGTAAGAAAAGCTTCTTACCCCTGCTCATATCCAACTAATAAATGGAAAAAACCTTTCTAGTTTTGTTTTTGATGGTTTCACAGATATTATTCAATAGCAAATAGTGTAAAAAACAACAAAATGCAACCAAGCTGTTATTGCACAGCTTATTCTGTGCATTTTAACAAGAATTAATTATAAATAACAGTTAGTTTGATGACTCACTAAAATAAGCTTTGTAAAATACAACAGACAAAGGACCTAAGACAAAGTCTACTACGAGTGACAACATCACATGAACAGCTGCATTCCTTCAAAATGCCAGTCCCATTACCTTATACATCTGTTACACAGCTTAGTATAACACACAGCTACCAACTGATGCTTTACACACGACAGGTGTGACACTACCTTATTTCCCTCAAAATTGTTTCCTCTACAGAAAAGGGAATGGATATTCATAATAAACATAGACAGTTGTAATAATTCCTAAATAGAACAATACTTTCACTTTCCCACAAGCTTGCCATCTAGATCAGAAGTTGTGAACAGTACTAGCTTAAAATCCACTAGTCCTAAAATATTCAAAATTTCATATTGACTGATCTTTGTTCATGCACTATTCCTAGTACCAACATGTTCATCTGGGGAAAAAACACTAAACTTTGTTGAGTAAAAAAGAAACAGTTTTATGCAGTTATGTTTAAGATTTTCTGGCCAGGCTATAGCTCTCTGGCTTGGTGCCAGTGGTTATTTCTAATACAGTGATAGCAAAATAAAATTATCAATCCTTCTGTGGAGAAATAGGGTCATTTACCACTGAATCATACAAAGTATCAATGGATAAGAAAAGACATTAAAATCAAACAAATAAGGTCCCTATTATTTCCCTTAAACAAGACTTTACTATAAAATCTTAGATTAAAGTGAGACTTTGTCTTTTTAAACACACTTTGAAATCAGCAAATTTGGAATGCCACATTTAAAAAAAATCATCAATACAAAAAGCTTAACAGGAAATAAACATCCCAATCAAACAAAATTCCACTTTTTTCTGGAATTGTATGTGCTTTGAGAAAAAAAAGTATCTTATGACAATATTAAGGCACATTGATACTCAAATTAAAAATTCAAGATGACTTACTTGTATATGAGGCTATCTTCCTCTTCCACCGTCATGTCCACAGATTTCTGGCGGTATACTGAGTGCATAGATGCAAGTCTGGATGCCTAGAAAGATAAAAGGTCACTTCCTAAGATCATAGGTTTATAATCACAGTGAAATCTAAATCTTCTTCACTCTTTACATTAAGTAGTACATGTGAGGATTCATAAGCAACATACAGAGTAGGGAGGTCATCAGTCCAAGTCTGATAATACTAAATAATCAGGAATCTATAAAACTCTGTGTCACATCAAAAATAATTTACCAAAATAGTAAGTGGTACAAATTAACCTGGAACAGAACTAAATTCGCTGAACCATTTACCTTGCATCCTATAGTAAAATGTTCTATAATCAATCTCATTACATTATCAGTTAGTTACAATAACTGCTATTAAAATATTACCAGTCTACTGGCCTTCCTAAATCTATCTAAAGGTTTGCTTAAACGCTTGGTGTCACCAACAGGATGCTCATCATCAGAATGTTCGTAGGCAAGATCTGTATTACTGCCAACTGGGGAGGGAGAACTGACCACCAATGTGGGGACATTTTGTCTTTCAATCTTCAATTTCAATCCCTGGGGTTTTTTGCTTTTCAGTCCTAATTTGAAATTGTCCATAGCCTTTGACATGGTGGTCATTTTGGAAGCGGTCCATGTTTTGTAATGCTTGTCATGTTCAGCTTCCCCATCTTCCCCATCTTCCTCACTACTTGATGATCCAAGCCTCGACTTCATTCTCTGGACTGCTTTTTTTAGAACAAGTTTGGCACGTGGCCAAGTTGCTGTTGGATCACTGCTGTCTGATACATCACTTCCATCAGAATCACTGTCTTTATTGCTTTTCCATTTTGTTTTAGACTTTCTTTTTGGCTCTGGTGTGGAGTTTTCTTGCGAATCAGATTCACATACTTCATACCTTGCCTGCAAAAGTCCATCTGATTCATCCAGATGTTCTAATGATTTGCTTTCTTTGTGATCTTTTTTCTTCTTTTTTCTTTTCTTGTCTTTCCTTTTGTATTTCTTGTCTTTTGTTTGTCGTTCTACTGCTGAGTCAAATGAAGACACGTCAGTATCTATTTGAGCTGAACCCTTCACACCTTCAATCTTTTGGTGCAAGAGCCCATCTGATTCATCCAGATGTTCTAATGATTTACTTTCCATGTCATCTTTTTTCTTATATTTTGTTTTCTTTTCTTTCTTTTTGTATTTCTTGTCTTTTGTTTTCGGTTCCACTGTAGAGTCAAATGAAGATCTATCGCTATCTATTTGCAATAAAAGCTGCCCATCCTTTTTTGTTTTATTTTGCTTTGATTTTGCTACATCTTTCTTTTTCTTCTGAGTGGCTGGGGATGCTCTAGGTGTTAATTCATTCTTCTCCAGGTCATCAGTGAAGGTTACTTCACTTTTCTTTATTGTTGTTTCCTTTCTCTCAGTTTTAGGTGTACTGATGGGGCTGGGAGATTTCAGGGCGCTCTTTTTTCTATTACTTTTAGGTGATAAAGAAAGTATTTTCTGGCTCTCAACANGCCTAGAAAGATAAAAGGTCACTTCCTAAGATCATAGGTTTATAATCACAGTGAAATCTAAATCTTCTTCACTCTTTACATTAAGTAGTACATGTGAGGATTCATAAGCAACATACAGAGTAGGGAGGTCATCAGTCCAAGTCTGATAATACTAAATAATCAGGAATCTATAAAACTCTGTGTCACATCAAAAATAATTTACCAAAATAGTAATTGGTACAAATTAACCTGGAACAGAACTAAATTCGCTGAACCATTTACCTTGCATCCTATAGTAAAATGTTCTATAATCAATCTCATTACATTATCAGTTAGTTACAATAACTGCTATTAAAATATTACCAGTCTACTGGCCTTCCTAAATCTATCTAAAGGTTTGCTTAAACGCTTGGTGTCACCAACAGGATGCTCATCATCAGAATGTTCGTAGGCAAGATCTGTATTACTGCCAACTGGGGAGGGAGAACTGACCACCAATGTGGGGACATTTTGTCTTTCAATCTTCAATTTCAATCCCTGGGGTTTTTTGCTTTTCAGTCCTAATTTGAAATTGTCCATAGCCTTTGACATGGTGGTCATTTTGGAAGCGGTCCATGTTTTGTAATGCTTGTCATGTTCAGCTTCCCCATCTTCCCCATCTTCCTCACTACTTGATGATCCAAGCCTCGACTTCATTCTCTGGACTGCTTTTTTTAGAACAAGTTTGGCACGTGGCCAAGTTGCTGTTGGATCACTGCTGTCTGATACATCACTTCCATCAGAATCACTGTCTTTATTGCTTTTCCATTTTGTTTTAGACTTTCTTTTTGGCTCTGGTGTGGAGTTTTCTTGCGAATCAGATTCACATACTTCATACCTTGCCTGCAAAAGTCCATCTGATTCATCCAGATGTTCTAATGATTTGCTTTCTTTGTGATCTTTTTTCTTCTTTTTTCTTTTCTTGTCTTTCCTTTTGTATTTCTTGTCTTTTGTTTGTCGTTCTACTGCTGAGTCAAATGAAGACACGTCAGTATCTATTTGAGCTGAACCCTTCACACCTTCAATCTTTTGGTGCAAGAGCCCATCTGATTCATCCAGATGTTCTAATGATTTACTTTCCATGTCATCTTTTTTCTTATATTTTGTTTTCTTTTCTTTCTTTTTGTATTTCTTGTCTTTTGTTTTCGGTTCCACTGTAGAGTCAAATGAAGATCTATCGCTATCTATTTGCAATAAAAGCTGCCCATCTTTTTTTGTTTTATTTTGCTTTGATTTTGCTACATCTTTCTTTTTCTTCTGAGTGGCTGGGGATGCTCTAGGTGTTAATTCATTCTTCTCCAGGTCATCAGTGAAGGTTACTTCACTTTTCTTTATTGTTGTTTCCTTTCTCTCAGTTTTAGGTGTACTGATGGGGCTGGGAGATTTCAGGGCGCTCTTTTTTCTATTACTTTTAGGTGATAAAGAAAGTATTTTCTGGCTCTCAACAGGGTCACTCTCAACTGTTTCTTTTCCAGCAGCTTTTTTTGGTGTTTCTATTAATCCGTCATCATTGTTGTTCACAATTTTCATATTCTGAAGTTCTTTTGATCTGGTCTCAGGAAGCTGATTTCCGTCATCTAATTCTACTTTAGAAACTTTATATTTTCCTGTCAATCCAATGTCAGCCTCTTCGGTTGGCATGAATATGTTCTGATTCTTATCAATCTCATCTTGGACAGTAGAGTCATCTTCAGGCACTGCTAAGCTCTCAAACTTTCCAATCTGATTTGAGTCATTTGGATCAGGTGCAATTGCGGGATCTACAGATCCTTTTCCTCCATCTTCCTGTACTGGCTCTATCACAGCATCCACAGTAATTGCATTTTTTGTTTCCTCTGGAAATGTCTCTTGTAGTCTATTTTTGTGAATCATTAATCGTTGAACAATATCACTAAAAGCTGTTGTGTTTGTACTCCGAGAAGGAAAAAAGACATTTTCTTTTCCCATTTGTTTTAATTCTTTGTCGGAGACAGCTTCTCTGTTTTCCCTAGTTTCATCCTTGTTACATTCTCCATTAGAATCAGTCCCAACTGCTGAAACTTGGACATCTGCATTACTGATTTCATCACTGCCTGTCTCACTTTTTTCTGAGATATCACTCAGTGCTGAGACTCCTCTTTTTATCCCTATTGGAGCTTTGGGGGGGTTTGGAGGTTTATTGACAGGCACCATCACTGTAGGTTTTTTTGGACTCCTACTTGGATGAACGCCCTCTTTTTTCTCCTTGTGTGACTCTTTCACTGTTTCAGCTTCATCAATAAATGGGATGTCCTTGAACTGAGAAAAGTGAGAGATAAAATTGTAACTTTTCAAATGTATTTTTTAAATGAAAAGAAATGTCTCATACAGAAAGTTAGATTATATACCTAACTTTAAAAAAATTAGCTTATCATGATTTTGATAAATAATAAGAATGAATTTACTAACAGAAGTACCTTTAATTAAAAAAATTTATAATGTTTAGCTTAAAGGGATAATAACTCTTCGTATGAGATCTATATTTCACAATAAAAACATTGTGAACAACTCATAGAAATATAATATATTCTGTTTTACCACAATAACGGCAGTTACAGCTATTTTTTCTGATATCTGAGCTTGTCTTTAGACCATGTTACCTCCATTGATGACTATACTCTGTTAAAATCTCTTAAGAGATTTTAACAAAAAACCAAACTTTTTAGAAAAAAACCAGGGACTAACTTTGAATGTAAAAATGGATTCATTAACCATTGGTAAGTATGGGAAAATTGTTGTTTACTCCAAGAAAATTAATTTTTTGGCCGAAACGAAGAGTTATTATCCCTTTAAGACAACGACACAATCCTTTCTTACTTTATCAGAGCTATCTACTTCATCAAACACATCTTCATTCTCAGTCACAGTCTCCATCAGTACAAGATCAATAGGACACATATCCTCTTTGTTGTTGTTGTTGATGGGGCATACTGGGGCAGCATGGGGTGGCATCCAAGATATAGGTGGGGTAGGCGAGGCAGTCTCGGGCTCCTCACTGCATGACAGGCTCACAGAACCAACATCTGTTAATCTGTAAATAAAAAGGAAATGGATGGAACACAAGGCCGTGTTGCTGAAGGAAGTGAATATAGTTCACAACTGAGTCCATGCTCCAAATTTTGTAATGCTGTTTCCCACAACATTTATTTATTTTTCCATTCCCCCCCCCCCCCCCACCCACCAAATACCAGGTCATGTCATTTGTTCATTAAAAATCTTAATGATCATAATTACACATATAACCAGTTTCAATGACCACTGGTATACAGATATTTATCTCAAACTGCTACAAAACATTTAGAAAATTGTGCCTAATAACTACATTTTTCTTTACAGATTCCCTTAAATCATATTACCACAAGCACTATCTATCATACCTGTGACAATCATCATCCCAGCGGCCATAACATAGGTCTAGTCCTCCAACAAATGCAATCCTTTGGTCCACTACCACTATCTTCTCATGGTGAGCCCACAGCAGAACACCCCCAGGAACATGGTCAGGGTGACGAAGTACCTGGAGTCACAATATTAACAAATATTTAGTGAGAGAGTGAGCTCACAAATATTTAGTGAGAGAGTGAGTATCAAAAAAAAAAAAAAAAATGTATAAAAAGAGATGTGAGATTTAGTGCACTACAAATATCATTTCATACTATACTCATGGGTATGTCTTTCCCAGAGAGTAACAATGAACCCTGAAAATGCAGAATGAATATAGATTTCAAGTTTGGTGCGATGAAGCTGAATTTGACTACCTTATTATGTATTTTACCCATTTAGATACTAAAACAGAATATGGTTTAAGTACACATAATCATGATCTTCCAATCTAATTCTTTACTATTTATAACAGACAAAAAAAATTGGATATCAGAATGCTTTTAATGCTACTGGTTGAAAAATCACTATATCAAGCAGATGAAGACAAACCTTGACATTGTCACCCAATTCTTTAACCAGGACTTGTTTGCTGTACAGGCTGTTGATTCCCAAAGCCAGTTCCACTTCTTTATACAACAGAACAAAGATTTTCACCCCTTGAACCTAGTGAAAGTGAGTTTGTGAATATTTCAATTTTTTACACTGAATATGGTTCACCTATTTGAAATACTAATATTGTTCAAGAAAAAACACTGATTAAGGGTGTATTCCCAGAGATTTAGATCGATCCAGAGTTTAAGATTTAGATCGACCTAACTCCCTGGGGGTTCACGCTAAATTGCAGTCAGCCGAGCGCACACCATAGTTAATTACCCCCTTACAGCTTTTAGTAGGCGGAACAGACAGTTAATATATCCACTCCTTTAGACATCAGGAACAGAGAAAAAAAGAAGCAATTTTTACCAAGATTCCCAAAGTCACCTGATGCATTCATTACTGAGGATAGACTTAAGGTAGCAATTAACAGGGGTAGCTATCTTCTAAACCGGCCAAGATATACCAACATGTTACATATCAATAGAAAGCTTATTTCAACAGCTTTTCATTTCATATCCTTATTTTATTATGTTATCGTTACGTAATGAGATATTATGCTTAATAGGTGTGCTCAACATGATCTTTACACCTTTAAAACTAGAAGTCCACTACAAATGGACATGTGTAGACAGCTTGCCTCGTGAGCCCTCACTGGGATTAACAAGAATGCGCCTGAAATGGGATCAACAAGAATGCGCCTGAAATTAGCGATATGTGTTAAATTAGCAGAGATATCAAAATAAACCTGTTTTCCAGTTCAATGCAACCCCCTAGCCTAACTAAAGCACACGTAAGTTGAAAACAGAGCTGATGTTATGAAATCCCAGACACACATTTTCAGACAAACCTTAGATCTAACCCTCTACTCACTGCCTATGTAACTGTCACTATGTCTTTCATCCATTTTCAACATTATTATTGAACATTTTCAACAGGAGGCCCCCTCCATGCATTGACAGCAGCCACCATGTTAGTCGTGAGGTCAGCCTTCTTCACCACGTGACACCTAGGGGGAGTGCCTTTGCCCATATACGTCTCATCTATATGTCTGCTTTTTAGAGCTTTAGTAGATCGTCAGAATTAAGTTCACTGATAAATTCAAAATGAAAAGTATTGTTTGGCAAGTGAAAGCGGGAGGTTACTCACAGAATGTGAAAGGCTTAGCAGCAATCTAGTACGGGAAATATACAGCTGCACAGTGGAGCTGCCAATCAAACACATATATGAACAAGTGTGACCTACTTTAAAACTCACACACGCTACCACAGGGGTAAATCAGTAATTAGGCTAAAATTACGGGTTTATTTGTAAACTTCCATTATTTTAAGATAGGCTGATATGTAGTTGTTATTTCATCTATTTACTACTGACAAATTCAGAAAAACACCCACATTTTGGCCATTTACTGTTAATTGCATCCTTAATAGACGGATGGTAAGGAATTTTTTTTGCACTCTAATTAAAAATTAATGTTGGCTCACTAGCCGAGCGCACCATAGTTAATTACCCCCTTACAGCTTTTAGTAGGCGGGACAGACGCTTAAGCCGGCTAAGCTGACAGTAATCTAGTGAGACTCCCCACAGGGATAGATCGATCTAAAATCTATGGGAATGGGGTCTAAAACTCCAGTGGATTCAATCAAATTCCAAAATCTTAAAAGTTCAAAAATTTCACTTACTTTATCATTATTCAATTAAAAGCAGACACATGAGCATTCATACCATGGCCCATAGGAGCCTACGCGTGCGTCTTTTAGACGCCCCTTTACATGCGAAAACGACAAGGCCTATGCCGAGTTCGTCTTTTACTACAGAGCTTTGAGAGCCGAAAATGGCATGGCTGTGTCTCTTTCGCCACTTACTGAACTCCAGAGATGCGAGATTGACACGACCCATGTCGCGTTTGTCTCTCAAAAGACACTGTTATAAAACATGAAATAGGCATTACGTGTGATTTTCGCAGCTGAATAAGTAGACCCTTATAAACGAAGTTGACGTGACCTTAGAGTCATGTCGCTTTCAACTTTTACAAACCTCCAACAAAATCTATCTCCACACAGACGCGCGCGACATGTACTATTGGACATGGGTCAGTTGAAAGCGACATTAACCTAAATGGCTCATGTTACTTTCAGCCAATTAATTTGAAACAGAAGGACCGTCTTAAAACCCTTTATATTTGAATCCTTGAAAATAAAAATATGAGGCCATATAATTATTACAAGCAATTAGCCACACTGTTATCTAAATAGCACTAAATTATGATGGGGTTCAAAAATGTTTTGGGACAGCACAACACTGTTTCAAATTAATTGGATTTGACATATAAGAGTTGGCTGAAAGTAACATGAGCCCTTTAGGTTAATAGGATTTCAACTGACCCATGTCCAATAGTACATGTCGCGCGTCTGTGTGGAGATTGTTGGAGGTTTGTAAGAGTTGAAAGCGACATGACTCTCAAGTTACGTCAACTTCGTTTATAAGGGTCTACTTATTCAGCTGCGAAAATCACACGTTGTGCCTATTTCATGTTTTATAACAGTGTCATTTGAGAGACGAACGCGACAAGGGTCGTGTCAATCTCGCATCTGTGGAGTTCAGTAAGTGGCGAAAGAGACACAGCCATGTCATTTTCGGCTCTCAAAGCTCTGTAGTAAAAGACGAACTCGGCATAGGCCTTGTCGTTTTCGCATGTAAAGGGGCGTCTAAAAGATGCACGCGTAGGCTCCTAAGGGCCATGGTACATTCAAATCCTTCAGATATCTGAATACTCTTAAAAAGATAACTTACTGCTTTTCTTCTCAAAGTATCCACCAGTTGCCATTTTGGACCTTCACCAATAGTACGTCGTAACAGAATCTCTGGACTCAACCTGGAACAGGTTTCATCCCAAATGAAACACAACAGTAAATGTTACACTGTTACTTACTCATATATTTCCTGATCACACCATTGGGCAAAAACACTATAATTATGACATAAAAAAGACAACAAATTCCATTTTTTTTTCTTTTTGCATTCAAAATCATATATAAATAAATATCTTTCATTAATATAAAATCATTTTCATTTAATTGTCTGAAGTATTTATCCTACCACCAGTCTGTGATGAAAATTTCCTCTTTTGCACTTTCCAGAGCAAGGGACACTGCATAAAAATAAGAGTCTCCATCAACAAACCTGTAAGAAATGATGAAGCAGATCAACTCATCTTATCTATAAAATATTAAAATTAAATTAAATCAATACAACCTCAACCACAGTTACCAAAAGAAAATCCTTAACTTCTCAAAATAAAGAAAATGCTGATGCTTAAATATACATACCAGTTGGCAAATGCATCTTCTCTAACAGGCGCATAAGATAAATAGCGGTTCTCAGTGGTGAAGTCATCTGCTGTGGTCTTTATGACATCTGAAACAGCATCATACCATTCCTTGGCTTTGTTGTGGGTCTTACATTTCAGCATGAGGCGCCTGCAAACATGAATTAACAATTTGATTTATTCGATGAGTTACACTTCTACCAAAATAAAAAATAAAAAACACCTCTCATCTAGCAAGATCCTCTTCCACTATAATTTGATTTTGTACAGTCAGTGTAATCAAGAAAAGTTTTTTCCAAAACACCTGCTATAAATGTGAATTATAACTTGTGTTTAACTCTTTACCTAGTCAAATTGGACACTATGAGACCATGATGTATCCCAGTGTCAATGAGACCATATCCAACATCAAACTCATCATCTATCAACATGACATCACCAAGACGTCCACTGCTGCTGATGTAGGCTACAAAAGTGTCCTTCAGAACAAGCCACCTAAAAGTACAAAATAAACTGAAAATAGGCATCAAATGTACATGATGGAAGTAAGGCAAGCTGTGCTGACAACTTCATAACTACCAGTTATAAGCAAGTGATGCTCATATCTACCCCAATTGTCAAACTGTGTCATTTCATGTCACATATCAAATTCTAAAAAGATTTCCCAAATCTTGCCAAAATCTTACATAAATGACATTTACTTCTTTAGACCAAATAAATCTTTTGTCTGGTTCAATTTTTTCTAGTAAAAGCTACTTTCACAAGACTATTATTTGTCAAGAAACTCAAAGAAAACATTAAAAAGATCAATTCAGAAATTTTTGACTGTCAATAATTTAAATTTTGTGCAATTCTGGTACATATAGCTGTGAAACTGACCTTTTTGACCATCTTCCCGTTTTCAGTTTTGATGACAACCCAAAACAACCTGTGCCTGCCCTGCGCCCACCTGCTCTTTTTAGCACACTTCCTTCTCGGAGTTTGCGCCCAAGGTTGTATACAAACGAGAGCCTTGAGACATTTAGGAATGCTAACTAAAAATAGGAATATTCAAAGATATAAAGGGATAAAAAGTAAAAAGTTGACAAATCATCAATAACAAAGTTTATTTAAAGTTGATGATTTTAAATTAAGAAGTTTTTTTACTAACATGAGAGTGAATAATTATGATGGATGGAAGTCATAGTCACATAAAAAATATTTAATGGTCTAACAAAACCTGGTGTACTTACAGTTTCTGGATGGTTTCTGTAGACAGATGAGTTGAGCACATTTTGGAGATAATTTTGGAGAAGTTTCTGCAAGAAAAAAGGTTTGTATTTAAGAATTACATGTATGCCATTTTACCAAAGGTTTAAATTGCCCAAAATTCTAAGTTTAAAAAAACTTGCAACAGAGATTTCTTAAATCATTGAAAATTCATCACAAAAAATATAATTTTCAGATCAAAATGATATACTTTCTGCATTCACCAATACATATATGGCCAACATTAATTTTTGATTAGAGTGCAAAAAAAATTCTTACCATCCGTCTATTAAGTCTATCCTCAGTAATGAATGCATCAGGTGACTTTGGGAATCTTGGTAAAAATCGCTTCTTTTTTCTCTGTTCCTGATGTCTAAAAGAGTGGATATATAGAGCGAGTGATGAAAGTGTCTGGTAAGGATAACATCAATGAAATCCCTCACCTGGATAATTTTTATTGGTGTTTCTATCTGGCAAATAACACTACTAAATGGGTCTGCATATTGACACACCATTATCAGCACTAAGGCCCCATTCAGAATGGATGATCCGAATACTTACTGATCTGCCAACTAAATATGGCCGACCACAGTTCAAAAGTGATGCTGCTGATTTCTGATGGTCTCCCTGACTCCACATGCGCCATTAAATGGATAAAATGTCTGCTCTGAGGTTTAATTGCTAGGTCCCTGCAGCTACAGTACAGCAGATTAGTAAGTGATCAGATCATCCATTCTGAATGGGGCCTAAGACTGAAAAGTGTACTACATAATCCCATTATCAGTAGCGCATGCATTTATACCCCTACAGTGGCCTACACTGTGCAAGCATTAATCAAAGATAAAAAATTGAGCTGGTTTGATGTTGGTATCTTTTGATAGGATACCTTATATTATTTCACAGTTCTGCTTATAGACCAATACCCCTATGTAACAAAAAAGTTTATTCAGAGATGGTATATATTTAACTATAATTCTATCCTCTCAGAGTTGAAAAAAAATTGGCAATATTTATGTACTAATGCAAACCTGCGTTGCTTAATATAATATTCTTACACATTTGCAGAATATAGTGGGGTACCTGTGGCTTTTATATGACTTGAACAGGTCACCTAGTACACATAGCACTGTATACTGGCCTAGTGACCAGTTGACAGTGAAGTAATGACAAGTCAACATGGTCATCTTATCTATTGCAGTCAGTTATGTGTCTTCATTCCCCCTGTTCTGCTATAGCCAGACTGATATGATAAATAACTGGGCTTGCAGCATGTGTATCCCATCAAGCAAACAAAATCTTCAAATCTTTCAGATAATATTCAGGTTGACTATGGAAATGCAGGTTCACATTAATTTTTCTTAAATACAGAGTTTTTTCAGGTCCAATTACACTTGGCTACGTACTTGGCAAACGTCAAATAATGCTAAGGTTATCTCAGGTTTACAATATAATGATATTGGCTGAGGTCATTCTGTTACAATACACAGGTGTGTTTTGCTCTGATGGACATTCACTATGCAGTTTCACCTATGTATAACATAAAAAGAGTGATACAAATGATTACCAAAGCTTCTGACCTGCACCACTCCTTTATAATGATCAAATTGACCCTTTCTAATAGAAAAACAACACTGCCCAACCTTGATAACCCCAGTTCTGTCTACCTCTCACAGATAGCCAGTGCTACAGTTACCAGGTAATGATGCCTTTTAAGATAGAGGATGATTATAAACAGCTGCAAAAAGGAACTGATGAGCAACATAAACATTTTCTTGTTCCATTAATAAAATGTTGTGACTTAACAAGCCCTGTACATCAACCATAGGTAATTTGGGTGAAAGGATATTTCAAATATTTTTCATTTTCTTACTTTAAACATGAAAAGCCCATAAGCACTGTCTATTTTAGATAACTGCAATAAATAACTTCCCACAAACTATTTACTGAGTCTGTACATCACATGAAGAAAGCTATACTTCTGACAGTAACAGGCTGTACTAGATACAATAAATATGGGGAAAAGGAATTCCCTGTCTGACAGAATAGCACAGCTTCTTAAATACCATGCTATTTACCACCTGAAAACCCCTTATTAAAGACTGTTCATGTCATGCATGTTGTATGTTATCCTCATAGTCCTGAATATCTTGTAAGAACTTTTCAATAATATTGCTTAGAACAAAAATGACTGTCACAATATAGTTCGAGTTATTACTCTTTTAAAATTCTATTAGCACAAATAATGTAAACACAACATAATCAATTATAATTATCTACACTATGATATTTGTTGTATCATCAATATATTGGTACAGTTATGATCATCATCACAGCGACGGTATCAATACAAACAAGGGTATAAAAGCTATCTAAATAAGATATCCAAACAAAGTTTAAATCAAAACGAACAACATCTTCTTACATAATTATCAGAACAAAGTTTGCAGCAAAGCCAGTATGCTCCACCCTGAGTTAAAACCATGAACCAACTCTTCTCCACAAGATAAACTGGCTGTCACCATGGCATGTTTATACAGAGAACAGTCTCTTTTAGGCAATTTTAAAAACTCAGGGTGATATGCTAAAAACTACCCCCCCCCCCCCATCCACCTGCCTGATATCTGAATAGCATGCCAATACATGCTATCTCCTCAAGATAAATCAATTTATAGACCACTAATTACCTGGACTGCTGTGGCTACTACCTGCCCATCAATATCATGTTACAAAAGCCACTTCAAAAATAATCCAAAAATCAATAATAATAAAGCAGATTTGGGAGTGAGGTATAATTTTTATCGAAGAGGTTGCCACACTCACTGGGTTTTAACTATATTGTGTCATGCTCTGGGTATAAGTTAATTTTCTAAATTTGGTTGTAAGAGGATATAAAAGGACAGACATACCTTGGTTACCCTAGCCCCTTTTACCTTTTTAATTTGGTCAGTGAAAGCATGGAACATGTTATGTTCTTAAACTGGCTTTTTTTTATATATAATGTTCAATGAAGCATGTTTCATTACTGCTATCTGTGCAGCAAAAGTCAATAGTGATGATTTCTGGGATTACTTACTCTTTGTTTGGCAAAGGAATGTTCAATTTAGCTTTGAAAACCATCAGATGCCTATGAAGCTCCTCAAAATGCTTGTATCTTCTCCTTACTGACCAACTGTGTAAGCCATGAGTCAGTTTGATGATGTAACTGTAAATGCATGATTAAAACTGAAAAAGGACATTCCCTTCCAAAATAACCTTGTGTTTATGTTCTTGCATTATATATGTCAAATGATGAAGAATTTTTATAGGTTATGCACATGTGAATTATGAACACACACTTTATCTTTGGCCAAGAGTATTTTAGCCTCTACGCTGATTGATAAATGCTTCTCACATTTTGTTCATTTGCAGGTTAGCAATTAACATTACTGTTTTTCAAGAACTTAGATTTAAGATATACCAAAGTCATACCAAATTTTGTGCTCTTTAATAAATTTCCTTAAAATGTGTCAACTGTCAATAGTTAAATGTAAAATGATGTTGCAATGTTCACCCTCTTACTAGTATTCATGTAACATAAGAGTAAATATTGTACAAAAAAAAAAACATGTTAAACACATATTAACACAACTAAAACACAACCACATTAGATGAAAACTTACACATATGGGCTGAGTATTTTGTGGATTTTTCTTTCATAATCTGTGATCGTGACAGTTATCTTGGTTTTAGGTATGAAATATTTTCTGCGAAAATTTGTTTCCAAGTCTTTTCTATACAGTGAGCTGAATGGAATAATTGGAAGGCCTGAAGAAAAACTTAAATGTGTTACAATTTTTTAAAAATTATTTTTCATAATGATATCAACTATTACACAAAATGTCTTATATTACATTATGCAAATCTAGTAACTTTCTTCACTCTCTTTTTCACAAAATAAAGAGGAAATCCCACATTACATATGTAAGTTAAAGGATGAAAGATCTCAGTCAGTCTGATAAAACCATTCTCAGTTATAATTACCATCGTCGTCATCTCCTTCGTCCAAGTTAATATCTGCTGTGTCTGGTATTTCAAGTTCCTCAAAATCTGTATCAGAACATTCTGTAAAGATCGAAACGCTTCTCTGGTATGAGTCCGCCTCCAGAGATTCAAGGTGGTCGATTTTCCTCTCATCATTTGGTAAGTAAGCCATCATACAAATACAAAGTAGGAAAGCGTTTTATAACTTAAGTATTCTGGATATAATGTCCATTTCGGGGAATTTCTGGATATTACCAAGGACACATACTTCTTGAGTTCCCTTGCTCCTTATATCTTAAGTAGCCGATCGCGTCGTTGTTGGCACGGTTCGTTGTTTACTGTTCCATCTTTCCTATGGGCCAAAAGTATGCTCCGATACTTCAACACAGTTGAATAACTAGGGCAAGCTTATGAGGGGAACCAGCGTTCGATTTTTTGTGCGAAACTCCTCGTAACATCAAACTTCTCACTTTAAACTCAGTTTTAATCCCGTCTTGCTTTTTTGGATTTTTAGTTCCGATCACAAAACTTATTCTGATTCATATTAACCTGCCACAATAAAGTTGAAAGTGGGATTGGCACTCAGTTCCGCGAACATGACATTCTATGAAATTTTGTAAGGCGCACATATCGTGACAGTATAAGTTCAGCGAAATTAATTATGAGGATATCCTCCCGTGACCATGACATCATTATGGGCAAACGTGTCGAGTTTTGGACTTGTGTTTGCAGTCCTAGCCTCTAGCGCTCCTGGGCCCCGTATCTCGAAAGCATCGAGCATCGCGACTGTGCGCAAGCGCCTCGATTCCAAAACTCGCCACATATAATACGTTGTAGCCTCTATGTGATATCGCTATTCGCAGTACGCGATGCTTTCGAGATATGGGGCCCTGGTCGTTAAGAATAGTTACATGCATTTTGTGCGTAATAGAAGTGGGCCTCAAAAATTTTAGAGGAACTGCCCACATGATGCCACGTCAGATCTTATTTTCCTGGAAAGAGGCTTTCACAGTAAGAACATTTATGACATTCCCTTCATATTGATTAACCTAAATTATACAATGGCTCATGTGATGTAATAATTCATAAAATCTTATTCTCCTGTACTAATAAAGTTTTGCACATAAAAAAGCTCACTAATTTTTTGTAGATTGATGAAATGTAAAATGCGCTCACTTTTTTATTCACAAATGAAGCAAAAGAGAATCAACAATAAATAATGGGTAAATGTTTTTGTAGCATTCATTTAATTTGTCAGATTTTAATTTTATACATATTTCTACAAATTGCTCTTTTAGGTTTTATAATATTTGATAAAATAAGGCATGTACAAAAACTCCACGCACCATGTGGTTAACCAGTATTACTAACCTTATTACCAGCATTTAGTCTAAAGTAAAATTTTATAAATACAGAAGTTTTACAGGTGCTCCACTTGGGTGATATATGTTTATAATGACTTAATTACAGAAGAATAAATCTTTACATAATACACCCATAATTAAAATGTGACCAAAATTCTAACAAACAGATACTTGTACTACTGAATTAAGACCGCCTTCGCTTTGGTAAACTCTTCACAAATGCATGAAACACCTCGTAGTTTGGCATCTGTTCTTTGATAAAACAAGCAGGTTTGTTAACCACATCCACAGCTGATATATTTATACAATTCAAAATTGAGCAGTAGCTATGAACAATTTCACCACCTGTGGAAACAACCACCAAGAAAACTTGGGACAGTATTGCCTAGTAATTATCTATATTGTGCATATTTACAAAGTTAAGAAGCAATCATTTATGAAACTAGGCATTTCAAATTTAAGAGTTAAAGGGAATAATTGTATTAACAGTCATGGCAGGACTGGAGACAAACTCTGAAATTGACACTAATACAAATGCTGCATAGCCTTTGTGTTCCACAGCACCTTGTTCATTAAATACTCAGAAACATTATAACTTGATTCAAGCACCTTGATAACAAAGCTTACTCAGGTATACAGGCACTTGGAGAGATAGTTTGTCTATATTTCAGCAATACCATTCACCAAATATGAAGCAAGTTACAATTTCCCAATGATATACCAAGGGAACGGCTTTTTAGAGAGAAATACAAGACTTGCAGCAAAACTTTTACTACATGATGACTACAATATTGTGTATCACAGACTGACTTTTCTTCTATTCAACCACTGATCCATTTCAAATCATTTCCATATAAAATGGACTGAGATAAAATCAAAAATAAATTACCCTTGTAAGACTGTCACAATGTAGGTACAAAGAAAATTATATTATTTTTTTCTAACAAAGCCTGGGGTATGATCTTATCTATCCATTTCACAAGTCAAAAGATTCACAATCTTGTAAAGTACACAGGTGCTGTGATTTTGTTTCCCAATAATACATTAATCAAAGAATTTTTTTTAATAAATAAGAAGTCCTTAAAGGACAAAGCATAAAAACCTTTAAGTGTGCATAGACCTATATAACATGGGACTGCACTCTTTGTTGAAGTAGATGACAGTGTGGAGTATTCCTTTTCCAATTATTAAAGGTACTGCCTGCATTTACATAAAAATAACATTTAATACTTGCACAGACATTAAATATCAAATCCACACCGTTTAAAAATATTTTCTCTACACCAGTGGATTTGTTTACATGGAAGATTACAGTCCATGACCTTGAAATGCAGTGATATAATCATAATGCTCTTACAAACTCCAAATGTTTTGACTGATCCAGGACAAGAAATAATTTTTAGGCAACGTGCAAATTCATAATCATACTAAATGCACTTAAGATCCACTCTGTTTTCTTATCATTGTTAAGCAGACCTAACAACAAAAATAACAATAATATTACTAAACATTTAACAGTGGTTTGGACAGACAATGTCATCAGTTCAAACATGTTCCATCTAGATCAATAAAATTTTTCTAAATTTTTCTTGGATGCCTTGCATATTTTTTGTCCTTGATCAGTGAATGCAATGTCCTTTGAATACTGTCAGCAGCCAACATATCTGAACATTCCTCTTCCCACTTTCCATGGAAAGGAAAAAGATCATAAGAGTCTGTTAAAACCAAAGAATTCTAAGGTAAAGTACTGACTCAAAAGCATATTGAATGTACCACAGATCAAACCTGTTACATTAACCCATTTTTCTGAGTAACTAACAGAGATATCTGATATAGATATATATGGCTTGCTGAACTTTAAAAAAATCAAATTAACAAATATTCAACCTAATGATGTGGGTAGATGATGTCACAAGTTCAAACAAGCTGGGTGCTTTCTCTATATCAAAAATGTTTTCTAAAATCTTCTTTGGCACCTTGTATATTTTTGTCCTTGATCAGTAAATCCAGTTTTCCATTGAATGCTGTCAGAAATCAACATGATCTAAATCTCCTCCTTCCTTTCCATGGAAGGGTACAAAGTGATCTTGTCCATTGATATTATTCTTGGAAATATAAAAGAGACACATTAGATCTATACTGACATGGTTCATTCCTGCCCTCTTTAAAATGCCAATTAAGGAAAGCACTGGGTCTGCCCAGTCCCTTTTTCTCCCCAACCTACTGGCCTCCTAGAAGCCCAAGTTGATCTGTCATTGAGGTTATCATTTGTGTGTCACACTGGACCATTAGATGATGTAGAGTCTGTAGATGTTGGAGTAGAGGTGGCACTTTCATACTGTTCTAAAGCTTCCATGGCTTGAGCTCTGCAGAACAAGGTAATATGATATGAGCAAAATACAGGAGTTTCATTATTTAATGAAAATTACTTGACAATAATAACGGTTTCAAAGAACATCTACAATAAGCTAATACTGAAAACAACAATAACAGAGTCAATCTTTGGATTTTGGCCCTTCATTGCTAAATAAATAAATAAAGAGAATAAACAATGAGAAACAAAACTCTTCCTGTACCTTGCTTTCTTTATCTTTTCACTGTCAGACTCCTCTTTTCCTTCTGTTGGTCCATTGCCCTGTATATCTGTAGTGTTTATGGTTTCCACGCTGTTTGGAAGAGAGGACTTTTTCATGAGACCTGCACCAGCCAGAAAACTGTAAGAAAACAATGTTAATTGGTTGACATATTTTTCTGTCTCAGATGACGGGAAATGCAATCTTTCCATTCACACACTTGAAGAATGTTTAATTTTCAAAATTCACACTAAATAAACAAAGTAATCTAAATCCTGCACTCAAAAAGCAGCAAAAGGACTTCCATGCAATCTTGAAAATCAAAAGCTCATTAATGCCTACCACCAACAAACAAGTGATTTGAAAGCAGGCACCCAGAAATATCACAAACCTTTAACTTGACTTGGTATTCTGTTGACGTGATGCCATTATATCGACCTAACTGTCATCTTACATAAGCAAGAACTGCTTCCATTTTCAAGTAATTAAACATTTGTTAAGCTCTTGTCTCATGTTAGAGTAACATATTTGTATAAGCAATTTCAGCAGGGTCATGTTACAAGAGTAATGCAAAATTAGAGAGTAGCATACTAGATGTTTAATTAACAGAATAGTAACACCAGAGCAGGCAAAAGAGGCAGCTACAGCATAAAAAATCAATGCCACTTTGACAAAAAGTCATTATGCTTCAATTACTATCTTTCCAATTCAATGAAACTGACACATAACAACACTAAAGAAAGACTTGACTTGCAATCTTGTTGGTTTTACAGAGGCAGAGGTAACAAGAAACGGTATAGATAGCTAGCCAGCTTGCTGAAAAGACCAGTATGAAGAAAAAAGTTCTTACTCATAACAATTCACCACCACCCTGATACCAAGCTACATGCTGGTTCTTGCCTCAAGAGCACATCACTCACTTAAAATTATCGGCTAAATCATCATCATCATCATCATCGAAGTCAAACAGGTCTTTTTCCTCAGATTCTAGGTTTTCATCCATGCTTCCTTTCCCTTCTTTGCTGTTAATCCAAGAGATGAAACACAAGTCAGTGACACACTCACACAGCACAACCTATATGTGCACAGCAGGCCAAAGTCTTTCTAACATCTGCAGGTTACACTCTACAGTTAACAAACCTTGAACCACCATGCATGTAATGCGTACCTGCTTATCAATATTATAATTGTCGTTGTTCTTGTAAATAACCCTTGTATTCAATACTTTTGGAAGCTGTTATTTACATACACTTTATCAGGTTGTACAGACAAAACTAATATTGTGAATATGAATCATTATGCAATTCACATGCAACACAGTAAATATGCCATGCCCTTTTGACTGCTGCTATTGTTAATGACAATTCTATTTGTATGACTAAAGGAGTCCAATACTCTAGCACACATGCTTATCACAAGTTGAGAGTGCAAACAAGAGTCAGGTCTACAGCATTAGTGGTAGTCTGAGATGTGTATTCACCTTTCCCCTGGATCTTTTGAACTGAAGGGTTGGCCTGGACTATCAGGTTGCTGCTGCACTTCATTGGAAACTACTTCCTCAGATTTTTTATCAGTTTTTGTATTTGTAGCTGCCACTGAGATCTCTGGACTACTACTTATTCCTGGGGACTGGTCACGTTTACTATCTTCAGCTAGTCTACAATTTAAGACATTTTTTTCATGGTTACAGTACTTTCTTGCAGTACTATTAAAACACTTTCAGATTACTAGCAAATGATCAACATTTAAGTAAACCTCGCATGTGCACAAAATTATTAAAAGTTGCAGTCTGTAGATTATCCCCTGCTTCATTGTTCATTAATACATGTACAAACCTGATTTCATTCTTATCTTCTTCATTTTTATTTTCATCATTTTCTAAATTGTCATCACCCGCATTAGTATTTTCATTGTGCTTTGCTTCTGTCATCACACTAGAGAGATCAGGAGGGGCACTGGCTGACACTACAATGGAAAGATTCTATAATCAGGCACGGGTCACATTTCTTTTTCTGTAATGTCACCAACTCCATCTACATTGAAAGCATTAAGTATCTATCTCATCCTTTTGATAATTATAATAAATGAAAACATCATAATTATTCAGAATATCCATTTAATGTAAAGCAACCTTTTTTGATAATATTTTTTTACACTGGAATGTCTACCAGTAAACACTTACAGTAGACACGATGTCTTGCATTGGCTCCCTCAGCTGGATTTTCCTCAGTATCCATAGCTATTGGTGAACTACTCCGTGGCCCAGATTCACTACAACACATTTGAAGTGTGCAATTCACAAAAACAGGCACCAAAATACTTTGTAAAAATTCAAAAATAAGTATTATTTCCATACTTAATTCAATCTTGGTAAAAATGACATTCATAAAAATGTAAAATTCCCACCACTTAAAAACAGTGGGAACTTTTCAATAGCATTATGAGGAATTAATGTACCTTTTTACTTTAGTTGGTGTGAAATTGGCAAAATCTGCCCAGTTGTCTTCTGCACTTTGAGATGGACTGGAGCTTCCAAATGCTGCCCAGTTATCTGTGCTACTGTTAGATGTTGTGGATGTATTGGCATTGCTAAAGTCTGCCCAATTATCTTCTTTAGCTGTGGCCCCTGCCGCATTTCCCCAGCCTGCTGGGACAGTATCCATGGCAACAGGGACTTCACCCATAGCAACATCATTAGGCCATGCTGCAAAGGAAAAACAATGTTAGTTATTAATGTGCACATAAATAGTGTGAAAACTTGTAATTCCAGACAAAAATGTAAGAAGGTCAACAGTTGTCCAAATGAAATATTGCGCCCATTTCATAACAGGAAAGATATCAATTTATACAATATTAACTGGATTAAGTGGAGTACCTTGGGTTTGTTTTGAACTGATGTAGCTCAAAACTTTGGTCCCAATGTTAAGACCAATTTTCAGGCCATTTTGTGAAACTCACCCTCAGTAAGCAAAAACTCATTGTAAAACAAGGAGGCCACTGCAGCTACTATCATGATTTAAATGCCCTTGATAGACATGTGTGCATGCATACTGCATTACTTGTGAACATGACATGGAACGCATATTATTTTTTTAGCCATAAGATGATAACAGAATTACAAAACAACAATATTTGTCTTAACTCTTTTAGCTAGTTATTTTTGGGGACAAATTTCTTTTTTTGTAAAACATTTTCTTGTGTGAAAGCCAAAAAAATTAATAATAAAAAAAAATACCATCATTGGAATCAACATCCATCTTTTCAGCAACTGGAATTGATGGTGTTTGTCTTATGATTACAGGGGAATCTAATTCTTCCTCACTAGAGCTGCTGCCTGCCTCCTCCTCCTCATCATCACTGCCCTGGCTGCTTACTCCTGTGCTACGAGTAGGAAGATTGGCTGGAAGACTGAAATTTATTCTATAGTTAGTATACAAATTTACAAAATTTTCATTTTTTTTATTAATAAATGAAAATAAAAATTGCCTAAATATTGTTCACAAGTCAACTCATGGAGTCAATTAGTCATTAATACCTAGGTTTAAGTTGTGTTGGACTTGAGAAGGTAACTTCCTTGTCCTCCCATATGTCTTCATCACTGTCATTATCGTCAAATGGCTGGATCTTCTCATTACACACCTGTTCAAACATGGCAGCACTAGGCTGAAATAAAAAATAAAATCAAGTTTATTTAAATTCAAAATGTAAAGTGGTCCATCGAAAAATTTTTATAATGAACTTTTGTTTTAACTCCCTTTAGCATATTTTCACAAATACCTTGCAAAGACATCTGAAGCTTTTTTTTATCAAAATATACACAACTGGCAAAACATTCTTTGCCTATCACATTCTATATTTACTTACATTGTCTTCACTAGCATTGATATTGAAGTCAATACTGGATATCCTGTCTGTGAAAGGTGCACTGAAACACATAAGAAATATTACAAAATAAAAATAAAAGAATAAATCAAATCACTACACCAAAATACATCAGATTTATCAACTGGAAGAGCCTGTACAAAATTAAATATCAAAGAATAATATTTATCATAAAAAAGCTTACATAACAATACTTTAACCAATGAAAAATAATGAAGAAATCTTCATATCCACATAAATATGTCTATCAAGATACTTTTCAATGATTTAGATGTCATTAAAAGCAATGATAACATGAAATTTTTACTTTTCATTTCAATAAAACTGCAGAATACAAAATGATGCAATTTTACTCATTTCATACACAGAAACCTTTGAGCTTGTCATATTCATTTTGGTGCAGCGTAACCGACACAATCACACATGCAAATCCCATTAAAAAACTAGAGGATCAGAGAGGCGATACCGCCTCTGGATATTGTACCACCAGCTGGAGTAAGCGCATTCTCATGGAAACCCCGCCCCCCAAAAATGAACACCACCACCAGTCTTGTGCTTGACAAGCTCTATAAAATGCAATAAACAAGAGTTCTCAAAATATGCAAAAAAAAAAAAAATATATATATATATATATATATATATATATATATATATATATATATATATATAGCGAACAAACATAACTGTTCAAATCAAGCAGATTTTCAAATTGAGCTGTATTTTCCTAACACTGATGACTCCTGTGATTTTCTAGACAATAGGCCTATTGGTTTTCCTTGAAATGCGTTATCAGTATTGCATATTTGCTGACAAAAGAGAAAACCTTGGGACAACAGTAGGCAGATCTCTGCTAGTTTTGAAGATATGAGGGGCAAGAAAATATGCAGAGTTCAGTTTGTGGTGAAAAAGTAGGTCAAAGGTCAATTTCAAGGTCACAGTATATGACTTCCTATAGAAGTTCAATAGTAGCTATGGGCATTTCTTTGCTAATTTTGGAGATATGAAGGCCAGGAAACATGCAAAGTGCAGTTCATCATAAATAGTAGGTCAAAGGTCACAGTAAGATTGCCAGTATATGACTTCCTATTCAAGTTCAATAGTAACTTTGGACTTATCTCTGCCAGTTTCCGAGATATAAGGGATAGAAAATTTGCAAAGTTCAGTTCATGGTGAAAAGTAGGCCAAAGGTCAATTCCAAGGTCACAATAAGACTGCCAGTATATGACTTCCTATTAAAGTTCAATAGTAACTATGGGTGTATCTCTGCCAGTTTTGGAGATATAAGGGTTGAAAAATTTGCAAAGTTCAGTTCATGGTGAAAAGTAGGTCAAAGGTCAATTTCAAGGTCACAGTTAGATTACCAGTATATAACTTCCTATTAAAGTTCAATAGTAACTATGGGCGTATCTTTGCCAGTTTTGGATATATAAAGATCAGAAAACTTGCAAAGTGCATTACTGAAAAGTATGTCAAAGGTCAATTTCAAGGTCACAGTTAGATTACTAGTATATGACTTCCTATTCAAGTTCAATAGTAACTATGGGCATATCTTTGCCAGTTTTGGAGATATAAAGATCAGAAAACTTGCAAAGTGCAGTTCATAATGAAAAGTAGGTCAAAGGTCAATTTCAAGGTCACAGTTAGATTACCAGTATATGACTTCCTATTCAAGTTCAATAGTAACTATGGGCGTATCTCTGCTAATTTTGGAGTATTTCACATTTTCCCCACTGAATATTGCAATGTTGTAATTTTTGATAAAGGGCAACGCCTAAGCCATATCAAAAACAAAAAATGGACACCACCCCCAGTATTGCACTTGACAAGGTCTACAAAATGCAATAAAAAAGAGGTCTCTGGCATTTACCGTTCCAGATTTAGAGCGAGTTTTCAGTTTCAGTATCTAATGGCTGCTACTCGCGTGAAAATGCACTGATTGACCCCAAACTCTCACAGATGAAAGGAGTCCCCAATGGTAACCCCTCACTATAACAGGAGAGCTTAGGGCTGCGTAGTTTCCAAAAATTAGCACAAACAAATATTTTTTTACAGAAAATTCCCATTTTTAGAAAATTTGGGCTTGTTTGACCTTGAAAAAAAAGGTCAAAAGTCATATCCAAGGGCATATTTGGAATCTCCACATATGACTTTTGGTCAGACTTCTGTAGTAATTTTTCCCATAATTCCTTTGGTTTGGGAGATATTTAGCATTGAATTTTCAAAAATTTTGACATGGGTGCATTTCAACAAGCGTCACGCCCAGGCCAGTGCACCGACGGAGACAAAAAAACCAGGGTGTTCAAGTTGAGATTATATGTGACCTAAATCCAAGAGATGGGGACACAGGTCCTTGCGGTCTAGGAGGAGAAGCGGTAACGGTGACTTGTTTCCGGCGCCCAACTGCGGAGCCGGCGGAGCTGCAGGAGCCGGCAGAGCCGCAAGAGCCGGCGGAGCTGTACGAGACGGGTCGGGACTAAAACCATGAGTACCGCCAGCGTACACGCTGGTGGTACTAATGATAACAAAACACATTTAATCTTTGCTTATGGGGAATTAGAGTGAGTATGTTTGCAATATACACATTTTTAAAAAATTTCATACCATGGATACTTTACAAAAGCTCAAATCATGCCTTAGACCAATGCATATATTGCAAAAACCATAAAACCAAGACCTATTTTAAATATTCAATCCTAAAACACATTTCAAGACTGATGTGATATTTTTCAGATAGCAAAGGTACAACTATAATCTTTTTTGAATTATCATTAAATACTAACACATTGTACTCTAAAGATTAATATTTTCACAATTGCATGACACTATAATCAATGGATAAAATTTTCTGGTATATAACGTGCTGAACTTCACAAATGAACACTGGACTGCAATAAATCTCAAGCAACAGCCTTTGAAGAATTTTTGACAGAAAAGCTCTCAACTACCCCCCCAAAATATGCCATAAATAGCACATGCATTTTCATTTTCTTTCAACCACATTACATCATAATATGCATACATTTCTCCATGGTCTGCAAAACTGAAAGATGCCATTATCATGCAAACCTAAGATCACTTGTGCCGGCCATAGCAATTTGTTTAAAAATATTGTTAGACCATGAGCTTATAACCTTAATTAACTAATCAGAAAAATGAAAATCTTACAGGCCCTGCTTTACAAAAATTGCACCATAGGGCCCACAACTTGATGGTAAACTCGACTTAAACCAGGTGAAGCACAAGAGCATTAGAGAAGAAAACACACAACCATACACAAACCCCCTTAAACAATTAAAGCAAAAGGTAATACTCACTCTATCCTCCCGTCTTGCTCAGCAAACTCTTCGTCATTGAAGCCAAACTGGTCAATAAAATTACTGGTCATTTGTTGCAGCTGATAATCAGAGAAGGCCTGGTGGATGAAACCAGGCACAAATAGACATAGGTATCAGGTGGCCACAACATGCAGTCATTGACAGGGATGGCCAAGTGGGGAATTCATATAGCCATGAGAGAGTTGTGTTAGGATTTTTTATTTTTTTATTTTTTTTAAGAATCGGACATATCACTTTTCATCTGTGCCACATACACCTGTGATTATGAACAGAAATCAATTAAAAGTGTGCTAAAGGTAAGAAACTTTTACTGTGTTGCTGGTATCTAAACATGTCCATGTTAAAAATTTGAGTGTTACTGGGGGGAACATTACAATCCAGAGACAGGGAGGATACATGGCTAAGATACCACACTTGACCATGCTTGTGTTCACATAAATAAGGCAGACTTATTTAGGCTTAAAATTCAATACTTTCAACCTTTTAAATGTGAGCACAATTAAATTGGAGGCCAAATCTTGCAGGCCTGAATGCTGAAGCACACGCCCCTTACAATAACACTTTTTCCCTTTTATTAACAGCTTGATAGCATGAAAGCCATGCAGCATTCAGCCCTGGAGATGCTAATAAAGGTTGGGTGTACAAAGCACACATTTAAAGATTAAGGACAGTGGATTGGTCAAAGTGAAAATAAACTTCAAAACATTACCATTCTATCTCAAGATAATTTTTTATATTTCTCTACCATATAAAAAAAGAAATCCCATGACCAAACCACTGCCCCACTAACCTTGTAAGAATTTGGTGCTGTTAATGAGACAGACTATTAGAACTCAATTTGTCTACTCTAATTGACAAGAATATTAACCATAAAGGTATTTGGCTTAAAACCTTAAATTTAGATTAATCAACACTATCTTCTACAAAGAAACTAATATACAAAAATATTTATATAAAAAAAAGCAAATTGTAATAGCCATTTCTATGCAAATCTAAGCTTGTTCAGCAAAACATGCAATGTCCTAGATAAATTAAGTTTTGTTCAAAATCTGAGGGATAATGGCCTAAATGAAAACAGGCCACATCATTCATTTCTCTTTTTTCAAAATATCTATCAATTTTGGCACTTTTGTATGAAAAATGCTTGCTCTTCTTTTTGTGCATTTCTGAGGGGTCAGATACTATCTAGCGAAAATTTATGATAAAAGAGCAAACTCTTCTCTTTCAGAGATGTGTATCATTCTCCATGAATAATAACAAATAATATTTTGGTTTCCTATACTGTTGTTTAATCCCCCTGCTGCCAATGCCCAATAAGACATGCACTTGAGATAGAAAATTACTTCTGACAGAGTTTAACTGAAATGAACCCAACTGATGGTATAACATCTGAAAATACCCTTATTTCAGTTAGATAAAAGTATATCATTAAAGTGATAATAACTCTTCGTTTCGGCCAAAAAATGAATTTTCCTGGAGTAAACAACAATTTTCCCATACTTACCAATGGTTAATGAATCCATTTTTACATTCAAAGTTAGTCCCTGTTTTTTTTCTAAAAAGTTTGGTTTTTTGTTAAAATCTCTTAAGAGATTTTAGCAGAGTATAGCCATCAATGGAGGTCAAGTGGTCTAAAGACAAGCTCAGATATCAGAATAATAGCTATAACTGCCGTTTTTGTGGTAAAACAGAATATATTATATTTCTATGAGTTATTCACAATGTTTTTATTGTGAAATATAGATCTCATACGAAGAGTTATTATCCCTTTAACTACAATAAATGGAAAAATTGCTAATTACTCAACTGCACTACATAGCAGGCTAGAATAACGAGTAAGTACCTGCTGTAAAGCCGTGTCCTGGGGAAATGGAATGTCACGGAAATCTGCATCATCATCTTCACTACTTGAATGCAGAGGGTGGCCACCGACCTGAAGTACATTGACAGGAGTTCCTCCCTTATAGAACAAAATACAGGAAATGACCAATTTTAAGGTCAGGTTAGTTGTATACTCACCACCACTCACCATCACTCTTAAAGGGTTAATATATATACCACATTTATCAAGATAATCTATATAATTTAACAATTTAAAATTTCCAACAAAATTTACATCAATAAATAAATGAATAATGGAAATGTGCCATTGCAATTCTGGTGGACTTGCACAAATTCTCCAGTGATTCACATGTACAGAGACTGTTTTATCCAAAAAGCACAACTCAGACTATGCAAATCTATACTATACTTGCTAAAAGTGAGACCATAAGACTCCAACCCTTAGAGAAAAAAGTTCCCAGCACCCGCTGTCTACTTACCAGTTCAACTGTGTTCTTTTTATTGACCTCTGCTAAAACTCCAGAAGTAAACCTCTCCCACTTTTGCCTCACATCTTCATCCAACTCTATGAATGCAAAAGAAACAGACAGTCACACACTGGAGTTGTTTGCTCACAAAAAAGTACCAACTTAACAATTTTACCTTTTTAAACTTAGGCTACACATTGGGGTCAGATACTATCTAGTGAAAAAACTTCATGAGATTATGTCTTCTTTTCAGATTTATGCATCATCCCCCAAGATACCACAGAATAACGACATGATTTTTCCCCTGAAATCTATTATGCTACACAGAACAAGCTACTTGCTCATAGTATTGCAAATATACTAATGCTGAATTCTGTAACAAATTTCACTCATAAGATACCTTTAAATATTTGTTTAATGTGATCACTATTGTTTCCTTTATCCATGCAGTCCACAATATCATTGGCAATTTTTGTGGTATGGCCCATATGACCTCTCCTGCGACCACCAGGCCTTGACCTACAGCAGACAATAATTCTTATTAACATGCAACACAATTCTCTCAATTGTATCACTGCAAAATTAAGTACATGTCTAACTAGCAAAAAACATTGAATAAATTATAAATCAAACACCACTATCCCTCTGTTCATATATATAAAACATAAAAGCATCCACAGAGTCAACAGAAATAATTCATAAATTAAAGATAATTAAAGATAATAATTTTTTCAAGGGGATAATACCTCAATATTTGTTCAATAATTGACAATTTTTGAAATAATTTTCTCTTGAGAAGCCAGGTTTTATACTTACTGATCTTGCTCATTAATTTCAAAAGACTCTAAAATCCTCTGCACTATTCTACAATCTAAAAACAACTGCAAAAGAAAAAAATAAATCACATTAATCAAGATGGAATATGCTCATTAAGCAGAACTTTTTCTCCAAAAATATGGTAAATGACATAGTAACAAACATAGGCAGTCATCAAAAGACAATAAGAAGCACATATAACTGAATAATTAACTCAATTTACATAAAAAGCTGAAAAACATGTCATACAAAACCTGAAAGACAATATATACTGTGCACTCTGAGAAAATTACATTATAATAGAATAGACATTCCCGAACTTGAAATCAGTCCTTCCATTAATCGATAAATCTAACATAATCCAGACATGAAAATAAAATAGGCTTACTTGATCTAGAAGCACATTTTCCTGTTTTCCTTCATTTTCTGTAGGTGTATTGGTTAGTATTGTATAAACACATTGTTCCAACTGGGTATGAAGGAAATTGTTCCATATATATTTAAAATGGAGATCCTGCAAACAAAAATGGATAATATGTTGAATTAAAAATTACATAATTAAATACAACACCAGAACAGATTCAACATAGCTCATCATGTAAAAGCATCTTCTTCTTACCTGAGAACAGATTTATATCATAGAAATTTTAAGAAATACTGATGTAACATACATCATATCATTTTGATTAAAAATTCAGTCAAAATATCTTACAAACACAGAAAATTTAACCTACCAATAAAACATTCATGGTTCCCAAATTAGCTAACTCTGAATTAATTGCATTTGTATTTGTGAGTAATAGGGAGGTCACCAATCTGGCCACATGTAATCTGGAGTTCCCCAAAGGAGGATCAAGTGATCCAACTGTAGTGGGCATTGCACTATATTTTTGCTGAAAGGGAAAAATTTTGGATATAAGAGAAATATATTTAAGTCACATCCATCTGTAACCAAAGAGAAAACTAAAAAATTTTCAAGTTCTTTTTCACAAATATATAAAACAGTAATCAAGAAACTTGGTTTCTGATTTCTATTAAGAATAAAAAGTTAGAAATATTATAGCATTCAATTCTCTTGCAAAAAAATTCCAACCTTAAACCACAGATGCTTCAATCTGTATAAACCAAGAAATACACTCACTTTAGGAGGGTTGAGGAGAACTTGATGAAAATCTTTCAACCTTGGCGTGACTGCCATTAGTGTATTGCTCACACCTAAGGCAAGGCGTTCAGCATCTAATGGTGTCATTTCTTCTTGTAAGCCTTCAGGACTGAATTTGCAGAAAGAACGTGCAAAAATGCCATATAAATCTTTCCTTTAATGCCTTAGTAATGTTAGGGTACAATCTGCAAAGCTAAACATCAAAATTTCTAGTTCAACATTTAATTAACTATTAATAAGCATTTTGCATATTGTGGTAACAGCTTCAACACTAAATTAATATATACCCTGTTTTTCTGAACTCTATTAGACACTGTATCACAGTCAGTCCATCCGTGAGAACAGTTTCCTTCTTCTCTCCATTGAACATGTGACAGAGGAGGTCACTCACTGTATCTTGACTGAAAAGGTCAGGGAGGAGATGTGACTCATAGCACTCAAAGACAATTATGTTGGAAAAACAACATTAATTTCTTCCATTACCTTAGCATTGACATAAATCAGTAATTGGAACTTTAGTGTCATTACTACAACATATCAGTTGAGAAGTGTAAGATGAACAAGGTTTTTAAATAGTACTCACGCTTCAACAGTAGCTAATAAAGGGTCTGGGTCACATTTATCTTGTAACTGTGACATTTGCTCTCTGCTGAGCCTTATTATATCACACAGAGACTGGGAAGCATTGCTTTGTTTCTGAAAATGAAGATGTAACATATGCAAAGCTTTGTCACCAGAGAGTGAAGTGTGTATGTAAAAAAGTAGTTTTTAATCAAAATCAAAACTTAAGAAATCAGATGTAAAGAAAATGGACCCTTACCTCCTCATCTTCTGAGGGGTCAATCATGGCAACTAATTTTTGTATAAGTTTTTCCTCATTTAGCCACTGAAATATAAAAGTCAGCCCAAGTTAAGTTTTTGTACAAGTTAACTGCTTATATCTTATCAATTACATGATAAAAGATGCTACAGTGCTAATCAAAATGCAAATATATCTGAAAAACACTGTGGCCAATGGATTACTTTTTTCCCCAACCTGATAACATTCTTGACCTTTATCTGAGCAAGTAGTGAACACTTACATTTAATATTGCATTTCTGGTTTCTGCAATTTCCACGCAAGTGATAAGCCTAAGAAGTAAGTCCATAATTGCAGAGGTACCTATATGATGCAGTAAATTGCCAACAAAATTATCCCTAGACTTCAAATAATCCAACATCTGAAACAAAAACAATCATCAATTAATATATCAAACTTAAATATGAGAAATTTCCAAAATCTGCTACCAAGACAAGCCACACTACAAACTTTAAGCACACAGCATTTTCATTTATGGAGTCTGTATGTTTGCCATCCAGACATCAAACTTTCATGGTTAACCATTCTGATGTATGATTCAACAGTCATGTAAGGCCTGCAACATACAGGCCAGTGCATACTGCTACTATATCCAGTTTCAACCAAAAAATTTATCCTATTGAAAGAAAGAAGTACTTACAAACTCAGATTTCTTGTTGATAAGCAGACCCATGATCTTGCTGAAGAAGCTTGCTAAAAGTGGGTTCAAAGGCCCCTCTGCCTCCAAAAACCCGTATATTTTGGCCAACAGGGCCTCATCAGCCACAAGTCTTTCTGTGATCTGAGCTACATCTGAGGTCAGCAGTTCACAAGCCGTGTTTGGATATCTGATATAAAAAGACATTGTGCATTTAAAAAACCTGCAAATACTAACAAATTTTTATTGTATGTTTTATTATGGGAGATAAATGATATGACAGACACTGAGTAATAAACAGTTGAGATGAATTCTTTGAAATCTTGGCTCTTCAGATTTAGATTAATCAATTTTAAAACCTACTTATCCATTATTACTGTTTATATTTATTCTTACTACCCATTCATCTCTTTATTATATTACAGACATGCTGAAAACTTTTCAGAATGGCCGGACATTTGGACCGGCAGTAATGAAAAATTTGCCGGACCGAATGGATTTTTGTCGGACCGAAAATCACCCTATTCCTTTGAGACAGATAGTACCAGTACAATTAGGTTGCTTACTTTGTTTGTGAATGTGATAGGTTTGAAATGGAAGGGAAAAAACACTTTGGGTTTTATATAATTTTATTAGTGAAGTATGTCGAAAGATGACTGTAAATTCAAAATTGTAGTTCTTAAAACTCTTGTCGGTCCTTTGGACTGACCAAGTCCAATTTTCTACCTGTCCAGACAAATTTTCCCGGTCACGACCGATCAGACCAACATTTTCAGCATGTCTGTATTAAAACTGTTTCAGCTCAGTGTTGTGACATACTTGTACTTGACTTTATCTTCTAAACTTTCATCTGGTTCCGTTGTAACAAGGTTGACCATCTCTTCCATCACCTCAGGACGGATCAAACTGGATCAAAACAATGGAGACGTTTACTTTTGTATAGTTCATAAAGTCATTATCATGTCAGGGTTTCTAAACATGAATTGTGTGAAACATTTAATGACAAAAATTTAGATAATTTCAAAGTAAGTTTTAAGAAAATTTACAAAAAAAAGATCTATCATATAAATTGTACATTATGCATTATACAGGACACTGAAATGATCACAAAAATCATAGCACAGGCTTCAGACTGCTAAAATCGTCAAGTATACCAACTTTGCTCGCACCTGTAGTCCATGCACAGAACATAGTCATTTTTCATTTTGGTGTGATGATTGGCAATAATCTTTTTTCGTGGTCTATATAAAACTACAAGACAACTGGTGCATATTCTTCATCTTTAGCTTGAGCACAAAAATACTTTTTTTAAGTCAAGTTGTCCCCAATATATGAGCTAAATAAATAAAACGAGATTAAAAACAAACATGAAAAGAGACAAGTTCGTCTTTTAAAAAGATATCACTTACAAATCCAGTAACTTCCTGTTTTGTGCCTTGCATTCTTGCAACACATCATCCTCATCCATCAATTCATGAAGTGTCACATCCTGAATAAATAATAGTAATTAAGTTTTAAAAAAAACCATCCAGACAAAAAGGCAAGGGCCTATATTAAGCTCGGACTAGGTACATACTCATGGATAAATCAACGCAAAAAGGCAAATGGTGGAGAATTTCTAGCTTTAAAAAGCAACTGATTTTTGTCTGTGATGGTTAAAATATCATTGAGTACATGAATAATGAATGTCTTTGTTTAGTTATAAGATCAAAGTCCTACTAACTAATCTAACAATGTTCAACGGAAATACAACTGATGAACTGGCACTCCTTGTTCTTGAAGTAAACAGGCACACAAACACCCCTCCAATAAATAAAATACAAGCTAAATTTGCCTAAATACGGTCTTTTTCAAGGCACAAAGGCCGAATCAAATTGAAGGCAACTGTTGCACATAAAGACTATTGCAATCCACTAATGCTGTGTGAATAGTTTAACAATGTAACACCTATATTAACTTAGATCACATTCATGAGTTGAGCCAGGCTTTACAAATCCTGGAACTAAATATGGCAGACGTACATGAAAGAAAAAACGCCTAATATTTTAATAGTCTCTCAACCTCTCACACGCCTCCCCACGCGTCGTCCCTGCGGGGGTACAGTCATTAAATCTCAGCTCCATATATATAGGGGAAATAGACATATCCCCTCATGCTCTTTGAAATATTGTCACAAGATTCTGTCTGATGACTAAACTTTTGAGGTTCATCTTTTTTTGGGCAGACAGACCTTACAGGCCTGGTATTAAATTGGCTTTATGCCAATAAGTGGGGTTTCATTTCATTAAAATTCACAAGAGACTACCATCTAAGAACCTGTGGTATTAACTTATCTTATTGTAGTTAAAAATAACAAATTGTTTATTCACTAGACTTTGATCATGTTGTAATCAAGACACAACAGTCACTCTTAGAACAATCATTCAACATTTGCATCAAATCATTTCACATGATATCAACATTTTTCATACCAATTTAATATGACCCTACAATCATTCAACAACAGACAATGTGTGGGGCAATATATATATATATATATATATATATATATATATATATATATATATATATATATATATATATATATCATAACAAATACTGCCATTCTCTGTATTGCTGTATTAAATAATATTGAGATCAAAAGAACTAAATACCTACCTCCTTGTCAAGAAGAGTGTCTATGTGGGAATTCAACAAATGAAACTTCCAAAACATCCTGGTATGTTGGTATCAAGCTAAAATGTGAAAAAAAGTTATATACCAAGCCATTTGTTTCTTAGGTAATCATGGAAAATTTGTCCAGTACTTCAAACTACAACAAAATTTAATAAATGGAATATTTCTCATCCCACTCTAATAAGATTGCAAAAATAATGCATCTCTCTCTGGTAATTCAACCTTCATCCTGCTGCATTATATATATATATATATATATATATATATATATATATATATATATATATATATATATATATATATATATATATATATATATATATACCTTGCTTCAAAGGATACCTTTCCAATCTTATCACCACCACATATATGTCTTTATCCTTACACCCCATTCTCATAGATTAGATCGACCTACATTGGATCGACCTAACTCCCTGGGGGTTCACGCTAAATAGCTGTCAGCCGGGTGGACACGAAAGTTAATTACCCCTTATAGCTTGTAGTAGGCGGGGACGGACACTTAAGGCGGATTATCTGACAGTAATCTAGTGAGACTCCCCGCGGTGATAGATCGATCTAAAAGTTGTGAGAACAGAGCCTTAGACATAACATTGGGATTATTGGAATCAAGGTCAGGTACTAATTATTTCTGATAATCTGGACTACACAAACTTAAAATAACCAAAATAAGTCATATTAGATCCACGGAATTGTTAGTGTGCAAATCAACTTGTTCTTAATGTGCCTTTAGGCAGGTTTATACCTCTAACCTTTGCTCTCAACTTGCATTTTGCAATTCACCAATTTTATTTCCAGTATCATCAGATATTGGAAATGCTTGGATTGGAATGTTTTATTTCCAATTTTTCCCCAACTTCATTAGAATGTTTTTGTACCCAAAATACCAAGGTCTGTGTCAAAAATAAACTTCAAATCCAACACTTACTAGCTGTTAAAGAGAAACTTTTATCTCCTTGCAGTAAAGAATAAGATAGGTCAATGAAAACAACAAACAAAATGTCAACATTTAAGTATAACAACTTTGCAATAATAATAAATAAACTCGAAATATTCTCACATGACTATCTGTCCATTTGTTATCATATAAGGAGTAGTAGGGATAACTGAACAAAATATAATAGACAAGCACTGATGAAACAAGTAGCCATCAAATCAGTGCAATAACCTTACTTTTGTTCTTGTTTTGACCAAAATGACATCAATTTTCCTTTGGGTGTTCTATTCAGATAAGTGCAATATTTGAAAACTGAGTATTAAACCGTTGTTTTAATATTTTATCCGTCTTGCAATTTTCTTTGTTGTCCATGAAAATTTAACAACTTCATGTCAGAAACCATACCATTACATAATGTATTGATATTGTATATGCTAAGAGGGGCATGCACACTATAGGTGCAACTCAAGAAAGATGTGAAACTGAAACCGCGCTGTTTGCAGTGCATCTCTGGATGCATGAATGGCAGTTCTATAATATGAAACATTCAAAAATTTGGTTGTACTAAACTTTGTTAATTTCATCAGCCTTAAGATTCACTTAAAATAGTTGTTAGACTTACTCAATAAAAACATATAATGAACATTCATTTAACAGTCTGCATCAAAGGCATCAAATCGCAAAATTCTCCGCAATTCATAATTTTGGGTGATCTTACTTAACGTGACAGTATTAATGTGCCAAATCCCTTTACCAGAAAAAGCACCAGAAAACTTACCTTAAACTGAAGCTTTAGGTTTAAAATGTATAACAGGTCTTTAGAGCTACCATTTCATGCTTCCCCAGCTTATTCAATAAATTCATTCGGCAATCAACTGACGACAAGGGTGTTAATGAAGTGAGTGTCCAAAACTCCTGAGCCTGCGGCCCTATCAACTGTCACATGAGGTCAGATATACATGTGTCGCGTAATGTACTAACTGTGTCCAACCCTCGATTCAAAGTGCTTAAATAATTGTTTTGGATAAATTTCCTAGGCGGGAAAGCAGACTCTGCTCAAAATGGCGAACATAGAAAAAACGACCCCCGTATCCCATAATACTTCAAATCTCGAATTTTAACGATCTCGCCTGGGCGCACCTGTTGCAATCAAAACTTACCTTTAGGTTGTTGCTGTTTGTTATTACTGTACTTTATCCCGGATTATGCAATCATTCAAAAATGTATTTATTCAAAGGGCAATATTTTCAACAGAGAGATTAAACTAAGTACGTTACCGAACTTAGTTTTACAGAATGAGGGGTTGATCTTAGTACGACGAGCTTTAGTACAATTTATAGAATGGGTATGTAATATACTGTATGTAACGTTGATCCATCATTAACTGGCAGGTCTTTTTCGAAAGGGTCGGCTCTCAACGAACACTTGCGTTTGACTTAGGTTAGAGTGAACTTTGTGCAATGATTATGGTTATCAATGATATTAATAAATTTAAGAGCTATTTTTATATGGGAATTTTTTCTTATATGAGAATTGTGTTGCGACCCCTCTCTTGATTATTATTGTTATTATTTTATTTATTTATTTATTTATTTATTTATTTATTTATTTATTTATTTATTTTTGTTATGAATATACATGTAGTTCATGTACTGGTACCGTCACCATCACATAAATAACAGATCGTGTGATTTGAGGTAGAAAATCAATTTAACCAATTTTATTGTACTTGAAGCAATCAGATCCTACTAATACGTACAGTTCTTTTTAAAAATAAATATTGTATCGGTGTTGTATAGCAATGAAAATAGTCACTCTATGTGACTCTGAGACATTAGGAACAACAATTTGAGAATAAAATGAAGGTAACAATCTCTTCTGGATTTTCCCACCTCCTATTCAATCTGACCTTTTCCCTGGGGTTATCCTTACATGTCTAATTATACTTTATTTAATTCTTTGTTCCTGTCGCAAAAATCTAAATGTACCGAAAATACAGTTTAAGTCAGACTACGTGCGCCGCTTAAGATAAAATATGCTCTCCTTTATCAGTGTTTAAATGGTCTGGGCTATGCTACAATCCTAGCCCAATGGCACGAGGGAACATTTAAAACAGCCCTATCCCCTCCCCACGTACCTCGCCATCGTGTCTCTTTCCATCTGTACACGGGTTGTTTGTACGTACTAGTTACTGAGTATTTTATATGCATTTATATGCATTTGTTTTGGAAAACGAATGCCCTTGGTTTCGTTATCATTTGTAGGAAAAACAGACTCATCCTACATTTTCGGTCAATCAATAATGATGAATGATAAGCCTGCCTACATAATCGCACCCACTAACTTCCTTCTGCACTTACTCACGTAAATGTTTATTGTTTACAGCTACTCATGAATATGTATTAAGGTCGAGACGAATCATTCATTGATTTAATATTTGCATATGAAGCGAGTCGCGCATGCGCCTTCATTGACCTAAGGAGAGAAACAAGAGTACGGCAGCGGAAGGTAATATTTTTTGAGAAATATATTTTTTCGTGATTACAGGTGACAAATATTCTTTTTTATGTTCACTGCTATAACTATTGTTTTAGAACTTATAAAATACAGGTGCTGTCATACGTGTGAATAGTAACGTGAAGGACTTTTTGGGCTCTCCGGCACATGCCGATGCATTGATCGGGAAAGAAGTGACTCACAAAATTAGGTCAAAGAAAAAGCACGTCATTTAAGAAAAAAACGACAAAATATGCCGGTGTGGTAGAGAACTGTAGAAGACTGATGACCCACGAAAAAGTGAAGCTAAAAGTACAAGTTGTCAGGAGTTTCCAATGGAATTTTCAGATATAAACAAAGAGTCTCCTTTGTTCGCAGTGTTCTGCCAATCAGGTCACGACTTGACAGGGAGGTCCCGCCTTGCAATGAGGTTCGGCTGAGCATTGCGGAATTAGACCACAAAACACAGATAGTAGAAGTTAGCGAATGTTTGTTTAAGCTGCAATGCAAATTTCCTCGAGCATAGGTTTCTGAATTATGTACTGACAACGAGAATCAGCTGGAAGAGGGAAAGCGACAGAGAAAAATAAGGTAACATGTGGATTGTTATTTATAGCTGTGGAGAGTTCATGACCGGTTACTGGGTTTTTAATCAGGTCAGATTCAGGCAAGCAGTTCGTACTAGGTTGAGGTGAAAGGTAATAGTTGATAACTTAAATATTGACATGAAGTCACGTACTTAAAAATAACAGCGCATAATATCTTATTTAGTACTGTCCATGCGTCAGCGAGCTGGGCTGACGTCTCAGATCTTTAAATTTGCTAGCGTTGGGTTTTTTTCGAGGCGAAGATATTTTTCAACGATTCGTTCTTGCCAGATCGACAAAGACAAGGCAGTTTTGACTGTTGTATATATAGTATATATGTCATTGAAGTAAGTAGAATTTCCAAGTTAATTGCGTTTAACTTTGTGGGGTGTCTGTGTTTCAAAATTCAGTTTTTTTTTAATAGATTGCCTTGTTAACCATATGTCTATGAAGATGGCAGAATATTTCAGTCATGTGTTTAGGGAATACACATATTAGTAGCAGGTATTCTGTGTTTGTGAAAAAAGAGCGTGAGCACAGAAACGTTTTAGACTATGGTATACTGTTAACTGAATTAATGGTAGTTAACATCAGGCAGAAATCGCACTGTAATAACTCAGAAAGAAATTGAGGTGCTATTTAAGTTGTATCAAGTTGTATTAAGTTGTCAAGAATGTATTACCATGTATGTAATACATTGTTGGTTATATATGGTATGTATATGTGTGTGTTCTACAAAATGGTCAAGTCAAATATGCATGTATTTCCTCACCAAACAGTCTTGGAAGCCAGTGATATTACCAGTAATTCTGGTCAGCATATTCCAAATGATAACCTCCCCCATAATTAACAGCTTCCTTTGCTTTGTGACATTTTCAGTATCAGTTTATGTATTGTTATTATGTAAATTAGATTTGGTACTTCTTCCCTGAGGTCTCTCTGAGGGGGGAACTCACAAGGTGCCAGAACTGGACACCAAAAGTTATATAATCCACTCTCAGCTCTTTATTAGTCCTGCCTCTAAGGTAATCTGAGTTAACCTTAGGTATTATGTAATATTAGAACATTTAGTATGGTTGTGGATTATTCTGGCTTCCTTGTGAATGAAACTTAAGGCTGTTTGTTGTACAGTAACAGCAAGGAAATGGGTTTTAGCATCACGTCTCATTTTTTTCCAGGAACAAAAGAGTGTTTAAGATTTTATGAAGTTGTTTGTTTACATTTTTTTATTCTGATGGCATATAGGGATACATACCGTGTGCATTGTTACCTTCATGTTGATGTCACAGGCATAAAAATAGCAGTATCACATACTCTAAGTTTGATCCTACAGGTCAGAGGTAATGAAAATAGATTAAAATTTGCACCTGGCCTCATCTTCTTTGTGCTTTTTAGAGTTACTGGTGGCTATAGAAATGCACAAGTTCAGATATATTGACCATTTGCCTAGATAGATTTATACAATACTTCAAAAGTGGTTGTGTAATTTCCTAACTCATTGATTTTTATGATGGACAGACAAAGAAATGTGCATGTCACTTCCAAAAATGTATATATCATTGTTCAGTGCATTAATTTTGTAATCTGTGGTATGAAACATGGCCTTTTTAAAATTCAAAATATCCTCTTTGTAATCTGAGCTCTTTGTAATTAGTGTGGAGTGAGCGTATCATATAGAACTGATTCAACATGATAATATGTAGGTCTGAGAGATGTTATGTATGTACCTTTGATGTTGTATGGAAATTACACCTTAATGTTGCCACCTCAGTTTTGTCCTGCTGTGCACAATATGTGCACCTCTATAGTATTTCAAAACAACATTGACCAATATTTATTTGGCATAGCTTGTGTGCACAGTTAATTTCAATTTTGCATTGCCTATCAGTTTTGCTTTTCATAGTGTGATATCAACATACTTTTTGTGCCCTTCCTTTAAAATATTCTTTATTTGGTTAAGTAAGGTTATATGCACCGAGTGGTATATGTACCTCAAGGTTATCACGTATCATTGTGTGTACTTACATTGGTTGTTTATGAACTAGTTCTGAGAAAAAGTCAATGATCTGATTTCCATACAGCTTTGTGTTAGCATTGACAGTAGTGCATATACTGTATATGGAAGTTTGTTTGTGTTTTCACCGGGATATTGTTATACTAATTATTTAATGGTAATAATGTTGGATGTGGAGAGTTGCCAACATTCATTGCCCTTATATTGTTTGAGTGTGACAATATATATTACAAAATCATATGATAAAAATTTTCATGGAATGTGTCAGCTTAGATCTTTGTGAGTGAGGCATTGTGGACTTTGAACTTTCCTTATTTTCACATACAGGCAGCAGAACTGTTTATTTTGAAATTTGATTCCTTTGTGCTCCCTAGCCTTAATTTATTCAATGACTGAAGTCTGAAGTATCTAGAGTTGCTCTTAGTGCATGCTCCTTACATATTTTGCTTAGCTGTATACTTCAAGTCTGAATTTAATTGCACTTGTTCAGATGTCAGCCAAAGATGCTATTCTTATCTAACATGTGTTTGTTATGTGGAAGTCAAAAATCCCCTTTGTATATGAGTGTATGTCATTTTTACATGAAAAAAAATGTATATATGCAGTAGATTTATGATTTACAGTTTGCATTGTTACATCGAGTGATTTTGTCTTTATTAACTTTTTTGAGATTAATACATGTTGTTATGGGTAAAATTAAAACTAATACTGGTTATGGTTGGGTTTCTGTCTTTACTATCTTGGTGGTGATAGTGAGTGGGTGCATTAACGTCATTATTTTCCGTGGAAATTTAAAGAGGTGGTTGTGGTTCACCAGCATGGTGAACCAGAGGTCAAAGACTGGCCAGACATTCTTTGCAGCACACGAGAAATGTGTTGCCACAGTTGATTAATTCTTTGTTGACTTTAACGGTTCATCACACTGGACATCTTGGTATGCATTATATACCTAACCAATTGTTTTGGTAAAGCTACATTTTGTATGTTCATGGCATAAGGGTTGTGGTTGATATTAGTATGGTCAGAGATTATTATTGAGCCCAGTGTAATGTCTGTGTAATAATTTTTAAATTTTTCTAAAAAAATTTGTATATAATATTATATACATTTATTTGTGTTTTATCATTTGGGTGTTATAGAGTAAAATGTTACCTTCTTTTCATAATTACAGAAGACCAAGACGCATTATGTTCAATTTCCATCGTCCCAAAACTTACCGCAGCCTCACGGGTTGCTGCATTTGTGGTGCAAAATCATCTAGTTCAAGATTCACAGACAGTAAACGCTATGAAGCAGACTTCCAGAAATGTTTCCGCATGCATGAAAGGAGAACAGGAGATATATGCAATGCTTGTGTGCTACTCGTAAAAAGGTGGAAGAAACTTCCTGCCGGTACAAACAGACATTGGAATCATGTAAGTAGGGCATTGAGTTAGTTATTTTAAAAAAATGTGCACTCTAAAAGATTACTTGAGAAAAGAATAAGACTTGGGTATTCTATTGACTAGCACAAAGCAAAATAGTTTTGATGTGAGAAGCTCTTAAGAAAACCATTATAGTAGGTTTCAGTATAAAAACATTTAAACACTATTTAACCTTGAACATTGGGAGTTGGATTGTTTTGTTCATATGTTACTAGTGCCATTATTAGTGTATTGGTTCCCAGATGGTTCATAGCATGCCCTTACCATATCATAACGCAATTGTTTAAGATCTTTATCTCCATAACACTTAAAAACCTTTACTTTCCTGATGTGGTGCTGTGAAACGGCTCCCACCTGCACCTTATCATTGTTATGATTGCTCTTAAATGTTAATTAGGTTGCAGTCTCCCCTATGTTGGTAAGATAAAAATATGGCCTATATCATGCAACAAAGACAATGGTTAAGTTATTAAACACCCTATTGTCACTAAGCTCTGAAAGATGTAATACCACAGACTGTATTGTTTTCCAAATTGCATACTTGTGTAACTTGCTTATGCAGAATAAATACATAAGATGCTAAAATAAGAGGTATAGTCTCTTGTTTGATCATAAATGACACCATTTCATTTTGTACCACATTTGGAATGGTCTGTTTGGCAACATGGGTAATCGTGAATAATGCTGTATGATGAAATTTTTCCTTTATTTCATAAATGTGTTTATATTTAATTTTACATTCATGGCTCTAAAAGTAAAAAGGCATTAACATCAACTTCCCTGCTGAAGGATTCTAGCGAATTGGAATAATTATCTCCAATATATTTATTATGGTATCAACAATTAATTCAAAAGCTATAGAACTTTTTTCCAAGAAACAAATGCATGACTTATATAAGATTTTTAAAATACTGGCTTTGACTAACGCAATGTATTGGCATCAGTACTTAAGTTCTCAATGACAGAAACAGTTTTGATACACTCTCAGTCAACAAAAAACTTAAACAACAACATTTTACACATTTAAAGTAACTCTTTCTTCTCCTCTCTAATGCCAATGACTTTTTTGCTGCAGGTTGTAGATGCACGTGCTGGCCCAGGTTCACGTGCACTCATGCTTCGAAACAAGCAACAAGGTCCAGTATCTTCCCCAAAAAAGAAAAAATCTCTCAGTAAAGATACATCAAGGAATAAGCACAAACACAAAAAGAAGCGAAGACCAAGAATTGATTCTGGAAGTAACTCTGAAGGTAAGCAAAAAAAAAGAGAATAAGGAAATTGTCAGGAAACATGGAAATCAGAAAATGAATATCTGTTGTATATGAACTCACTCTTAGGATAACATGTATAAACAAACATGGTATTAATAACAGTAAGCTAGTACCCTTGCTTCATTTAATTTGAAAGAATACTTTACTGATACAATAAATATTATGGATATATCATGCTTGAAGTGCATACAAAAAATTCCATCAAAACAGGATGACATTCAACAAATATCATCAATATTTTTTAGGCCATGTCCTCAAAGAAGTAACAGTTATTTGCGGTAAACAGATGTTTTTCCCTGGCACGTATAATCTTAAAGTACAAATGTCTTGTCCTTTCAAAATGACTCCTTCAGGTAAAGAGGTATCCTGCTGTGGCTTGTATAATCTATGCCCCCATCCACATACCATGTCCCTGCAGTAGTTAAGTAATACCTCTCTAGAGAGCAATGCTGTATTTCCTTAGACAGTAAAAAAAAACCACAAGTGATAAATAAAGCCCCATTGACCTCATTTTATCCCTCACAACTCAATACCTAAACTACATACATTGCTTCACCTCAGATGCCCAGCCATCTATAGTTAGTTCATAGCATAAGGCTATAGCAGGCTGTGTCCTCAGATGAGGCACAGAAGTGAATTAATACAGTACAAGTTATTGACCCAGTCCAGCATAAGAAGTCTAGTATGCAACACTGAGCATTTATCACTAATATTGTTACTTTATGCCACTGATGCCATTTTTGTGGTTTACTAAAAGTCAAACTACTGCATATACCCAAGTAGGTTGAATTGTGTTATGTGGAGTACATGCAGATAGTTTAACTTTTTGTTGTTATTTGTATCTTTTATTTAATTTTTTTATTTTCCAATGTGTACAAAAATATTCTGCCTACAATTAGTTTCAAATCATTTGAGTTGTCTTACATTAATAACTCACACAGTGATATAAACCATAGCACAGCTGGGGCAAGAACATATTTTAATGACAATATCATTTTGTTCTTATAATTAAGTTGGCATGCCATTTGCATATTAGCCTCCTGGTAATTACTCTGAATGCAAGTTATGGCTGTACATTGCTATTTCCGCAGGGCCTAGTGGTTAAAAACCTGTTATGTTACCTGTACAAGACAGGTGTCACATCATGGCATTCATGTTTTGTAATGCAAAAAGTGGAAATGCATAAAATATACTGTCAGTGTTATATATCAATGTAGGAATGCATTGTTTGGTACAATTAATAATAAGTAAAGAATAGGTCAAACATAAATATATGAAAAGAAATAAAATATTTAATTGCTTATATACTTCCCTTTGATAACTTAAGAAATTGCAAGTAGGCTCAAGCACTTTTTAGCTTTTTATAATCAAAAAATTTTATTTCTAGACAAAGTCAACTTCAAGGGTTAAAAGAGAAAGCCCCAGTCAGTCATTGCGGGTTTGTTCATTGTCTCATATGAAAGAAGTCTAGACTGCTATGCAGTGCCTGCAAACAAGCACATGTGAGAAACCCAGACACAGAAGCCCCTGCAAGTAAAATCAATACTTAAGTGTCTGCTGGAGTAGCATTGCCCTACACTGGGTCATCTCAATAGCAGGCTTTGTGAGGTGACAACCAGCTTGCTTGACCTTACCCTGGCCTGTCTATATTAGATGAGATAAATCCTGCACCTTGCATCAAAGTAAACTGACAGTTGGAATTTTAAGTGTATGCTCAGCAACGTAATTGCTTCCCTGAACTTTTGTTGACCTAACATCAAGAATCTTGGCTTCACCACCATCATAGCAAAAGGGTTATGAAGTTCTAAAGGTATAACAATACAGATAGTGTATGTATTCTGAATATGTACCATGTAATATATATGTCCTTAGGGGAGTGAGGGTTAATGAGAGTAATAAAGGTAAATGTAAAGTGCATTTTGAGATCCCCAGATACGTTTGATGCAAGTGTAATTTTGGAATATAAAGTATTTAGTGTATGTCCTTCAGAGACAGGCTGACCCAAGATCACAAGTTACCAAATGTGACTTCAAAAGTAGCACCTTGAATTGTACCAATATGAATAAGTAAAAATGCTAACTTCCGTGGCTTCATTGACAATTATACAGTATATGGTCTTACCAATTACTGACTGCATAAGGTCTCATGTCAAATTCATTTTGACTAATATTCCATATTGAATTTTTTTAATTGCCCATATATTTGACAAATCTCCAAACATCATCCTAACACAAACATACATTTGTTTTGAGTCTGTTTTGTTAACAGAGTTAATGTCTATACATTTATTTTTTTACAGTTGAAAATAAGTACTTAACATGATTGTGCTAGTTGTCCCTCACTGATTATCATGTCTTAAAAAACGCAGTTGAGTAAATTTCCTGTCACAGGTCTCCACTTGAAAATGTGTATGACGACTTTCCTTGATAAATGAAAGTGGGCTTTTTGATCACCTTGAAATATTACCAATGTAGCAGACGTATCAATGTCATCAAGAACCCGTTATCATGATGGATAACAATCAAATTTCTCATAACATGATGGCCTGGTGCACATTTTCATCTGAGACAGATTATCTCTGGTGTTTTTCCATTGAAATAGACATTTTTCAGGATGGTTTAAAATGTATATGGGTTTGACACACGAAGGTTTAATCATTCTCATTTCTGTTGCCATCAGGTGTAGATGAAGGCTACAGTGAGACATCAGGACCTCCCTCTGTGAATCGACAAAGTCCAGAATTGAGTGAATCTGAAGATGAAAACAGCAGAGATTCAACATCGAAGTACAGACAATTGGTGTCAAAGCTCAGTCCATTCCTTGACCTTAAATATTGGAAGATGTAAGTTAATGGGGAGAGAAAATTGTTTGATAAATAATTAACTTAGCCATTTATAATCTATATATATATGTAATCTCACTGTTCTCAACCTCTTACCCTTAAAAACTGTAGTTTATTTGGTAGAGGTGAGTTTCCAGTGGAATTTAATTATTTGATTATCATTGTTTTTCAATTAGGTAATTTTTTTCTCCCTTGAGATTATGTAGTGGACATTATTAATCTTCAGGATCATTATTTTGCAGTACTATAGGCATGTATTATGTCATTGATAAATCATTTATTTTATCATTATTTCAGGACTCAAGTTTGCTGTGGTATCATATTCAAGGGCTTAAATGGAGAAGTAATGATTGATCCATCACTTCTTAAACCATGTGCTGGATGCAGAGCTTCCAAGACAAAGAAACAGACAAAAGAAAAGGGAGTGGAACAAACAGAAAGCATGAAAACAAAAGAACCTCAGAAAATGGAACAAGACGATGATGAAGAAGATGTTGTTGATGATGAAATGCCTCATTTAGAGGCAGAAGTGCCATACACTAATCACCAAAAATCCAAATTTGAGTTGCCGCTAGATCTGACTTACAAAAGTACCCCTGCTTTTCTCCAGTCAGGCCCTGTGCCTTTGGAAGCAGAAATCTAAGTTAATGTGAATGTATGGATCTCTTTTTTTAAAATTGTAAACTATTTTATTTCTAGAAGCTGAGCAAATGAAAGATAAGTGATGGAATAATTTTGATTTGAGCTACATCATTTGTACCTCTGCTCATTTAGATCTCATTTGCTGCAGATGACATTGAAAAATATCTATTTCTCACACATGGAACTGTGTGATAATGTTGTCATTGAACTGTGCTCAATACAATCAGTCCATTTCCTTATTATTTCGTTTTAATGTTTTATGTGTATTTTTGTCCATCAGTGTGATGGTTGACTGTATTGTAGGCATTGTTCAAGGTGTATTGTGATTGCTCACCAATTGGTGACAGTGTGCCAGGGCATTACGGACCTCACTTTGTGATCAAAATAGAACAATTATAGTTGACTACCTCTGTTTCTGTGAGCGAGAGGAATTTGTTTTAATGGAAAGAAAGTGTTTGGTGGTGTAAGTTATGTGGAGATGTTGACTCAACACATCTTTGGACTGAATGTCAGTATGTGAGTTATTTTTTAACAATAATATGATGATTAAGGAGCTTGCCTAGAAATTTTAAGCAACTTTGTGTACATTATCACTTTCACAGAAGAATTAGAAATGATTTTTCTATCAATTTGTAAATGAAGTAAAAGTAACATTCCTCATGCAAATGGTTTGAACATCGTCTCCAGTTATATTTGTCATATTATTTGTGGAGAGGAATACAGCAGCACTGTGTAAAACTGAAGCATGCCAAAGATATCTAAAATTATTCATTTTAATTTTCCAACAATGACATAACACATTTGATTGTGATGAACAGTGAGCAGATGTTTATATTCAAAATTTCAGAAATAGAAAATGGTCAATTAAGTTTTTTTTTTCTTCCATATCAGATCCATGTTGGTTTTATTATTTTTTCTTAAATTTCAAACTATTGTTTTGGTGTGTGATATTTTAATGTGTAGAATATACTTTTGAATATCTATGGTGCTGCAGCTGCCTCTGCTGAAATTTTATCAGCCATTTTTCTACTTTGTATAAATGCTTGTTTTAAAACTGAACTGCTGTTGCTTAAAAAAAAAGAGCACAATTTTATCTCCACCTCGATTCTATGAATCCGAGGGATTTTTATATCAATGTTTATAGAAAAGTATTATTTATAGTATATCATGCAAATACTCCAACTGAAATTGCTAAACAATTGACACTCGGTTATGAAACGACACAACTTGATTTTGCTGTGAAGAGCGGCTGCTTACACAAATGTAAGGTATAAGTGCAGAGGTGAAATGAGAACTTTAAACTGAGATATATGTACAATACTATTTAATATCTGTCATTTTATAATGACATTTTAATTTAAATGGTAATCTTGATATTTTATGTAATTGTCTATAGCAGAATGTGTGAACTGATTGATATTTGGACAAGTGCAATAATCGCAAGTGATTGTGTGAATATTTCAGCTGGAGCTACATTACACAGAGGTGATAACAACTTCTTGATGATCTCAACATGTCCTTTAGAATCAAAAAGAGTTACAGCAATACAATTCAGAATGTTTTCATTTTATATTGAAAAGGAGGTAGCTCTGTTGCACAATTTTGTGACTGTGGCCAAGAAAAAGCTTGGGTTTGGAAGAAGTGAACCTTGCACTGATATATATATATATATATATATATATATATATATATATATATATATATATATATATATATATATTATAATTATGACAGACTTTGAATTAATGCTGCATATGTGAAAATTACCTAAATGGGCTCAGGGATTTGAATAAGACAAAAAAGATGTTTTAATCAGCAAAAGGGAGAGTGTCATGCTCCTAATAATCACTGCAGGGTTAATTTTGCACCAACACAGGTCATTATTTGATATGTAAATATGTCATTATCATTCCTTAGTATTTCTATATATTGTAACATAGAGATCATAGATAAAACTATTTATGAATTAAAAGTAGATTTGTATGTTATATGTCGTGATTTAATGTAAAATAAATAAATTTTATCTTCATCATGAGTTGTCATTTCTAATTTCATGAATGAAATGTGATCTTTTCATGACATCAGAACTTGCTAATAGAATGAGTGACAAATGATGATCTAGTTTTCAGTCACGAGATATTTCATTAAAATTCGTTTTGATTCACTTCTTTTAAGTGAAAAAAATCATAGATATAAATCGGAAAATTTTTCATGTGTTCTTGTTTTAGCTGAACGTGATAGAAAATGCAAGCATTCCATATCGGTCCTGATTGCGGTAGAGGAGATTTTATGGAAAACCCGGAAGGAATTCTGTATATGATGTATTGATAAAATTGGGTCAATCTCAATAAACAGCTTTTCTTGTGATTGCCTACTTTCAAGCGCTTCTCTTGTTATAAATAGTAAATCGTTAGCGGCTAGGGTCCATTGGGGGAGAGTAACAAGTAAGTCATATTTGTTTTGTAGATTTATATCATTCTCAGGTCTATAACGGGTTAAATTTTGGTTTGCCATAACCAACGGGGCCGTAGCAATAGTCCGTACAGTAATTATACCACAGTGGTCCGCGTTCTACATGTAGATCTAAATCATATTTTTATGTCTCAGTATCCTGCAAAAATTATTATCTTTTTCAATCAGACTTTAAAAACAAAATATTATCATATTAATATACCTTAATGTTTCTTTGTGGAATGTCGGGGACACGTGGCGGTATACAGGTAAAATGTACATGTTGATTTGTATTCGAATCTTCTATTTGTTAAAAAAATTCAACGAAATCATTTCTTTGGTTACCACTATATAATAACAGGATAGTAATTATGGTACAAACCACCAAGTCCAAGTGCAGGTCCGGCAATGATTCTTGAGTAGGAGAAAAATTGTTCTCTTTTTTATTCTTTTTATTGAGAAAATTTTGATTTTTATGCTAAAATCCTTGTAAGTGTACAATGTGTGTTTGTGTGTGTGTGTTTGTGCCGGCCAGGGGGGGAGGGGGGAGGGGGGGGGGGAGCATACTGCATATATAAGTACCCATCATTATATTGCATACATGTACTGAGTACAATGTACCATTAACACTCACATATCATGCTGCAGTACTAGTAAGTTTATTTATCCTCCAGTTATGCAGATTACTGTAGTTTAATTTCAAAACCCACTTCCCTGTTAATTTGTATAAAATAATCTTGGTACCTTATAGTGCAGCCACTGGCCTGACCAAATAACATCACAAGCAAAAATTATCCAACTTGATTTATCTGCATCATTACTGAACATTATACAGTAAAACAAGACATTCATGTCATTGTTTGAATGCTTACATGCTTATCAGCGTGAGATATCTGGCTAGCTGCTCCAGATAATATATATATACAATTAAATTGATTCAAATCTGCTGCAAAAATACCTTTATGACCAGGATTTACAACTTCAATATAATTTCATATAGAGTTAGTAAAATTGCTTTTTGGATTATTTCTCCACATCACTTTTAGGTACAAAACTTTTTTCCTTGCATACTTATAATTAGCCATCCCTCTTTATATATCCTAGATAATACAATGTACATGCATGTCATATGCATTTTATTATTAGCATATTATATTGACATATCAACTTTTTTCTTTTATGGATAATATAAGATGCAGTACAAGAATACATATATATGAAGCTTGCACAAATTGTTACTAGTAAGCCTCACTGTTGTATTTAGTTCACCTCATAAGTCATTCTTTTCCCTAGGGTCAGCTGCATATACTCAAGGTTCTAATATCTTACCATCAGATTCAATTATGTGAATCATTCTTTAAGCAATACAGTGCCATAAAACATTGCAGATAGACATAGGGATGAAACCACAAGAGGCTTTCTAAAATGCCAAGTAATCTTTTTCAATCCAGTAATCTACCCAGGTATGTTAGAAAGATATGTTGGGTTTTCATCGTTTTAGGGCATGAAAGTCTCAAATATGGATTTTGATTTCATGCTTATGTTATTTCACTGGTATACAGTTTTCAGAGAATTTTTATCCAAATTATGCATTTGTTATCATATGACATTGAATTAAGAGGATAGTTGATATTAGAATTTAAAGTTGAGAACAGCCATAGCTGCATGACCCCATGCCCAGTTTATTGAAAGGTTGTCTTGTAAATTTTTAGAAAATTTATTTTATGTTGGAAAGAAAAGACAAGTCATTCCTATTTTCCATAACTCTCAACATCCTGGTCACCTGAGGCCTTGGTCATTTGGTCATGCAATGCTATTGTGAACACCTTGACCTACCAGGGAAGTTAAATGAGCTCAAGTAATTCAACTATCAGTTCCGCATTTCTTTATTTATTAGTCTGCCATGATAAGAATTGTTTGCATTTCTTACTGCTTGACATTATACATTAACCTAGACTAGAATTAGCCATAGTTTACTACAAGTTCAAGGCTCATAGGATGAAATATTTCATGAATTGGCATAGGTTGCAGTTTTAAATTGTTGATGGGAAGTTTGTTTGAGATCACATTTCTTCACAAACCAACCATTTGTTCAGGTACTGTATTCAGTTTGATAGCTTTAGATATATATACAAAGTAATGTAAAGTACAAATATCTATTATCTTTATTAACTTGGATCTTTTTTTTTTTTAGTACATCGGAAAGAAGGTTCATTTTGAGTAGATCCAAAAAATACCTTTACAGCCTGATGGCTGTGGTAGTACATGTACTTGTAGCAGGCTTGATTATATCATAACACCTGAACCTGAGATGTGATCAGGTCAGTAGAGAAACCTAGACAAAGCAGTCATCAAACAACTGAAGGTGGTCCATGGATTTTTTCAAAGTGAAACTTCTTTCAGTTTTAGGTATATCACTCCTTATCTCTATGGTATGTTTGCTTATGTATTAGGGTTACATGTACCGGTATATATCAATCTGTAGTGAGCCATGTATCCTTGGTAAACTTTCTTTATGGATATAATACTAGTAACCAACTGATGCCACGTACCTTAGGATTTCATATAGACTCAGTCAGTGCCAAATACTTTTCAACTTAAAGGCCATCCAAGTCACCTGGGTTCAAGAATCTACTGGGCCATACTTTAATTCACTGGCCAATTGTCAAAATAATTTTACTTTTACAAATAAGAAAAAAAAACATGGTCTTTTCAAAGGTTGTAAAAAAAGGATTCAACCGTTAACCCTAACACAAAAAAAAGAAATGGAGTACATGTTACAGCTGAAAAAATCCACTAGTAACTGAAAGTTTTTCAGAAATTTCACCAGCCCCAATTTTTACTGGCATTGCCAAGTGGGGCAGTGGTTAACATAGCAGACTGTAGACATGTAGAAAGATATGATTACTTGTTGAGGAAATCACACCTTTTTTCCATACTTAATATAGTTGTTAAAACAAGTACAACACTTGTGCATCTCATGTTCCTGTAGTGGTTACTTACTGGTACTTGAGTTTGGTGTCCAGGATGCAAACAGGATACTGATCAATCTTCCTACACTTCCTTTAAGTTCTTTCTCAATCATGTTATCATTGTTGTAGTTTCTCATCCAGGAAGTTGTAAATTAATGCTGTCTTAGTTGAATTCAACATGTTTTAAGCTGATAAAGGCAATGGATTTCTAAATAAAGACGCCCCATTGTCTTAAGAGTTTAAACTTGACTTTGCACCAGCCTCAAAATCCTGCATTACTCCTGTGAACATATATGCATAGTATTCCTTACAAAGAAAATTTGTTTTTTAACTTGAAAAGTTATCCATTACCTGAGATCTCAAGTTGACGTTTGTGTTAAGAAATGGGAGGTCGTTTCTGTACAAATTCAGAATAATGTATTCCTTTATGGAGTAACTCAACCTCTGGGTTTTAGCGAAAAGATTTGACTTTATCCACACAAGCGTAAGTGTTCATTGTTGGAATGAAATGTACAAGGAAGGTAAATAGTATAACTTTGTGATGCATACCAGAGTTTTGGGAGGAAGATACAGGCTCATATGGCACAGACACTACCTAAATCCAGGGGTTAAGTGCATTGGATAAACACACTGTAAAACTTTTTTCGTTAAAAACTGAATTTGACCAAATGAGCACCAGAAGACAAAGGCATTTTAGATTCTTTGTTTCCAAAACGGGGACCTTGAGGAGGTAGGTTATCAGTTGACAGCCTGGATCCCAAAAAGCATTTTGATTTAATAGCTGTATTCTGCTCCGAATCAGTTTAAATTTGTCTACATTTTAAAAATAGTTGCTCTACTATTTCTATATATATATATATATATATATATATATATATATATATATATATATATATATGTGTCAAAGGCCCCGACCAAATCTAGTCCTATGCATAAAAAGCCCAGACCCCATGTTGATTACGCCCTGGCTGGGCCCATTCTTTAAGGTGTCTCTGCATTGTTAACAGCATAATGGGCAAGTTAATTGACCAAGTTAATTGGCCAAGCTTTCAGTTTGTTTGTATGGCATGTACAGGGGATGTCTCAGATCATATATATATATATATATATATATATATATATATATATATATATATATATATATATCAAGCACTGGGTTGGAGCTTTACTGTGTCCCTCCTCCTTTCATACCTTATATAATCTTAGGAATGGAAGGGGCAGCATGTATAACAGGGACTAAGGGACCATTCCCACAGATATTTGGATCGATCTATCTCCCTTGAGAGTCTCACTAAATTGCTGTCAACTTGGCCAGCTTGAATGTCTGTCACGCCTAGTAAAGCTATTAGGGGGTAATTATCTTTCCCCCCTAGCTGACTTGGTAGGCGTGACAGACATATAAGATGGTTAGTTGATAACAATTAAGTGAGACTCCCCAGGGAGTTAGATCAATCCAAAATGGATCAATCTGTGTATGGGAATCCAGTCTAAGGCCCCATTCCCATGGACACCATTGGTCTACGTACAGAGTACATCAATCCAATTCTGCAATGACTCCTGCTGAATAAAATCAGATTAACACACCTCCTGGCATTAAGTAGAATACAGAAAGGCTGGTGATTATATGATTACATTCAAAACAAGAGGGAATCCCCACAGGGTTGGATCGATCTACTTAGACCCATGGTGCCTATATGAATGGAGTCTAAAAGATATATAAAAAAAAACAGGGACTAACTTTGAATGTTGTCATTAAAGCAATAATAACTCTTCCTTTGAGATTCAAAATTCTGCAAGAAATACATTGTAAACAAAGCATGGAAATATATTCTATTGCATTTTACCACTAAAACGGCCGTTATTGTAGTAAAACTAAAATCTGTGCTTGTCAATAGGGCTTTCGATGCCTTTCTTCTCGGTCGTCAAGGCATCTGTTGCCAATGACGTTGGGATGTCACGCGGATTCTCGCGTTGATTCGAGACCAAAATAACTTCTGGCAATGCCTGATGCAATACGCAGACGTAAGTTGCGAGTTTTTGTACAGTGCGCTGGATAACGAAAAGCCCAGAATAGCACACATTGTAGATATAAATGCATTTTGAGCAATAAGACGTATATATTTTATGAATCTTGTATTATTGTTATGTAGTGTTGTTGTTGTCTGCTTTTCCTGCAGTTTTAAGTAGGTCACAAGAAACTATCGCTCGATATCACGTGACTATGCAATGTCAGAGTGGGCTCCGTCAGTTAAAATCTCTTAAGAGATTTTAACAAAAAACCAAACGTTTAGGAAAAAACCCTGGACTAACTTTGAATGCAGGAATGGGGTCACTGACCATTGGTAAGTACGGGAAAATTGCCGTTTACTCCAGGAAAATCCAATTTTTTGGTAAAAATGAACAGTTGTTATCCTTTTAAAAAAAGCTATATATCTCACCAGGCCTTCTTATGGCAATTTCTAGCCATTTTTTCATACTTTTGAAGAAGTCAATCTGTTGCCTTGTTGTGTTTTAAAAAGTTACCTGCTATTTGGTTGGCTCTTTTTAGTTAAAATCATAATCAGATGGCCTGCTGAGATACCTGTAGTACAGGTTGTATGTACTAGATTTGGTTTAGCCATTTCCATTGGAAAATGGCCTTTATTTGATTTATATGGTTGACATTTTTTATCTAAATGAAGAGAGGGCAAGCAATAGGAAGTGATGCATACTGGTCTGGTGTAAAGAGCTAGTTATGTAATATATAGAAATGTCCCTCTCCTCTTTCACTATAGTCACTTATTCTGTTATCTCATCCATGTAGTTACATATGTGTACCTCCCATTTTAACATGTGTGGGACAGTATTTTGGAAATAAAGACTGTTTGTTGCAATTGTTTTCCTTCTGCTTTTTTGTGCATGCATGTGTTTTATTCTAAGGAAGGTTCAAGCTCATATTCTTGTAATAAATCTTTGCTACAAAGTCTTATAACAAATTTTGGTCACACACAGATTTTCTACCTTGAGCTTCTATTTTTATGAGCACCAGTTTCTTCATTTTCAAATTTAAATGTCAAAATGAAGAAGGTGGTCCTTATCATTTTTAAGCCTGGGTTATAATATTTTTATCAGTTGTTAAAGAATGTATTTTGTGTTTATTTTAATTATAAAAATGTTTTGTAATTTATAGCTTTGCTTGTTTTTGACAATGTGCCAAGACCAAAGTGTACTGATTAATATGTGTCACAGTTTATAAATACTGCTATGGCCCCAACTCTTGTCTGATTTTTTGTGTCACAGCCTGCCACTAGGGGAGCCACAGTCACATTATATATATATATATATATATATATATATATATATATATATATATATATATATATATATATATATATATATATATATATATGAGGTAAGAGAGAGTAACTAAGAAAATTCTTCTAGAAGATTTTTTTACGTCAAATGGGATTTTTGAATTTTTACAAAGTAAATGCAAGGGTTGTGCTTATAAACTCAGTGCTTCAAGAATATCAGTTTTCTGCTCGCGCCATCCAGGTATATTCATCTGTTTACTATTTTTAGTGACTCAGAACTTTTCTGATTTTTTGTAAAAGTTTTGCACTTTTTACCAAATTAAAATATGTTGGTTTCTTCTACCACCTAGGCTCACTGCAATGCAACTCAAATTTTGCTAAAATGTTAAAAAAAAGTTCAAGAGGCAATTTATAGGAGTTTTATATTAAAGCCTTAATTTTTTCTTTATTCTTTCAGATAACCCTAAACAATGTGTAAAGTTTCTGATATCATTTCAAGTTTTATTATTACTAAACCTGCCTATGAACTGTTTTTCAATGGATTTCAAACTACAAGGAATGCATTATAAGAACATTTCTTTGTTTGAGCCAAATAAGAGCTGCATTTAATCTGGACTCTATGATACTTTTTTTTACATGGGCTAATTTTTTTATGTCGGAAATATAACTGAAGTCTATAACCAAATGTTATATGCATGCATATGATGCATTGTATGAAGTACAGTTATGATTATATAGGAAATTGATTCCCAATTATCCTGCAAATATTTTGACAACAGCAACTAATATATCTGGCAATTTTGATATACATGTGTGTTTTTCATACACTTCATGTATGTGACTGCTTATATTGGAATGTTAGAGAAATTTTGATTTCAATTTAACTTCACTCTTAATGACCTAGATGAAATAAATGATTTGATTTTCCTTTGAGTTTACCTTGCTCCTGAAACTTCCAGGGCTAGGAAAAATGAAAAGCAGTCCCCATTACACCTGTTATTAACAGGCAGTAGATGAGCAAGACCTGGAAGTTAGTCATAGTTATACAGAACTTGAAGTCAACAAGTTGTGATTAAAAAGGCACATGTTACCACATGGGTTGATCTAGGAGGTCAAACTTTATTTCATTTGTCTGTTTATTTTCACAGGGGCTATTATAATTCCAGACAGTTGCCATTTGCATTTGAGGAGAAGTCCTACCATTTGATTGTAGAGTTATCTCGTCTTGATCATAAAATTATATACTATGGGTTATTTAGGAGCATAGGAAAAAAGCAAAAATGCAATACAAGTTTTTTATGTATAAAAAGTGATATCTAATTATTTTTTCTTTTTACAATATCACTATAATACAGCTGGTAAGTTAATTTTGATAAAAAAATGGGAGAAGTGTTTATTTTCAAGGTTTTATTTTAATTCAGTGAATATTTAGATATATATGCATACCTTATATTTAGATATCATACTTGCATGACAAAATGAAAAGATCAATCCACTGTTGAAACAAATTGAATGATTCACTTGTGTACAAATAATTTTTTTTTCTGGATTATATATGCTATACAGAAACTTGGATGAAACTTTCATGCTACTACTTTATTTTAACAGCTGCCAATACCTATCTTTAATGACAAACTTATTCTTTGAAATAACATCTAAGCTGTGTCAAGAGTTCAAAACTTAACTGCAGTTACCATGTCTGTGGACTTCAGTTGGCCTAAATTATCTGCCATAAACTTTGAGCAATTTTTCAGTTCAAGTCCAGTTGAGATATGCTTCTGAAATTGTGATAATAATGGCAGGTGAGAACTTCATCACCGTTAAAGTTATATGGTTATTTGGTCAACAAGTTGAAAGATATGTCTATCCGGACTGCCTGTTGATCAAATAACTAATAAACAAGTGCGAGGTCAAGGGGTTCCCTCTGGCAGACTCACTGTGAAGGAATTTCATGTAAACAAGTTAATTTTGGATATTTTTAGAGTTTCCAGTCTACATCATAGTAAACAGGAATAGTGTTTTGTTTGGACTAATATCTGTGTTACATTACAGTGATTGTGTACAGAAAGCTCTGGGCTCATTATCTCATTTGATGCAGTAGAGTGAGATTAGTCACTCCAGCATAGCTTAAATGGTCATGCTGTTAGGCTTGGTTAAGTCAGTCAGAGTCAGCAAGGGCTATGGGCAAGCCAATAAGGATAGGGGCTCTTAATCCTGTATTAAACACTGAATATTGGGATTATTGGAAAGGACTTATAAGGTTGATAGCATAATATCACTAATCATTTTAGGTGCTACTTTACTGTACTGATGATATCACTTGTATCACTTGCTGTCATGTTAAGATTTGAATAATGATTATTATCAGTTGGTGTGTAAATATACAAGGATAAATGTATGTATGTAATTCACTGGTTTATAATACAGGAGGCATATTTTGGAAGTTAATATTGAGAATATATAAAAAAAGGGACTCTGATTCCTAAGTTAATGATATAAGATGATTTTTAAATCAGTTTGTAACATCTCTGATGATACATGTATGTATCATTGGATGTCAGTTGTAGATTGTTTATTTTTAGACATACACCAGTGCCAGTTAGTTCAGGCCAATCTCTCTCTCTCTCTCTCTCTCTCTCTCTCTCTCTCTCTATATATATATATATATATATATATATATATAGAGAGAGAGAGAGAGAGAGAGAGATTTTATTATTATTTAAAGCAATCTACAGATTTTCTTCATTTTCCTTAGGAAACCCCATGCGAGTCTGAGCATAATGCCTACAGATGGGAGACGGATAGACCGAATTGAGTGTATACAAGTAGAAAAGAGAAGCTACCCACAAAAACATCACGTAAGTTGACTTTTTTGATTTGCAGATTTCTTTGAAATGTATTGCTAATTTATTTTGTTGAAATACTTCAACATAGGCTTGATAGAGTATTGGAAATGGCTTTATTATAGATTAAAAGTTCTCCAGATATTTAGAATTCAGTGTCTGTTATGCACTGTTAAATGTACCCTTTTAAGGACACGGGTCCTGTTGGTCATAGGTGGGATGGTCTGTATGGTCTGTGTTGGAGAAGTCGTGCTGTCATTTCATACTCCCTTATCAACTCGTTTTATGACCATATCACATAAGGCTGTCACATAAACCACAGGAGTCAAACTTGATGATACTGACTTCTAGTGGTGTTCTTATAAGTTTATTGGCCTAAATTCATCCAGTGTTCAATTGATATATCATAATTTTTGAAAATGAAAAAAACTGTTTGTTTTATTTGTTCAATTTAGTTGAAACTTAATTTTTATTAATAAGTAAGGATTGCATATTGTGGTAATAAGCAAATTTCTTATACATGCATGTGCCCCAGCATCACCAGGAAGTATCATTTACTCTGTGATAATTTGTTTATATCTACAGGCACTGTAGTTGGTTCAGTGCTCTTACAGAAATAAAAGGGTGGAGTGATGACTATGACGCACTTTGGCGTTTCTTGTGACATATGGCCCACCTATTCAGTTGTCAACATGTTTTATTGAAAAAAAAATTTAAATAAATAAGCAAAGCAAAACTCAGCATGTACTTACAAACAGAGGCTGGGTCCTTTGTGACAAATGATTTATGTCATGTTGATTTACACATACGTAAATCTTTCCATTTCAATCTTCCTTATTTTCAACTCACAACACAGAAAATATGTAGATCTACCATACAATATTTTCTGTTTGATTTTTCTTAAAGTATGCCTATCCATGTTTATATTCACAGTGGAATTTCAGATCCATGTTGTTTAGAAATCTGAATATAAACCAGCATCATAGGTATCAAAGTTTATTAATTATAGAACAAATTATATATTCAATTCATTGGGTGCATACATATTGTAGACAATCTTAAAGTAATGATTTAAAAGAAGACACATCTTCTGGACTCCAGTCTCAGATTGGAACATCTGATGTTGAACTTGATAATTTTTGCACATATCTCCCTGAAGGTGGGCCCAGCTCAGGTCATGCTCCTGCATACCAGGTAGTGTGTCACAATGGCAGTGTATTTACCTGTATCACTGTCCTACCACTACCAGTCTGAAATGAATTCAAAAGAGCAAAAAAATAGATTGATGAAAGAGGTGGATACGTTGTGTAAGTATGAACTAGGTACCTTTAATTTCTTTTTCCAAAACAGGGAATGAGTAGGCCTGTAGAAAAAAACATCTAGTTCTGCGTCACTTCTGGTGACAGCGACACAATAGGTGTATACTTTAAAACAGCCATAACTGATCTAAATTTAGCTGCTCTACTATTACATCAACAGTTATTACACGAATATCAGATAAGTTTGCCAACTGATGTCCGTGAATAGAAAACAGTTATGCTATAAATAGCAAAGGGTTAGAAAAAGTCAAAAATGAATAAGAGTCACACAATTGTCATTTGATGATAATCTGAAATGGATATTCAGAGTAGTCAGAGTTAATTGTATTATGGCAACACTCCTTCAATAATATGAAGTTAACATCCTTGTCAGACTTTTCATACCTGTCTTTTACAAAACAGGAATTAACATACTATTGACTGTGTAATATATATATATATATATATATATATATATATATATATATATANATTTCTGGGAGGATCGGTTTTATTCTATTTGCTATACAACTGGATATGATCTTATAGGTTACATTTAGTAGCGTGATTGGTCTCCAGTTTTTTAGATAATCTCGTGGTTTGTTTGGTTTAGGAAGTATATTTACAATTCCCTGTCTTTGTGTAATAGAGAATTCGCCCCTGTAAAATCCATAATTAATTGATCGTACAAAATAAGCTCCTAAATTTGTCCAAAAGAATTTGAAAAACTCAATCGTGAATCCATCTGGACCGGGAGTTTTATCATTTTTCATAGCCCGAAGGGCAGCACTAGCTATATTATATGTAATCTCTCCTTCCAGTCTTTGTGAAATAGTTTTGTTAATTTTATTGACCTTCAAGTCTTCTAAAGTAACTTCAAGATCTACCTTTTCGAGAATGTCATCTTTAGATGCATATAGCTGTTTATAGTAATTTTGAATTTCAGAAAGAATCTCTGCCTGGTCTGTTACTATTTTATTTTTCGTTATTCCGCAACTTTGTTACTGTTTTATTAATATAGTTCCTTTTTTCCAAGGCACAAAAGTATTTACTAGGTTTTTCGCCATATTCGACCCACCTAACGCGGGAGCGTACTATATTTCCCTTTAGTTTTTCTTTTCTAAGTTCCTCTAAGTCTCTTTTATATTGCGCTAATTCATCAATATTTTCATTATTTTGATTTTCCAGTTTACTAATTTTTTCTATTAAATCATCCTCAGCCTTCTCCCTCTCTCTTTTCTTTGCCGATGCATAGGATATAGAATGTCCCCTTATATTTAAAAGAAGTTGCTCAAAAAAACGCTGGTCGTCAATAATAAACGATAGTATCTCATCGTCAATATTTGGCACAGCTTCTCTTAAAAAGGGAGTGGCCGCATATTGCATTTTTGTTTCATTAATTACTTTACATACTAGATCTCTATACTCTTTATCTTTAAGAAGTAGGTTATTATGTTTCCAAAAGCCTTTACCGCGTTTAAAAGAAGTGAATTTCACAGTCATTTCTACTATAGCATGGTCTGTTCTATATCCTGGCTTGATTGCAATGTTTTCAATCATATTGAGTAATTCAGATGAAATTAAAAAGAAGTCGAGTCTAGCTTTTTTAACTGGATTGCTAGCCCTCCATGTATACCTTTTCGCTTTACCATGTTTTAATCTCCAGGGATCATTTAAGTTGTGTTTAGCTTTTATCCCAAGTACCTTCTCTCTGGCTCTAGGATTATTCACAAACCTATAATTATAACAATCTAATTCTGGCTCCTGTACAAGGTTCCAATCACCTGTAATCAACAAAAAATCATAATCTGAGTTAATTATACACTGATCAATATACTCATAAAATTCTGGCGTGTCCTTATTTGGACCATATATATTAATTAGCAGCAAATTAAATTTCTCAAATAGTAAAATTTCTAAAATAAGAATATTTCCAATAGCATCGCATTTACTTGTTAACACTTTATACTCAAAAGTATTACTAAACAATATCGCCACGCCTCGAGCATTTGATCTGCCTGGGCTTAAATAAATCTCAAAACCCCAACAACTTCTTATTGTATTTTTCTGGCTTTCCGTGAAATGCGTATCTGTGTAATATTTTGATATGATCCTTGCATGTTTGATCTATAAAAATATCATCATTCAAGTCAACCTCAAACTTTTTATTTTCATATCAGGTTTATGTTTTACAAGTTATATGGTCAGATGGAGAGAAGTATCCAATCTACAGAAAATACAGCCAGTTCTTCGACTTGAGGGTAAGCTTTATTAGGAATTAAATTTGATGGATATTATTTAGTTTTTTGCATCCATCAGCCCCTGTGAAATTTGGTTGTGTCTATGTTTTCAACAAATTATACAACAGGTTTTTATTTTCATTTGTCCAAAGCAAATAAACTTTAACAATCACTGAATACTTTTTCATGAGTTATATATTTGAATTCGCCTGTATTTTTTTTTTTTTTTTTTGGGGGGGGGGGCATGGCAAAACCTATGTCATTGTGGTAATCCTCTATCATCACTCATGGTGGTGGATGACCACAGAAATAATGCACTGTCAGAACTGTCAGACCAGTAAACCAGCAACCTGTACTGATGTGTTCTGCAGGTAGATTACAGCGAAATACTGTTGAAAATAATCGTCTCAACTTACAATATATTTCCAATAAAAAGTAATTTTAGGCTGTGCTCAGATTAAAAATTATTGGTCCAGCAGGATCGATCTATCCAGCAGGAGTTTTCACTACAGCACAGTCAGTGTAATTAGCTAAATTGTCTGGCATGCCCCTGCTTGACCAATAACTTTTAATCTGAACACAACCTTAAACACTAGAATACACATTTAATAAATGCAGTACAGTTTTCATTCTTTGTTTTTAACTATGCTGCTAGTGTCATACAGTCTTGTTTTCACTATGTAAAATGTTAAGGATCTGTTACTTGTTTAACTCAGAAAAACAGATTGGTAACAATTTGTAGCTGTCGGGTATGCATCTGTTTGAATTTTCTGTCAAATTCATTTGCCATGTATATATATCTCCTTTTGATTTAAGTTGTAGCCCGAAGCTATATACATGAGATTAATTTATAATAGATTGATGTTTGCTTTATTCTCACTGTGTTTTTCAGGCTCAAATGAAGGAAGAACATGCTGATGCAGACATTCCAGAATTACCGGGTAAGAGAATAAAATCTGTGAACTTCCCTTGATCAGCATGTGTGATGCTCCTTACCAAGAATTTCCATTTTATTTCAAGATGGACTGTGATAATGTATAAGTGCATGGGGCATCTTCTTGAAGTACTTTCTCAGTGCAATTACTAAGTTAAAATTACTAATATTTCTTCACATTGCATGTAATTTAAATTTATTGCCTTTTTCCAGGTATATCTCTGTTTTTACGAGGAGGCCTTTTTCATGATCATGTCATAGAGAAGAAAAGAAAGTCAATAGAAGACTTTTGCCAGGTTTGTATGTGCTCTTGTAGAATAATGAATGTCAAAATGGCTACGTACCTTAAGTGTCACTGTGAAAAATTGTGATTAGCTCTGATTTCCCCACACCTACAAGTAATCAGTGAATAAAGGTTATTTGATATTTTCAAAGATACAAACAAAGTTGGTAATAATGTGGCATTGCGCTCCTTGATATAAAATGCCTTTCATCCAGTATGTTAATTTCTTAAATATTGCAACATTTTTGGACCATGCATCCATTGCAGTGAATCTCCCTCTCATAGTTCATGCTCTATTCCATCTAGAAAATTCTCCAGCTACCTCAAAACTTGGTGAAAAGTAGTGAATTTATTTCATTCTTTGAACCATGGAGTACAGATTTGCCTCAGCCAGACACAAAAGTATGCAAGGCATCAGAAAGGTAAGGATTTGCAATGAAAACATGATGAATGATTGGGTTTTTCACTTCTGCTCTCTCTCTCTCTCTCTCTCTCTCTCTCTCTCTCTCTCTCTCTCTCTCTCTCTCAAGATTTGACTTAAGTCATTTTAAGGAAAATATTAAATGTGAGCATTGTGAAATTTCATTATTTTCTTACTACATTTGATGTCTGAAGAAATGTAAACATCTGCACGTCCACGATACTAGGTAACAGCAATGGGACATGGGCATCAAAATTTCAACATGGGGCAGATGTTGTGAGCATGCTTTCCGCTTAGAATATGCATCATATTGTGCTTTATATTAATAAATTTTGGAAAATGTAAACTCATGTAAAAGTTATCAGGGAAGAGTACACTTAACTTCACAGAGTTGGGCAAGCGTGCTGCAATCCTGATTTGGTGGTTAAACAGCAATGGTATGAAATGGCTTTTTATGCATTGCATGATGAAAAGTGGGAACTGGATGTAGCTAATTTATTAAGTCTCATTTAATAGTCATGTGACCAGGTCATTAAATCATCATTGTAAATTTCCACTATGTACACTAGGTCCCTGGGTCAAATCTGAATGGGGAAATGAAACCACTCATACCCTAGCTGTGGTTTCATTGGTCGGCATCATTTCCATTTTCAACCATCGTTTCCATTTTCAACTTCAGTACAAAGTATTATCTCCCATGCTCATGAACTATACAAATCATCCAATTTTGGGATTTAAATGCCTGAAATACACTCTTCTTTTCATAAAACAACACGGCTTAAAAAATCCAGTCATCTCACCATGTATCATGACCCACTCCTGTTTTCTTTACCCATCAAAACTTGTGAATTTTTTGTATTTCTTTGTATTTGTGCAATAAATGATCCCTGAGATGACCAAAAAAACATGACAATACTTTTCTGAGAGCTTTCTTTATCATAATGTATAGCTGCAAAATAGGTATGTCTGTGTCCCACATTTAAGCTCTGTTTGAGTCTTATTTTTGGCTACGAATTAAAAAGTTTAAATACACAGCAATATTTGGAAACATAAAATTGTTTGCTATAACAAGACAAATCCATCCCCTTTCATATGAAAGCACCCCCATTGTAATCCAACACATAGGAATACTTTGTGACAGACTTTCAAAGATGATAACCCATTGTTGTTACTCAGTATCATGGACGTGCATATATATATATATATATATATATATATATAATGACATATGTGAAAATGTTTTTTGGCAAAGGGTAACAATATCCTTAATACAAGTAGCACATTCATTATAATTAACTTATATGCGTGTATATAGTACTACCAAAAAAAAGAAAAATGAAAAATGAACACTTCAGATCTTAATGTGTAATTTTTAGTTCCTATTTTCTCCATAGAACATCTCAGTACTCACCATCCAAAAGAAATTCTGATCATGAAGACCACAAGGAGCGTGCCTCTCTCCCCCCTGTTTCAACTGATTTTCACAGCCATGTAAATGACCGTCCAGTCACAGTTATGTCCCCATCATCACATGACCAAGGGGACACTCAACTGTACAAGGCAGTGATGGTGTATAACAAGAGGAAAGCAGGGGAAGTAAACCTCACAGATGGAGATGTGGTCACAGTCTTAGAAAAATGTCCTTCAGGTGTGTATAAAGTGGATCTGTTAAACAAGCTTATGCAGGTAGCATCACTTGTCATATCATGTCACAGTTTGAAACTTTCCCTTCTTCAGTTTTGACTCAAAGATCAATTTCAAATAACTTTTTTTTGTGATCTGTTGTTAAAATATTTTATGAGCTTATGTGTTACACCATGGGGAAAATATTTGAGGAAAGCATTGCATTTTCAAGATTACAGTATTCTGTATATATATTTGAAAATGTCCCAAAGGCATATACTGCATTTCTATGTTTAAATATCCTGAAATAATCTCCCAGTTTATCTTTCCCAATTCAGACCTTTAAAAAATGATAATTCCCTTAAAATAAAAGCAGCTGATATTGATGTAATTACCTTCTGAAATGGCAAGGAGATGGCTGACCTCATTATTCATTTAGAATCAAGTTATTTGATTAGAAATTGTACAAAACATCAAATCCAAGTGCAGGGACAGGTTGAGCAGTGATTCATGAATGGGGAAAAATGCTTTTTTCTTGAGAAAAATTAGATTGAAGACAAACTTCAATTTCCCAGCACCACTCCAGGGCAAGGAAGAAGAACCTCATGGATAGAGTAGGGTGGTTTTCTTCATTTATGTATACGTATGTTTCAAGTTTTTTTGTGTCCATCACAGGTTGGTGGTTTGTCCACTTGGAGAGAAGTGACCAGGAAGGCTGGGCTCCCGGAGCTTTCCTAGAACCACTCCAGGGCAAGGAAGAGGAACCTCAAGCAGAAGACAAACCAAGTATGTGGCTGTTAAGATGATGTGCTTGCTTGTAAAATAAAGACAATTTGCTTTCATTTAATTTAAAAGAAGATAGAAATGATCTACTTTTACTATAATTGTAAAGCATTCAAGTTGAAAGAGGAATATGCATAAATCTTTGTTTGAAAATGTAAGCCATTATATGTAATATATATACCACATACTTTGAATTTTAGTTGGGAGATGTGTAACCCTGTGTGATTATATTGGAGATGGAGAAGATGAAGTGTCTTACAAGAAAGGAGAGATAGTGGAAGTGATAGAAACCAGTATGGATGGATGGTGGAAAGTCAGGTAGATTGAAATATAATATCATACATTCATTTGGGAAATTACTAGAATTTTAAAATAAATACTGAATAAATAATGTATAAAAATGATTGTAAAAGGATCTTCTTGTTGTAATTCAGTCCCAAACCAATGTCTGCTTTTGTATTAAATTCATTTCAAAACCTTGGAGACAACAATATCTTAAAAAGATAAAAAAAAACATCCACATGGAGTGTGTGTGTGTGTGTGTGTGTGTGTGTGTGTGCGTGCGTGCGTGCGTGCGTGCATGTTCAGATTCAAACTGAATTACATCAAAATATCATACTGGCAACACCAGATGACCACTCAACATTGAATTTAGATTTAGAGTTACAGTGGTACCCCTAGTGACACCTTGACTCATCTTATTATCCATAGATATGAGTAGGGTCATTTTCTTTATATTCTGTTTTCAATGTTTCTTAAATCTGTCTATGTGAGTATCTCTCTGTGCATTCTCTCTAGGAGGCGTGTGTTGCCTTCCTGTCCTCGTACAGGCAGGCAATGTGGGTAAGAACACTGGTGCATGTGTTGTTTGGGCATGAGGTTTAAGTGTATGGCATTTTGTATTACTAGTACACACATACAACAGAGCATGCCATTCTCTTTAAGAAAATTATGTTAAATCACAGAGACCTGTCTTGGTAATTGGGTGGTTCATTAGACTGTTGTCACTGTGTCAGAATAATTCAGTATCATAGGAGAGCATTTATTCTGTGGTGTGTATGATAAGTGATAATTATTACAAATAGCCTGATTAATGCTTGTTGTACTTCTTGGAAGCTACTGAGTTCTCACTTTTGTCTGTCACATTCTTGATGAATGAAATAGAAAGTTTCTCTTTCCCTTGTGCTTTCAAATTTGTCATGTTTACTCACAACACTTTTTAATGTGTAAGAAGACAGTGTGAAGCATTTTTGCTATCACTTTTTGTCACCAGAATTTTAAGGGGTTGAGGCTGACATAGGACAGTTAATATAAAAATAGAAGGAAAATTTAGAGCACAAAGAGAAGCAAAACAGAGCATGACTTTCTGTGTATGCCCTCCCCACTCTCCCCCTGCCCTTAAGTTGAGTATTTTGCAGTCTTTTGACTACCAGTGACAGTAGGAGACTCAAGTAAAAATACATGAGAAGTCTCAGTTAGCTGTGCCATTAAATTGCACAGTTAATTTTATTTTTGTATAATTTTGTACGTAGTAATTGCATACAAAATCCAAATGCTACTAACATGTTTACTAAGTTGTTCATGCAAATTTTGCATGCATTATAAACTTATGGTAAAAACTTGAAAATTTTGTCTTAATTTATAAATATTTTAAATTGTGTGAACCTGACAAATTTTTGAAAATAATGTTTCCCTGATTCCTGGGTATGACACAGTTTTGTCCTTAGCGGCTTTTATCCTTGTTCCTTGTATATTGTGGGATATTTATCACTCCTTCCAATATCACTTTCATGTGGTGAATAATAATCTATTTATAAGTGCATATCAGTTTCATTATATTAACTTACAACCTCGTCTCACTTGCATTGCAAACGATCTCCCGCTGAAGACATGAAAATTTCCTTCTCATCACGCTCAGATCGCAAACAATCTTCCACTGACCATCTTTCATGAACAAAGTCTCTAAATCCCTTGAAGGAATGGGAAAATTGCCTTCTCATCTCACTTGCATCAGGAATGATCTCCTGCTGAAGATATTAAAAATACCTTCTCGCTGTCAGGTGTCATGCATATGAAGGTCTTGGAAGTGTCCACTTTCATAATTTGGTGGTGAGTTTGCTCAGACTTCATTTTGGGCCTACACCTGTTTTGTACCAAATGAAGTTCACTAGGTAATTGAATAGCGCAATGAACATAAATAGAAGTGACGGGTATATTTCCCTTCGAGATAATATCTTGATATTTTCATTGTGTCTTCCTCATTTAGGACAGCCATCGATAACAGTGAAAGCGTTACAACTGACAAAGAGTCACAACATGTAACTTCTATTTACCGGCTTGAAAACCCACCTTATGCAAACCATATGTATATAAGCTGGTAGGCCCCTAATAGTAATGACATAAAAGACAAATGGCCAATCTTCCTGCAGTTGATGACCAGAATCCACATTTAAACCATCTATATCATAAGTAGCCACTCTCAGGGAGAACCATTGTTCCTATCTCCCATTGAGTGTTATTGACAATGATATCCTGATCATTTTATTGTCTTGAATCAACTGACACATTACCTTTATGTTTGAGCTGGACAACGCAGTCAAATAAGGTGACAAACTTTTCAAAATTATCAAGAGGCCCATTTACAAGTTCGATGAAATTTTCAAAGTGAAAAAAATTACGTCAGCAGTAAATGGTCTTCTAGCGAAACTTTTAAGACCGAGGAAATTTTCAAGTTTTTACCGTAGGATTAACTTACAATTCTAATTATTTTAATTTTTCTTAGCTTTAGGTTAAAAGTAGATAATATGTCATTGTTTTTTATTTGTTTTAATGGCATTTACATTTTTGCTTGAGCCATTCCATTTAAACTTAAATAAGATGAGACATTTATATAGATAAAGGCTTGCTTTGTTAACTCAAAAATGTTTTGTTTCTTACCAAGGAGAAGAGTAAAAGCTACTTAAAAATAATATTGTCTGAAAAATTATTTGTATATCCATACTGTGATTAAGTGCAATTTCTTTCTTTCTACTTGGCAAAGTGTGGTGTCTTGGTATTGATGCATGTGCTGTTCAATAATTCATTTATGTTATATTCATTTTTTTTTTATGTCAAGCACTCACACACATTATGATAACATTGTTACTGTTGGATAACACTGCATTTCATGTGCATTTCAGTTATTATCACTTAATACACAGATATATGTACTTATGTGTGTCTGAAATCTATCAAACTCATATCAGTATCATATGATTATTATGGGCAGAAAGTATTTGCAATCTTATTCTCTGCAAACTTTTTAAAATCAGATTCCTGAATTATTTGGTCTGTGGAATGTATTTTCATGACTAGATGTAGTTCCATTTGGAGATCTCATATGTACATTTAACTTAAGTAATATTAGGTGTAAAACACCTGAAAACTATTGCTAATAAAATGCACTGACAGCTATAGCATATTTTACGGTAGAGGAAAAATTGATATGCTCTAAACTGTGAGTGCAATGATAAAGGCTTGCCAGTTGTGTGACCAATATCAGGAGTTTAGTATAAATTGCCCTGGTTCATGCTACCTTTTCTCTTCACTTCTGGCATTGTCAGTGTTTTTTTAAGTTTATTTGTCTTCTTCCTCCTAGAACTGTTCATGGTGAAGTGGGTGTCACTCCTGCCATCTATCTCCAAAACTTGGATAAGGAAGAAAAACAAACAGATAAGGAAAAAGTAAGTTGGTCAAACAGTATTAACAAATAAAAAATTTTGCATGCTTGTACTTATAAAAATATTTGAACATGAACATGAACATGGCAGACTTAACTGCATTTGTATTTCATTTTATTTTTATTTTTCTTGTTATTTTTGATTGTTTAATATGCATTTGATTCTAATAAATTAATTTTCTGTATTATTTCATTATTTTTTATTTTTCTCAGTATCTGATAGTAAGTCAAATTAAATATTTCTTTTTGCACAGCACACAATATGTTTAAACTGGTTTGTTGTTATAAAGATTATCTTTATATTAGGCTATAAATGACATATCTATGATATTTCATATCATTTATATGTACAGCACAATATGGAATTTGCCTTTCAGGCTATTTACTCATTGCTGAAAGAAAGTCACCACCAACACTCCATTTATGGTCGTCAGCCACCTCCAAGGCGGTAAGTTCTACTGAATTATACATCCATATTTCCTGCAAAGTCTGTAGCATACCAGTACCTTATGAATGGTCTGTAACATTATGGTATTTGAAAACCAGTTAAAATATAGATTGTAGAACCTGTGACCATTAATATCATGTTACATTTGATATCTGGAAGGTGGAAATGGAAGAGGTGAGTAAGAGTAGTTTTGGGCTTTTAGTATTTAGTTATAAACAGTGTGTCTGGTTTTGTAAAAACAATGAGGTGTAGTATATTTTTGAAGTTAACATGAATAATGTATGATCCTGACCAGTCAGTCTGCCAGCATATTGTAATACAAAAAAAGGAGTCAAATTTTTTGTATTGTCATGGATATATTGTCATGGATACATTTTTGATTACCAAGTGAAAAGTGCATTGTAAGGTTGTTGTAAAATTCAATTTTTGTTACTAATGAATCAAACAATAAGGTAAATTACTTTAAATTGTTGCACATTTGAATGTTGTAGGACATCATCTAAGTCAATCCTATCTCAGGCCAGTGTTTCAAGTAAAGATAGTGATTTGTATGCCATTCCTGACAAGTCAAAAAAGACAGACATTAGTGTGAGTCAGAATCCACCAGGTGACAGCAGCAGTCCAGAAAAGTCAAGCTCACAAGACAGTATGAACAGAGACGCACTTAATTACACCACCATTAATTTTGATGAAAAGAAAAATAGCAAAGAACAGGGGTAAGGAGGTATTATTTAAATGTATTGCTTAAGTACAGGGAAGAGGACAAAATAAAAGTTAGCTTATTCTGTAATTTTGTGTAAAATTCTATCATCATTTCAATGAAAACCCTTCTACATGTAGTTTTAATTTATATGTTGTTAGAATATTACTTGCTATAATTTTACGGTTCCTTTTTTTTTATATTGAAACAATCAATAGTATGTCATGCTTTGTAAATTATCATTATCAAAATCAGATTTTATTTTCAATTCAGTCAAAATTCCAAGGTGCTGCCCTTGGTTTTTCTAATGTAATGTGCTTGGCAGAAAACACAACAGTTTTTCCCATTCACCTTACTGCATATCCAACTTTTTATATCCAACTCTTGCAACAAGGGGAAGGGAGAGGTCATTTGGTCACTAACATTGCTAAAACAGCACACTGTTGCCCTGTGATATCATAATATAAATAATGGCATATTGAAAATCCAAGATAAAAGATTGTACTTTATTTTTTATTTAGGAAGTCAAAGCTAGTCATCATAGGAGAGCCAGGGGTAGCATATGCAGAAATTATTCCAAAAGCGTTACCTCCAAAAAAACATGCAAAAGACAAAGGGCCAACTGTTAACTATGAAAACCAAGATATCCAGGTAGAGAAATGTGTGAATTCGGTTTCTGCTCTGTCATTGTAGTTTATATTAACATTTAATTCTGTTCTTGTAGAAGGACATGTCTTTAAATGCATTGTATCAACAAGAAGCATGTAATAACAGAAAAAAGTAGACTTTGTAGATGAATGATGGCTCATTTATCCCTATGAGCAATATACCCCGGTATACTACAGGAACACATAGCAGAAACTGATATTTATTTTCTCAGCCAAAAGCCAGGACTCCCTCTCCAATAGCAGTGACTTCTCCTCAACCTATTTCCCATGGAGCAGTGAAACAACAAAAGACATCAGAACCAAAGGATCCCAAAAAGCAGGTTTCTGACCACACCTATATGAACGTTGTGAAAGATGCTGGGAAACATAGCTATGAGAATATTGAGGTATCTTCATTGAGACCAGAGGAAGAGGTAAAAATACAAATATTGTTGTAAGATGAATAAGAGCAGATATTTTTCTCAAACTAGTTCAAAGCAGTAATGAAGAGGTGTCAAATCTTAAATTTTCATAACATTTCTTCATTTTCTAGTGTTGACTTGGTTTAAAAATCAGAATTTCTTCAAACAGTGAATATTTTCTCATGGACTTGAAATAAACTCTTTTTCAATAAAAGTGTTATAAGTTTTTTTCTCCTTTTTTTTTGATCATTGTAAAGCATTTTTTCTTTGATTTCTACCAATATATGTGTTGTTTAAATAATTTTGCTTTCATTTTAGCTAAGAAAGAAACTCTGCCATGTAAGTATAGACTATACTCCAGAAATGTCACATCAGCAAGGATTAGCAGTGAAAGCTGGAGATACAGTGCAGGTAACAAATATATCTGTCTCAGATTTTTAAATAAGAAATTTAGTTGCTCAGTTTTTAATGAGAAATTAAGTAGCCATTTCTACTGAAATTTATGTAGGAGCAAAGGCTGGCTATAGTGTTATCTTAATATTAATAATTTATTCAGTAAAACTGCAACCAGTTTGTTGAAGTTTTACAATGTTAATAGAAAAATAAAACTAAATCTTATACATACTTGAGGTAGTAAAGTTATTTATGGTTTATTGGTAGAATACAAAGATCACAGATCTCTATGTCTCTCTGTATTGCAGGTTGAAAGACAGGAATCTTCCTTCAGTTACTGCCTGTTACAAGACAAGGAAAAGGGATGTATAGTTGCAGAGGGATGGTTGCCCTCTGATATACTTGACTGGAGAGAAGCAGGTAATAATATATGAGAACATCTGACAAATCTAGGCTGAAAGAGAAATGGCTTTAGTATTTTACTAACAGAGGCTTCAGTGTTGTGCTATTGGTGTCAGGTTGACATATGTTCACAATATTCGATAAGAATTTGTTGTAATGTGCTCTTTCCTGTATCATGACCTGCTGTGACCTGCTATCATGGTGATAGGAGTTCAGATGAATGTTCAGATAAGTTTATGAAATCCTTTTTTGTTGCTTTTTTAGTTTATAAAGAGTTATCAGACATTTCCTTTCATGTTTTTATTGCTCTTCATTTAAGTTGCAACTATTTATTGCCTGTTGATGTAAGTTATTAATTCTCCCACATGTATATATTTTTTGCCAAAATAGGTGCTTCTCCTTTACCCACTACCCCAGTATCCCCCATTGTTCCTTCCATCCGAGAGCCTGTAGGGTCACCACCAGTAAGGAAAGGGTTACTGGCTAGGGGAACAGGCAGCTCAGATGACGAGAGAGGTTGGTTTGTCATGGTCAACAGTCTTGTGGCATTGTTGAAAAGAATATAATTGGTCAGATAAACATGTGGCTTTTCGCTGTTAAATGAACACAGGGCATGATCAGCTAACAATTAGTAATATTCCTAGGCAGAATTTTTACATGTTATGAGATAAGAGCAATTTTTAAATTCAAGCATAAGAGATATTGCCTATTATTTGTATACAATTAGTTAAAATATAAGTGTATTTATCATCATGTTGTATTATAGGTTAACTTAAAGATTATTTTGTCTCTTGCATTTTGAACCAAATTTTTGAACTGAGAAGATTTCTCATTCATATTTTAAGTATCTTTTTGCTTTCAGACCTTATACCCAAACCAGAACTTCTCGAGAAGAGAAGGTCTTCAGCCAACCCCCCTCCCATGCCCCTCCACCCCTCCCCTAAACTATTGTCTGTGGACCAACCACAAATTGAAAAGGTGAGAAAAGAATTGCAGAAAATTAAAAAATTGTTATACCTTATATTTTTCAGCTCTTACAGGAGATACGGTAATTTATTTTTCGTGAAGTGCATGTCTTCTCATCTATAATAAGATATTTGGTGGAATATTTTTTGTTGTGTACCTTGTCTTTGTTGTTGCTTTATTATTAATCTTCTAAAATCTACTACATATGTAATGTTAAGAACTAACACATTCTTGTTGTCTTGCTTTTTAATGTATTTATTTATTTAAAAAGACAATGTTCTTATTTGCTGTTGAAGCATTTCTTGTAACTAAATCTCTTTGGTATCTTAAATCTCTTCTGTTTATCTGTACATTGCAGTCTTAAGCATTTTCGATTGTATTTGGTTTGAGTGAAATGGCTGTCTCAACAGCTGCAATGCTTGAACTAAGTCATCTACATTTACTAAACATAAACACTAATCTCCTCTGTGAATGTGGTTGCTGTAATAACATTGGTTGGTTGTGTTCAACAAGACCATTTTGGTAACATTAACTGAATTAACCCAAAAAAATTATCCTCACAATATTACTTATCTTTGTAATTTTTATTAGATAAATAAGGGTACAATTAACGTGATATAAAATTTTTCTATAATTTGGACTTGAATATTTCACAAAGCTTTATATGACATAAACTCGTAACATTCCTCTACTTCCAGTCTGAGCCTGCCTTTACTTACACCTCTCTAGTAGCCCTAGCTGACTATGACAGCAGACATGAAAGTGTCCTGTCTTTTCATGCAGGCGACTATGCTCTTCTGCTTGGCAAAGATCCTAAAGGCTGGTGGCATGTTAACTTGGGGGGGCTGGATGGATGGGTTCCTGGGGACTATTGGAGAGAGGCTCCGGTAATTAGCGAATGGATGGATATCACATTTTGTTTTTCATTTATTAACTTTTATTTAGATATTTATTTTACATGTTTTTCTTTTATTCAGCATAGAATTATTTGGTGATGGCTATGATAGTTCTTTTTTTTTTCTTTTGGAAGTTTGTCGCTTTCTATGTAACTTTTTATGTATCACAAAACAAAAGCTACTTTGCTAAAACATTTTTTGTTTAGGAACAAAAAAATGTTTGGGCTGATGTAGAGTTTTACTTTTCCCATATCTTAAACATAAACAATTCCATCTTCAGCAAGCAGAAAAGACAACTTCACCAAAGCCATCTCCCAGGTTGGCAAGGAAACATAAACCAAAGTCTCCAGAGTTAAAAACCAAAGCAGGTAAAACAGCCATGGAATGGGATTATGGAAAAATGAGTCGCCATGAAAGTGAGTCCCTTCTTTTGAGGAATGGCGATGATAGAGACTTTCTAGTCAGAGAGAGTATGAACAGGGTAAGTTATATCATAAAATAAACATAGATTGCTAACAAAATAATTTTCTTGAAATAATTTTTTTTATTCATGGTCTTCTGAAATTAGTGCACAAGTCTTTTTTTTTTTTTTTTTTGCACACAGGCACATTAAATACTCAAAAATATTAATAACCACAGTTCACAACTTTCTTCTGGTGTTGCAGGTTGGTGACTACACTATCTCAGTGCGGTACAGTGAGAGGGTGCGCCACTTTCCAGTAGAGACCACAAGTGATGGAAAATACTACATAGGAAAGCATAACTTCAGTACCCTGACCAAAATTGTAGACTACTATCAGCATCACCCATTATTTTTTGATGACAAACATGAAGCAATAAGCTTGGGAAAGCCACTAAAAGTAACCAAGTCCTGAATAGAATTGTTATACTGCTGTCATGTATAGTGCACTGTTGTAATCAGGGTCTATTACACTATGTCTGCTGAATAAAATCTTGATGGATATACATGTTTAGGTGGGGAATTCTGTAAAGTAAAGAAGATGAGCTCATCAGTAATCATTGATCTGATTGAGCTTTAAAACCAAGTTCTCTTGTTATATTGTAATTATATAAATTTCATAAGGATTGTGTCATACTAAAAGCTCTATATTCCATACAGGATTTGGTGTTGGCAACAAAAAAGAAATGCTGCACAAGATGTAAAAATATTTTAAAAGAGTAAGTGTATTTATTTTATTTGTAACCCATTTTCAATAACATATTCATAGAAAGATGGGCATTGGGCTACAAAAAAGGCAGCAATACTAATAACATGTTCACCAGTGGTCTTCCTATGCATACAGGTACCTTCAGAAATTACAGCTGAAAGTAATGCACACTCCTGTGAAAAATATTCAATTTTTGCATATATTTTACACTGGTACTACTTGCTGAAAATTTATAATTTTTTACAAAACCATCAGATGTCGATCTGCCAACAACATATAAAAGACCTCTTAGAGAGGGTGAAAGATACCCAAATTTATATTGTGACAGTCATACTATTGCAATATCTACACTTGTAATGATAAGATAGACAAAGTGCAATCCTAGAAGAATATTATTTAAGCACCAAATTAATTTTTTTATTTACAGAGATATGATATTGAACAATTATGAAAACTGCTAGTTGAAATAAAGGCTGAAGAATACCAAACAGTTTCAGGTTTGTGTGTGTGTGTAGGGGGGGGGGTTAAATTCTTATTTGTGATCTTTTTTGCTGATATTTGACTAAAAGGTAAGATGCTATTCCTGTTATTGTATGGAATGATATATTAGATAAAAGATTATATATAAAAATAAATAATATCAATATTTTTAAGGGAAGTGCAGAGTTTGAATTCATTGAAATTTTGAAAATTCCACCTGGAGCTAGCTGCTATAATGTTTCTGCTGGTACGCATCTTGCTACTTTTGATTTACTAGGTTTTAGGTTTAGCTTCTATGTCGTGTATAGACTGGTAAACCTCTAGGTGACCAAGGAAGCATGGGCTATCGACTTTGCTTAAATTCTTGCTATCTGGACACACTCCGTACTAAGGATTTCTAACCAATCACCTGCTACTGGAAGTTATTTAAAATTAGATTGACTTATGAGATGGTTGTTATTACGTGAGACCTTTACAATTTGGCTGGAATTGTGTCCCTTTCGTAAAAAAATTAGCACACTCAGTTTATTTATTTATTTATTTATTTATTTATTTATTTATTTATTTTGAGGGTAGAGCCCCAATTGCTACGGAAACGTTCAGTATTCAATATTTTAGAGTTCTGTAGACGCGAAGTTAAAATGAATTAACTTCTCTCTTTGTGTCACACATTGAGAACGTTCCAGAGGTGCCTTTTCTTAAAAATTAGTTTTGAAAATGAATCGCCCCTTTTAAATATTGCTAGGGAGACTATATATATGGAAATATCTTCCAGAGGCGCGTCCCATCTCTTTAAGAGCAGATTCTCTCTGCTTTGCTTCAAGCGTATTAGACAGGCGTTAACGAAAAATAGAGAACCACGTACATGTACCTGTGCATGCAAACTCGAGGAAAAAATGTATGTATAACTATTTTGCAGGTCATGTTCTGAGTATTTATCATTTCTATTTACTGATCACTAATTAATTTTGATGGGCGCTAGATCGTTAGAAAAGGAAATGATCAAATTTTTATATCCAAAAATCACAACATTTTCAAAAGTTCCTCATTAGAGCAAACGAATCGCAGATGGACGGGCCTCGTGGCAAGAGGCAATCGAGTCTTGCGTTGCAAATGTGTAAGTTTCTGTCAAATGAAAACGTGCAATGTTTAATTAGAGAGATGCGTATAATACTTTTTCAATTGACGCTTGTATGTTCGTTGTTAGAGCACAGGTGATACGTTGCCTCCTTGACCCTTTCTCGTGTGTGGAATCAAATACAGTATCAAACGTCTAATTGTCGTTTACCTAAATCTTAATGTACTTCTTTATCCTGTATCAAAATTATTAAACGATGAGAAATGTTTGACATCCCCCACCTAATAAAATTGAATATATTATTGCGTAACAGTCCACATTAGTGTAATTTGTTAGAGCCCGGGTAGTTACATGCATGATATATACTTAATGGAATTTATTGGAAGACAAGTGTTAATCCTGCGCTTCAATCGGAAATTTTTAAAGTTGTGAACAATACCGTTCATCACCGTCAATTTAACTCTCGGACCTTAGATACACGACATCCTTATCAATCCTTATTATGCTTATGAAGATTGCAGCATTTGGTTACCTTTGGGTTCATTTAGTTCATTTGATGGGTTCTTCTTGAGAGTTATAATGGATAATTATTTCCTTAATTGAAAATGATATCCAATGTTATTTCACCACTTTGCATTGGCTACTCCCGACGTTGGAATCTTCACATTGCTGAAATAGCGAACACATTGTTATCATAGTTTCTTCCGAATTTAACGCTCAAACAGTATTCTCTTTATCCAGATGCATCCATTTTGGAATTCCCAAGAATATCAGTAGAAAAACGAACAATTAAGGCTGCATTAATCATTCATTTGACTTGGACAATCATTTATGATTGAACCTCACACGGCCCAGAACACCACGTGCCGTAGGTTGCAGAACACTGGCAGGGTATGGTTTTATAGGGAATGACTACTTTCAGTAATTTTGGCATCATTAGTTTGTATGTAATGCAAAGTTATCAAAAAGAGTCTTCAGTTTAAACTGTCTCATTATAGTGCATAAATATCCCATTGCCACAAAAAAAGTAATTTTACACAATGTGACTCTCTGAGTCACATCAGTGAGGCGCACATTTTGTGTAATACTTCCATAACTATTTTATATCACTTTCCACTTGTTTTTGATTATAGCTGATTTTGTTTCAGCATTGGAGGATAATATATCCTGACAGTCAATGAAAACGCCCCATTTATTTATCAAATAATATTTTCAGTTCCTTTGGCACATTAAGAAAATAACAGTTTTCGTGTGAAATATGACCCATTATTCAGTCACACTTTTCACTCTCTTATGACCAAACAAGTGCATTTGTACTCGTTTATATGGTTGGAATCGATTCTGGGTAAAAAAGTACAAGAAAGTTTTCTGATGCGTTTTCATTGACTGTCAGTATAGTATATAGCAGCAAAAATAGTGGGGCAAGTTAGAATTATGCAATTATTACACAAAATCTGAGCGTCATTGAGGTGGCTGACAGAGTCACATTTGTGTAAAACGACCTTGCCCATTTTTCTTGTGGACTTAGCCTTTTCAAATGGCTCAAAATTGACAAAAAAAGCCTTGGTGTCAGGTGGGAAAACTTCCTTTTTGGCGGCGCAAGTAGGCCCCAGGATCGAGGGAAGTTGACACCATATACTTTAATAATGTAGCATTCCTTGTAAACACCATAAATGTATTTTTACGCATTTTATCATATTTAATTGATTTTGAGAGTCTTTGCTCGATTTGTAATGCATATGAGGTAGATAAATTGATGTTTCGATATGTTTGCTTCAAAAATCGAGCCAAGTGTTCCAACAAACCCCAGGTGCACATTTTTTAAAGCATTGCAGCCATTTTGGTGCTAGAATGAACTGCGAAAGTCAAATCACTTAACTTAAGTTTGATGCCCTGCACACATCTTTCATACTATCACAAGGCTATGAAAATAGATTTTAATCCTCTTCAACAAAGTAACTTTCAGATGCAGAAAACTCTCATTTGAACTCGCTGCTCAAGTAAAAGTATTTTACGACTGACGCTTTCTTGGCACTGTCGGATATGGTCGCTTTACAAGCTTATGTGATTTTTTTTTTTTTTTTTTTTTTTTTTTTTTTTTTTTTTTTTTTTTTTTTTACCTCGTAGGTACTTTTTCATAAATTATCGAGGGGCAACTTACCCCGGGGTCCATCTAGCCCCAGTCCCCCCTATTCTATTCATCTCCTTTCACTTTGAGGCAATTTTTCAGACTCTCCAACTCTCTCCTGGTCGTATGGTCGCATTCCAATTTGACAGAAAAAGTGGTGGAAAAAATGAAAAATAATTTATATTCCTGGTCTAGTTGTTAAATTAAGCAAAAATCCTGAAAATGATATTCCTAAGATTGTACGCCCAAGAACAATTATTTTTGTAGCATTTTCCAGAATAATTTTGGAATCAGTCCCTAATGACAGTAACAGTAACTCAGCTCTATTTCCCGCCATTAAGAACACCCGTGCGTGATTTTGAATTTCGAACTTCCTTTAATTTAAGAAATTAAGATTGAACACCAATTACAATACGAGGATTACTGTGATACCCCAAGCTAATTGCAAATTTATTGCAAACAATCATTATTATCATTTGTAGTTGTTTAGCATATATTTAAATAAAACAATTTACCATCCCATTAATGATCATGTTAAGCGTAATATCCTCGTACTTCTTTACACATTTTTTTCTTGTCCTTGACTACTATTTGCCTTTCATTGCTTTTAAAAAGTAAATATATCAGGATTCATTTTTTAACCCTAAATTCTGATTTGACATATATGGTCCTAGAAATGGTTAAAACGAATATTGATCGCTATTAGAAAAATATTTTTCTGATCGATTCAGCCGTCTTGATCCGTTTGAATTAAAATGTATATATCTGTGTAGCATTTTGGACAATTATCGTTAAGATAAAAAAATCTAATCCATTCCTAATTATTATTATTGTAGTTGTTATTATCATTAAAATGATCACAGTAACAATACCTATTTATTATTTTTTATATTCAATTTTTCAAAACATAAATATGATGCTGATTTTATTTAGCAGTGATCATCTCTGCTTATACGTATTAGGTAAATGCAAATTATTCTGCACCTCGAGAGATGGCGGGGGTGACAAAGTACAAGACAAGTGCGGGAAACGCCGTGACAGAACTCAATTTCTATCCTTTTCACACGTACCGGTTGTTGTGATTCACTTCGGGGAATCAACAAAGCCCATCGCCTCTGTTTAAGGCCATGCAGCATTCTTATCCAGAAAACAGCAACATGAGAAATGCACCGAATAACCCCGGAGTTGGTATGCGCGGGGATGGATGCGTGTACTTTCCTGCCAGGCATCTGTACCTAATTTCGTCAACATTGTTTTTATGGGTAACTCAAAGTCAGTGGAGCTGTGTGCCTGACATTGTTCAAGGTTTGATGCTTTTAGATCCTATCACAAAAACATTTTCCATCGAGTTGGTTTCACTCTACAGAGTACGTCAATACCTTGTGCAGGTGTTCTCAGCGCGCGATTCTCTCACCAGAGAGCGCACACTCTGTGGATGGAGGAGTGGTGAAGCCAGACTCATGTGGGGGCGTGGCTTTTGTCAAGTATCAACCGCATTTTGCTGATGCAAGAGTCAAAGATTTATTTTTTAAAATGTATGTGAAGGAGTGAATGTGTTGATCACAAATAAATCACTAATAAAAAACAGTCGTCAATCATTTTAGACTTACCGAATGATGCTATACTTTTCTTTTCCCGTTTTTATTACTATTTTTAACAAGATTAAAGCACATTATTGAGGTAACGAAGTGTGTACATCCTCCAATTTCGAGATTTTTCACGCAGTGAAACGTTTTTTTTTTTTAAACGTACATTGAGATGCCAGAGGAATATCATATTGGCATGGCGCCATTTTAATTTTATCTTATTCAATTTTTCCCTTTTTTTTCTTTTTCTTTCCTTTGGAGCGAGTGTAAGCTGCGCTGCAATTGAAATAATGATGAAGGTGCTAGAAATAATCTTTTATGTATCTTTTTCCCTCCATATTCAAGTATTCCTTTGATTTCATATTGCCCTTTTTACTACATTTCGATCTATATCGTTCTATTAATTTTATTTTATTTCATTCCATGTGTTTGCATATTTATTCCTTTCCTTAATGATTTATTCTTTTGTTTATTTATTATTTCAATGTTTTTCATATGTTCATTTCATATCTAATTTTCGAATTTATTCATTTATTAGTTTAATTTTCATTTTACTGATTGAATTTTTTTTCGTTCTTGGAGTATATCTGTCGGATATTTTTAATATTCTATATAGTTTCAAATTCAAAAAGGTGCGTAAATAAACAATTCAAATGTTCTCTTGATGCTGAGTTGATCTTTACTTTAGTTTTTCTTGCCCTCATTTGCCCCGTCCGTTTTTAGGTGGTTTGGTTGTATTTCTTTTAATTTTCATATTATTTCAATCACGTTATAGTTTGCATATTATGTTTGTTTTAAAAGTTGCTCTTACAACCTGGCACAATTTTCCTTTTGACTTACTGGAAATATAAGCAGAACTTGACACAAGTAAAATAACTCGCATCAAAGAACTCGTTCACCATACACAATAAGTTGACTTTTTACGGTAAATTGACATTTTGTGCTTTTTTAGAGTAGTAACTATCGTCTCAAATTTCTTTTTTGGCGTTTCCTCTTTTGACCAAAATAATCCATTACTCAGCGTCATATATAATCCAGGTGAGCAGAAAGTTTTGTGAAAACAAACCCCGGTTCAATCAGAGTGCTGTTTTTACGGGATCGTGCTCTCTTGAAGATACGCACGTACGGGTGCAATGGCTCTAAAATGCCCGTCAGGGGTTATTCGGTGCAGGGGATGCAGACTTCTAAACACGACTGAAAAGTATTTGGGGTCGGAATAATGGGCTATTGGTCGGAATAAGTCATGGTTAAGGTGTGGGGATAATGCACTGTTTGTATTGCCCGGGCGAAAGGGACTGGGAATCACAACCGCCTTTACAAAAAGAGAGTTGACTTTTACTGGCAACTCGGTGCACGCTCGCCGTGCGTATTACGGCTATTCAACTGCTGTATAGGACAAAACCAACAGAACAAGGAATTTGACCGCTCGCTTTTAATTGCCGTGTGGGACTTAGAAGAATGCGCCCAGCGCAACTTGTCAAAAGCCACTTAGCCGAAGCGTACGATTGAAAAGCAAACTATCAATAGCTCTACTGTACCGTAAGTCGAGGCAAGGCCCCCAGTTTTGTTATAAATCTTTCTATCGCGTCGAGTGATTTCATCTTTGATTAATTACCGATCATTTTTTGACAAATTTAATCGTTTCATTTTCGGTGTGACGATTAAAGTATTTTAATAGTCTTTCAGGCAAACTTATTCTAAAACTGTAGTGGCGAAATTTTCTGTCTTTCGACCAACCTACGTAATACGTCAGGTTCAGTTTAGTTCATATATATATGTGTGTGTGTGTGTGTGTGTATACGTGTATAGACATAAAAGCAATGTTCTAGGGTATGACTGACCATTTCTCTATGAACGGCTTTTCATGCTTAAAATTGCACTGAAAGTGCTTTTTGACATCTATGAATGCAACCGGTTTCACCAACCGTGTCCAAAAACCGAGTTGGTTTCGAGATGCGACAAAGACAACAAATCTTTGTTTGTTGAATATGTCCCTATGCGATCATTCTCAATTACTTGAATATATACATACTTATAATATATATTTATGAAAAATAATTGTATACGAAGGGTTACATATATATTTATTTAATGCAAATTTTCATTCTGGTTATGAGCGAACATAATATTTTTCGATGGTGGTGGTCAATTTCACAATGATTTTAAAGCATAATTTTGAATGATTACGCCAAGCATACAATTACTCAGCATATGTATTTCAAATGCATAAAGTCACAACTTTGTTCATTTCATTTTATGTTAAATTCAAGCCTAATAAATGATAAAAAAAAACGTTTCTGATTTTTTCTGATTTTTAGAATAATTACACCTTAACTCATGGTAGCATCTGTTTCATTATGACATGGCCGACAGAGAAAATTTTCTTTCAAGCAATTCACGACGTCAGTTCAAAGAAAGGCGAAAAAAAATCCTCATTATATCTTGCAGGTGGCAGTGTCACCTCAAGGGGACGAGTTAATCTGATCAAGTAAAAAATCGGATAATCTCCCATAGCAACTGCTTCCTCTTATACACAGAGTCAAGTCGGGGGAGTCCTGTGACTTCGCTTGCGTGGGTCTGGCACTGTGTGGTGTGCGACATGCGAGTTGCCTGAAGTGATTGCAGTATATCTGTTGTGGCCTGTCATGAATTGGACATTATTTTCAAAAATTAGGGGTATTTTGTTCATCCTGACTAATTCGTATGGACACATAAATTAATGGTTGCAGCAAGATAGTAACACACCCCAGGAAGACCTGCAGTTATCTGTCAAAGGAGAGACTAATTGAAGTATCGATTTGTGAAACAAACCTCAAATTGTCTCCAAATGGATCCATACCTATCCCCCATTTCAAGCCCCAGTGTGAAGTTGATATATTTCTTATATTATATTGATAAGATTATGTTGCATTAATACGACACTATTTGACAACGCGCAAAGGCGAACCTATTTCAATTGCAAGTTGCCGGTCATGTCTTTAATATCATGCCTCATTCTCTTTTTTCCCTTTTCAATTCGACTACTAGATCCTTTATTGGCAGAACAAGAAAAATAGGTTTTCTGACTGGTAAACAACTTTGCTAGGCTTGCTCCCCACCTGTGTTGACAGAGAGCAGAAATTAATTAAGCCCGTCTCATATGCTTTTTTTAAGTATGAGGATATCTACTTCAACGAGCGGACCTTTTGTACTGACTTTTGATTCAGGGAGGTAACACTGCGGTGCAAATATCTCTGGAAACGCTGGAGAGGTGCAAATGCGGTTAAAGGTGCGATAATTCATGTGAGACTTTCAATGGCTTCAAAGAGCGATCTAATTTGGAAAAATAGCTCGAGGAGATTATTGTGTTTAAAATGTTTTAATTTCTATAATCACGGACAGCTGAAACTGATCGACAGTTTGGGAGTCTATCCGGCTCTATAGTTCTTTACTTTCGTTCGCGAACCAAATTATGGATGCCCCTCATAAGTGGGACAATCGCAGGAACCTTTTCTTTAATTAAGCGAGAGATATGTGCTAATTATTTTGAACAAAAAGTAAAGTAATAAAATAAAGACCATATCTGTCTAAGAGATTCTTCATGGTGCGCACTTAGACGTGAGAATAATTAAATTTACAGGATACATATATATGTATGTATGTAATTACTCTTTAGATCTCAGATAAAACGATATAGCACCAGCAGGGCGTCACCGACTAGGTTTTGGTAACCCGATACATGGTTGGACACCTGCGAGGAGTAGGATGATACAACGCGCAAGCCGGAAAAGTCAAAGCGTTATGCCAAAAATAATTTGATACCTTTACTTTGAAACAGGACACCAACGGAAACGACTTGTCATGGCTAAGAAGAAACAAAGAAAAATTGATATGAGCCTTCCTAGTATTTTGACATGCGTGTGGAACATTTATTGATTGATTTTGTAGGTAAAGTGAAAAGGACATATCGTGGGATTTGAAACAGAAAATCTTTGAAACGTATTTTTCGAAGGCCCTCAGTAACTTTCAACCTTTTTGGCGGTTACTTGCTTGCGTTTAATTTGGTTTCCAATAAAAATTCATTTTTAGAGGAGGCAATTTTGATTCCATTACTGAACAGGCGTACAGCATACATTTGAGACATAAGTGCAGGGTATTCAGAATAACAATGGAAAGATTAAAAACTAAGGAAATTCTATGGTCCGTTTTTTAACTTTGATCTTCGGTTATTACAAATATTCGTTAGTTTAAGTTAAAATATACTGCTGAAAATTAGCACATGTACTTTGAAATAGGACGCAGTCAGTTGTGGATGACTTGCTGTAAAAAGATATTCATAAGGATTTAGATGAGAATCAAGTTACAGGCACATGGCATAGGTATAAAGTGTATTTCTTCTTCGTCTTGAAAATCCGCGACAGTAGAATCTTTATGTCACTCCTTAATCCTAGTTAACTCGACCCACCTGTCAAGTTTGGAGTTAAATGTCTCAATTAAGCTGGATTTCATTGCCTGCTCCCCGCCTCTACGATTAGCGCGCCTTGTCAATTACTCGCAATTGAATTTCCCTTCAGAGAGCGTGATTTACTGGCCAAATCCGCAGAAGAGCCCCAACAAATCGGTTCAAATGACAAGTGAGGAAAGTTAATGAGGTGTCGACGCAAATTTGTGGTTTTTTGGAAGATGGGTAGAAGGTTCGTCAGATATTGATTGTATCAATAAGTAAAGGGGAACATCCATTTTCAGGGAGGTTAGTATCTTTTTTTTTAAATTTTTTTTTATTATTATTATGTTATTATGAATATGCGTGGATGGTAGAGCGAACCAACCACAGTTTCCTTAATATTTTGATTGATATAGTAATGAGCCAGCATTGCACGCATCTGTCCCTCAAAGTCATTTGTGGCTAATAATACAAGATATTTTACACCACCACTCCTGAGATGCCGGTCGGGACCCCCACCCCGTCACCGCACAGGTGCAAGGCCGCCCGGGAAACCCGATGATTCATGTTTTCACTATACTATTTACAATACAGTCTTGTGGTGTAAAATGTCGTGTAAAAAGTTGTCAATCAGTTGAAGGATCAACATTTTCAATGCTTTGATCTGTCAATGACTGAAGGCCTCATGGCGATTTTGTCACATCAGCCTGGTCAAATATTTAAGCAAGGAAATTGCACTTGGTATAAACGCCAAGTGTCGTGACTATTTCCTCCCTATCCCAATGAACGTCGGTCGTCGTTTAGAGCGATTTGCACTTTATATATCTGGAATTGTTATTGATATAATTTTTCAACCATAAATTAAATGATAAAACAAACTTATACAAACAATATTTTTCAATAAAAGGGTTGTCATAGCAATTAAAAATCTAAAGCACTTTAATTTATTTTCAATATCCATTTGATGATATTGTGATTGCTATTTACTGTACGAACATCATATTCCTAACTATTTTACGTTCTTTGTTAACACAATGACACACCTCTCACTTGCCCTTTCAAGCTGGAATACAATATGACTTACACTGCAATATTTCGTCAAGTACGAACGATGCAACTCGTAAGGTAACATCCGTCCCGGGGGACCCGATATCATATTTCCTGTGCATTAACATTTATTGACATAACAAAATAAAGGCATAATTGTTCCATGCTGTCATTTTTTTCTTTTTGACTCTAAAGGCGCCCTTTTCCTGCGCAGCCATTGTATTTAATACTATAATATTGCACGACCGCTGCAGTCTTCTAAATTGCTGAGGTAAATGCATTAAAAGAACAAGAGCCGAATCAGAGGTGAATTATTTACTCTTTTTTCTTCTCCACCTGTGCCGTCATTGTTCCGTAAAAAGTCAAGCGAGAATGTATTTGTCAAACTGAAAAAGCTACATAACAAAATTTATTACATGAAGAAAAGTCAATTCCCCGATAGTAAAGGCGAAATGAAGTGGGCTCTCGTGTTGCTCCTGCCACCATGTTGATACAATCGAATTTTCATATACGGTTTCGCACTTTTGTTGTGTCACGTATCTCTTCAAATAACTCACATTAACTTTTCAGTCTTTTCCCCGCAGGTGTGGTGTAAACTTCCCTTAAAGTTGGATACTCCTTTCACCGGGAATTGTTTGTTGCGCGATGTTATTCATCAATTTGTATTTATTAAAGGCGAACCTGATGCTGATGAAGCTATCTGGGGTGAAAGTCATCTAAGAAAAAATGTCACTCGGTATCGAACGCTGTGTATCAAATGAGACAAAGGTTAACTTGGAAATCGGTGCTCGTGACCATCAATTTGAAATGCTCGCCTAACCAAGAACGCCTGATACAACGAAAAAAAGGCAATCGAAATTAATTAAGGCTTTTTAATGATTCATATGTAAATGCCACTTGAAGCTATTTAGCATTGTAGTCAAATAAATCGAGCTGTGTCTGTACGTAGGCCTATTATTTTTTACCAGATCCCTTTTACATGTTCGTCTCTGTTTCGTCCCTCCATGAAGTCTCGTGAACTTTTACACTGTTATGTTTTAAAGGAATGATGTATTTCTCAATTGTGCAAACTAACATCCCTTTCTAATTGGCCAAACAAAGAAAATGTCAACTTTCGAGAATTGCTGCAGTAAAAGGCGTTTTTGCAAGGGCCCTTCTCTTTCCTCTAACATTCTATACTATTTGATTATTGTGATTCCTGTGTTTGTCCCTTTTTAATTTCACATTATCAAAATACATCTTAAAGAATTTGCTCAAATTATATTTATATTTGCATAACCGCACTTCCCCATATTTACCTCAAATAATCATTTTCTTATACTTACGTACTTGCATTTCCCATCTAGAGACACTTTTTTTCATTTATTAATACTACAAATGATCTGTCATTTTCCCTTTTCCTGTGCATTTTTTTCGAGAAACTTTTTCATAAAGATTTTTTTCAATTTAACGTCGCGCATCATTTTGTGGCGCATTATTTCCTGTAATTTTATTAATATTGCATGGTTTTCATTTACTTCCAGTGCAAAGTGCGAGGACGAAGGATATTTCCGAGCATTATTGATATTTCGTTTTGTTTATTCATACAGGTGTTAAAAGGAACAGCAACATTGAGAGGGACTTCACACCTATGTAAGTGAGCCGACTCAATGATAGGTCAGTAAATTGCAATCAACAACATGTTGCAATGAACGCCAGCTTTTCTCTCCGAGGGCCGACCCAACCATTAACAGGGGATAAGTGCTTGTAGTTGTACTTAACTCGTAGAAAATGGGTTGGAGTGTTAAGTTATGTGTGGGCCCATCAAGTCACCTATTACTTGATCGTCGACACCGTAATTACTGAGGTTTAGTGTTTGCTGAGGTATTGACTTCACTCTAAATCGCTGTAATCAGTGCTAACGAGCTTTAATCTCCCACTATACCGCGCTTATACGTAGAAAGTCAAAGACCAGAGAGGCCTAAATCAACAGGCCAATAGAATGTCCAGTGGTTCAAGAGAGGCTCATCGATATGATTGGTCAATAGGGGTTTTAGCGTCGGGGTCGTTCGGTGCATTTTCCCGAGAAGGCTAATACATTAGTTTGTCCTGTCATCCATTCTTACGCCAACCAGGGCTATTCTATAAATAATTAAACCATGATGATTTTACGGAAGGTTGGATAGAACCATTTCCCTCAGCATTTAGAAATTAAATTCCAAATGAGGATGTTGACACATAAATCAGAAGGCCATCTTGCTTTTTTTTTTTACAATGATCATTAGTTTATTTATAATTCAAAAAGGTGCCTTTTGTTTCATTGGAAATAATTATCAGATTTTATGGTTTTGGCATATATATATAATAGTTATTATATGAAATAGAAATTAAGTCACTGTGACCAGATGCAGCTGTAGAACCGGTGCAATTCAGTCAACAGTGCACACAATTTCCACGTGTTTTTTTCAACGTCAAAACAAACTAAACCGTGTTGTTTATTTAATCCAAACAGAAAACGACGAAATCAGCAAATGAAACCAACGAGTAATAACAACTTGATTAGTCAGAATTGATGATGGCTGGTGAGGCCAGGTGTGCCAGAGGTGTGTTTCTCTTAATCAGGCTATGAGCGTTCCCTTTCCCTCTTCAGTTTTAAACTACTGCATATTCATGCCACTGTCAACATTTCCCTGTCACTCACAGGTAAACCAGTGCAGTTTAAAGTCAACCTTAAACAATCGCGAGTGGCGTTCGACCCCGCATTTTATATAGTTGGTGGGGTGGGAAAAACTTTTGTCCAACGCTTTTACAATTGACAAGACTTCAATCTGCAAAGATGCGATAAACACACATAAGTAGGGAACGTTCTGTGTGTGTGTATTATGTTTGTGCCTTGGGCATAGAATGCGATCCGAAGCAGCGACCAATCAGCCGCTCGCTATCAATAAAGTCGCTTGCTTGTATTGTGTTGTATTCCACACAGTGGGTGCACAAGTCACCGGGATGATGTAGAAAGCTCACTGCCCCCGAGCACTTTGAGTTTTCCACCCTACTGCGCCAAACTCGAGTTAAGCCCAAGCGGACAACTCGGACAGTTTCAAGCCAACAGGGCAAGAGGACGGACGTGTCGGAAGAGGCTCCTATCGGAATAGTGTTCATCGTCCACAAGAACCATGAACAAGCTCGCTGGAGCTTCAAGTAAGTGGACAAGGACGTTTATTTAGTACTTTATTGATCAATTGATTTACTTTTGGTTGTCTCAATGGACTTTGGGCCTATAGTGAAAACTCAAAGCAGGTGTGGCAGACTGCGTGGAGCCGTTACTATTTATAGTTTAGATATAGAAGGTAATGCTGAAATAAAATAAGGAAAAATAGGGAAAAGTTTGCATTAATGTACGTTAAAATATACTTGGATTTAGATATTTCAAATCAAGCTGCATTTATTATGCATTTATTATTTCTTAAACAACATTTTTGGTTTTAAAATTGCTAACTTGTTTTGAGAATTGAGAAAGGTCGTGCACATATTCAGTCAGTAATTTTAGACAATTAAAAAATATTCATCTACATATAAAAATGAAATAGATACGATTATGTTTTATTTACAAATAAATAAACGTCAATATTGATCGGAAAAATAGTTTTTGTTGACTGATAAAATGCTACCTCTCTGTCTCTCTCTCTCTCTCTCTCTCATTTTTAAATGTCTATTTAAAACACATTTTCTTTGATATTTTTTGCTTTAAATACCTCTTCATATATATCTATATAACTTTATAGCGTTGGGATTTATTTTTTAAAAGTAGATTTCTGTAAACGCAAACTATTCAACCTTTATTTCTGTTTGTAGATAATTCAAAATTTCATTTATTTAAATGATAAAGGATATCTTCTATTTTATTAGATGATTTAGATTATACAACTGACATTTATCTATTGTTGTAATTTCCAAAGTTAATAACCGGCTTACTTCCTCCTTTTGCATGTTATTCCGAATATGACATTCTGACTGCGGATTTTTCAATATCTTAAGTTCTAAACGCAGGTGAAACGGATATGTTTAATAAAAGAGTCAGTATCTAATCGATCAGCTTATTTTAGTCACCTAGCCCTTTCCTTTTGAACACACTTTATTAGTCGTTAGTGTATTATTTGAAATGATGAATTAATAATGAACATCGATGATGGAGTAAGAAGCGATGCGTTAGAGATTTCCGAGCGCTCATTCGGGCATTCAAAGTCGATTTCCTGAGGAAAATAAGAGATTTATGAAGTCGAGAAGATTTGATGAGATTGAGAAATTATTGTTTTCTACAGGTTTTATTCTCTAAGATAAAGGATTTCCTGTGAAATTATTTGATAACTTACAATTGCTTTATATGAGTTTTATTTGATGAGTTTAAGAAATCTATGTTTATACGTATGGCAGTGCCTTATACGATCGCGTGGCTACTGCTGAAACACATGTCCCAAATTTCCTGTTACATACAATCAATTGCAGAAATATAATTGTTTCTATTTCCCCAGTCGACGAAATTAGTCTGGAGGACGAGGCATTTTCTTATGACAGGTTTTCCTGAATTTCCAGCCGGTCAATTGATATGAATCTGAGAATAAAACTGAAATTTCCTGTAAAATCTTATTAAACATTTTGAGCAAATCCGACTCTTTTTCTTTGCTTTATTAGGGGTTGATCGAAAAAGATACGAATAAATCGTTAATGCAGTGGACGGAATAGAGTTTCATAGGGATAGACGTATAAAATATTAAAAATTAAAATTCGACTAGATACAAGACCGCAGAAATGTTGCTTATGATAAAATTGCTTTGTTTGTCGTATTTTGACCATATTTGGTTTGCCTGATTAATTCAAAAATATACCATATTAATCCTTAGCCGGCAGATATTTATATTAGCAAAAGTATGTGCGAGCTAGCTGACTAGTCAACACCACTCCCAACGGCAACGGTGTGTTTTTTAAAAATATTAGTGGATATTATGTAAAAAAAAAATAATATCATGATGCTGACGTTTTGCTTATACATTTCTACATGTAATTAGGGTTAATAGACGTCATGAGCTTTGTTTCATTAACATCTGAACATAATATGCACACTTTTTTGTGTGATATTTTATGTCAACGTTCTTAGCTTTTATTGTAAACGTTTATTATTTTCGCTTGTGTGACAATGACTTTTCATGTCATCTCAAAAGTTAATCCCGTTACAAATACTGCCAACTTGTCATCTAGTGAAAGAGAAGAAAAATTTAACCTCAATTACGATTATTACAATCCCGTCAAAACGGCTTTTGAAAAAGAAGAGGGTCTGTCAGCAAACTAAGAAGGTGTTATCGGAAATGTGTGCTAATTTTCTACCTTTTGACACATTCTTGATGGGTTAAGTTGAAACATTCGTGAGTCAAGTGGCCCAACTTGTCAGTTTCAACAACTGTGACACGGAAAGAATTTAACAGCCTTGTAATATGCCACAATTTACGCGACATTTGGGGCTAACCCACCAGCGGGAGAGCTTTTGTTAGAAGTGACCTTTTTGACGCAGTGTTTATCTAACCTCCTCAATTTTTGGCAATTTGGATCAACTTAATCTTTAAATGATACTGAAATGAGCGCTGATTAATATCCAGAGGAATCTATATATTCTTTCCAAACATTTTGTAAAAAATAGGGCACATGAGTTTCAAAACTCTTAAAATAAGGTATATTTTTTCCATCTCCAAGTTGATCGTGGAATGCAGTTATCTAAGCCCGATAAATCAGTACCTTTAACCTATATGTTTTGACTAACTATCAATATGAAGATGAAGATTAAGATTTTTGCGTCAAAAATTTCTTTGACTTTTAGAATATCCCTAATATATACTTATATATACATACAATATATAATTATAAGATTATTTCCATTCTGATTTTTTTCCCAATTTTCAGGCCGTATTCTTATGGATATCCCGTGTAAGGTGTGTCAGGACCACTCTTCGGGGAAACATTATGGAATTTATGCTTGCGATGGGTAAGTTTTGATTTTTTTTTTCTAGATTAACTTCAGGGTTTTATTAAGTTTTGTCCCATTATTCATCTGATTTATTACTTGTTTGTGTATAGATTATACCCTGTAACTATTTAAAACCGTACACAATTTATGATTAAATGTTAAAAAGACTTCTTAAGAGGCTTCGGTGTTAATAGATTTTTAAAGGTTTCTTTATTAGCACAGTTACTAATATTTTGTCATTTCTTTCTTTGCAGATGTGCAGGGTTCTTCAAGGTGAGTAGAGAAAATGATTACGGAGTGAGACATCTTGGATTTTCTACAAGGTTTTCTACATAAAAATAAAGTTTTGTTCGTTTCGGGCTCAAATTGTAATTTATCGAAAATGTATTTCAATTGAAATATAGTCGGTATATTTCTTGGTTACTGTGCTTTTATATTGATGCTTTAATTGGAATATTTTTCAGCGCTCCATTCGCCGAAATCGCCAGTATATCTGTAAGTCACGCGGGCAGACTGGGGGATGTCCAGTAGATAAAACCCACAGGAACCAATGCCGAGCCTGTAGGCTCAAGAAATGTATGGACGCTGGTATGAACAAAGATGGTACGTTGATAATATCTTTTCTTTTTCTCTCCCTATGATTTCAAAGATTTTTGTTTGGTTTTTTATTTATGCTTTTATTAAAAATGTTATGACATTTTGTTTTTTCCCAACTGTTGTTGCACCCATATAAAAAGCAACAGTATTTTGTATTTTCTTGCTTTCTTCATCATTCAGCCAGATAACTTTTTTACACAACTAGTTGTTGTTGTACAACTCGATTTACGAAACTTCTGAAGAAGTTTGGTCGTGTCTTAAAAATAAATGTAACAAAAGAAATAGGGATGACCCTTTGGTACAGTTGAACAAATAGGCCCTGGACACCTGTGCCAACTTTGGTTGCATAGGGGAGCGCCTCGGCGTTCAAGGGTCGAGAGCTCCGGGCCAAGAAACTTTTCTACAAAGTCCACGACTTGCAGTTACGTCATTAATCAATGAGTGAAGCAGTTGAATAGCAGGGCCGATGCCGTATTTGTATATCTGTTCTTCGAGCCGCAAAGCAGTGTATTCAGTATTTTCTTATGACTTCGTCATTCCTGTACAATGCACTGCGGGGGCACTCGGTGCAGTTTGTTCACCCTTGAGTCAGGGGCAAGATAAATAAGACTTTCTAAGACTGTCGCACCTTAACTAAAACAGTCACCAACTTGAAGGCAAAATAATTAAAACAACTCCTTATTGTTATTGTCCTTTATCCACGATAGTGATGTTAATTGAAGTTCATCACCAGATACTTGGTCTCAATGCCTTATAAGGCAATGTAGTGAGTCAGAGTTATTTTCTTTTACGGATAAATGAAGCAGATTTTCGGAATACTCGTTTTGCAGAGTATGCGAACTGAAACCACTTAAAACATGTTTTGTGTAGATATAATGAACAATTTTGACACATTTATATCGAATAAATAAACAATAAAATAAAGTAATAAATAAATTCCGAAATATATTTTTATCGTTTTCTTAAACTGCGGATAGTCATTTTATAATTTCACCAAGGATCTTCTAATGGTAATTTTTTGTCTGGTGTGAACCAATATTTGTTGCTATTCCATTTTGCATTCTTATCGAAGCAATTAAAATTTTTCAAAATTTTTTCTATAATATTCTATAATTTGGTTGCAATTTAGGATATAAAATTAAAAAGGGCGATTACTAAAAACACAATACACGTGCCACAAGGAAGCGCAATTACTTCTTTAATAAGTATTTAAAGTATAATACCCCGAGGGAAGGGTGAAGAAATAAGAAAAGCTTTTTGCGTTTTTCCCTTCTGTGAAAAATTTCAAGTGTTTGGCGTCCGTTTTCACTTACCTCTTTGGTCGCTCCAATTGCAGCTGCGCAAATAAGTGGGCATTGTAAATGTATTTATTAAGTAGTGGCTTTTGGTATAAGACCAAATCACACAGGCGCAAGTAACACTGAGGTTTAAAGCACCTAAGTCCGATGGGCTTTAACATAATTCCCTTTTACTGATACAGAATTAATGAAAACCTAATTGCTGTTAACATCGCATTGACACAGTAAACCGACATTCCAACATGGCTTGGCTTTTACCTTTGTCAGGTATCTATTCAAATTGCATTCAATTAGCCTTATTCATTTCATTTCTGATTAATTCTTGCCAATCATATAATTTATGAAAATATTATCCCAGATATCAGAAATCAAACCAAGTCAGTGTAAGCGAAACAAAAGTGTGCATTGCAGGCGCAAAAGGGAAATTCAACAGCGCGCAAGGACAATATGAAAATATTTGATCGCACTTAAGGGTAGCAAGTGCATTGGGGACAGCGCCGCCGGTCAAGGGGGGTTTAAAGCTACTTGACCATGTGACAAAAGGTGGACACATTAATTTTGGTAAATGTCTGACTCTTTTCCTGGGAAGTAAAACCCATCTTTTGCGGTAAAATTTCATAACATTATCAAAAGAAGCATCTTTTGTGAGATTTAGTTTACAAATACACTCGATATGTGGTAAAAGGATACTTCAGTGAAATCGAATTAGGAGCGAACAAGGTCAAGTGAATATCCTACGCTGTTTGAAGTTTAAAACGAAGGGAAATAACTATTACGCCACAGTTTAAAGCCCACACCAAATAGTCGTAAATGACCAAATTTTTCCCAGTGAATTTTGCCAAATCGCTAATATAATAAGACAGAAAATTGTAGAGGCGAAAAATGAGTTGACTCAACATTTTTGATAAGACCAGGTGGTTTTGCTATCTCTTATGTATTATCTTTGATGACTGTTCGATATAATACATTGGTATTAGATTTCCAAGCCACGTCTTTCACGAAGGTGGGTGCGCACAATTTTAAATTTGATTAAATCTGGAAATACCGCTATTAGAGAAAAGGAAAATAAGACTATTAGATATCTTTAGGCTGTGCTGTTAGCCTTCCAGTAAACTATCCCACTACAGATGAGAGTGGTCAGGCACGCCAGGTTGAAGTAGAAAAGAAGCTTAGCCAAAGTAATCTCTTTGCTTACAGTTCAGGTTAGGTTAGGACGTAAATTGAACTCGACTTAATCGATTTAATTGATTTTTACCCTCAATAGCTTTTAACTCTTTTTCAAGCGCAGGTCTCTATTGACTTTTGTTCTTTCGCTGAAAGAAGCCAAGTGTTTTTTCTTTTAACTTTTTGCATTATGCATTGCTTAAGAAATCCGAGTTTGTTGATTTTTCCTTTTGAGAATTAGTTTTATCGCCCGGCCTGTCATTAGATAAACAAAAAAGTGTTAAGAAAATGGACGAACCATGTTCTTCGCTCACTTTAAGAATGATTTTAAGAGTTTGAAATTACACTACTCACTCCTTATACTATATAAGATCACCCTTCCGGAAAATCGACGGATCAGAAAAATCAGTGCCTCGGGCTAGGGCTCAAATTTTCAATCCATCCATCAAATATTATCACAGTTTTTGGAGTTTGACATTTCCATTTGCTTCGAGAGATACAAACAATTATAGATTATTTCTGTTTTTGAATCAGTTTTCGTGAAAGTTGATAAATGTCAGGTAGTTTTGACTTCAAGTCTTCCTTCATTCTGAGTTGGTGGTGCATGTGATGAGCGAAAGTCACATTTCTCTTCAAATCACAATAGTATCACGTTTGGAATTCAATTTAGTTATCGAAATAAACTGTGCCAATTTCGACTTCCCCTTTCCATATGTGCCGATGGTTTGACGGATCGGATACGATAATGGTTCATAATTTACCTTGAATTTTATCCAGTTATACCCAGCGTTTTTGTTTCATGAAATGCTTTAAAAGCGTGAAGATCTATTTGTGGGAAGATATGTAAATGCTGAGCTGGGAGCTTATCCGCGGCCCAAAATACTCCACCAAAACGGATTTTGATCACAACATATAAGCACTTTTTTATTTACTGTTAAAGTACAGCCTTCCCATTAAATCAAAAACAATGTGTCGAAGCGTTTTTTTAATTTTTATTTTAGTTTTGAATGACATTCGATCAAAATGAAGTTCGTTGTCATCTGTCACCATTAAGTCTCGATGCGTGGTCTCAGATTTTAGTGTTGTTTTAAAGCAAATTATGTTAAAACGCATTTAACATGGCATGTTTAAATCTCATTAAGCTAATTATTTACAAAACTCGCATCATTTAGATACTTCTTTGGTCTCTTTTTTTTAAATTCATCTTTTATCATTTTATTTCGTAAAATCAATTTATTTGAAAATACAATTTAGAAAAATTATTCCAAAGGTTTTAGTCTTAATTTAATTTCAGCACAGAACCAAAGACATCTGTTTGTTTTAAGCCAATTAACTTCTTTATTTATTCAGTAAAGGCAGCCTTATAAAACATGTTTATATATAAGAAAATGTATATTCAAATAGACAAACATGTGATTCTGTGCAAGCCACGGTCCTTCCATTCATAGTTGAGCATGGACGCAATAACCTCCGAAATTTGATCCATTTCTCACTCACACAAGCTCGATTGGTTTTACATAAATGTTTGTGTTTAGCTTCTGATATTACGGGTGACAAAATTGCCAGCTTCTATGACTTTGTTAACCGAAGGAAATACATTAGAGCATGCTTTGGCGGTGATGGACGTGAGGGGGAGAAAGGAAATATTCACAGTGAAATAAAATAAAGATTTTTTCACAATGTGAAGGTGCAAAGGAAATGTTACAAATAGGATTTTCAATTAGATATAAAATAAAGCGATTTTTGAGCACTATTAGAAAGTGCCGTAGATGTTTTTTAATTAAGAAAAAAGAACTCACTGTGTATTTATTTGGGAGAACAGAAAGTATATTAAAGCAGCGACTTTGCCAGTTGAACCGAAAAAGTTGTCGTTTCAAAATGTCGAGTTATGACCCTAAACAAAACAAATCAAAACCGCGCGATTCCAATTTTCTTCGAGCTCTCCCCGATCTCGTCAGGGTGCACCACGGGTTCAAACCTACCGTTGACCGCACACGGTTTAACACTTTGTTGACTTTCAAAGTCATCCTAATGAATCGCGCAGTCAACCACGGTTTTATTACACAAGAAGTGCCATTTCCACCCAAACAGAAAAGTGAAAATTTTACAAAGCTCCACTGTTTATAATTGGAACCGTGAATGAAAACCTCCTACTAGATGTTGGCAGAATTCGACAAAGCCCGCAATGAAGTAAAACATGTCGTTTGAGATTATTTATGTTACACCCCTGTGCAAATGTGCATTCGGATAAAGCCGATGGATGGGTGCATTGTGGGACAGATCAAATGGCAGGGAGATTCTATGCGGGATATGTTTGCTTTTTGCTAATAAAAACGCGGTGACAGCTTCTAGTTCGCGTTGCGAAAAGTGACTGGAGCGCCTCTCATTATGGCCTTCAATATTTGTTCTCGGGATGGAATTCAAGCGGCGTTTGTATTATATACATAACTTGAAATTTTATCAAAATAATCAATTTTGGTCAAACGCACTCGTTCCGCCCCTGCCCCGCCGTTTCTTGTTAAGTGGTGCTAGAACTGAAAGGGGAGAAGTGACGGTTTTGTGGCCATTACAAACGCCTGCAAGGTACGGAAACGAAATTGTCACCCAAGAGAAAACATTTGACCCCTTTTTCAAAATGGACGTGACATTAAGACTAGGGAAAAGAATATGTCCAAAAAAGCATACGGTGAAACAGTCAACCTATGCTATGTCGCACTGAGGGTCTCTATGGATTCCCCATAGTACCGGTTGCTAGCAATTTACGCTCTGGTAGTTACAAATGAAAGTATATTTCTGCCCTTTGGCATTTGGGCACATGCCCTATTAGCGTTTTTTAAATCTGTGTTTTGATGTGAATATTGAAAAGTCGCCAAGAGTCATCAATTGAATTAACGAAAAATCAAAGGTTACTTATACCTGGGAAATTTTCGCCTATCAAATTCAGGTTTGTTTGTTGGTGTAGTCAGTGAAGAGAAAAATGATTGTCTATGACACCATTTCAGAAACGAATTACCCGATTTAACACAATGAAAGCATGCATGACAATTTGAAATATAACCCTCGATTTGCAACATTTTACTTCTTGTGATATAAAAATATATCATGACGTGATCGTGTGACATAAGCGTACTAAATAAGAATCTGCAGCAATGATAAAGAACAATCCTCTCATCTTTAATAGAGCTCTTTTTACATTATGTAATATTTCCCCATTCTAGCCGTGCAACACGAAAGAGGGCCGAGGAATTCTACAATCAGACGTCAAGTTGCAATGTACCTCAAAGAACAAAGTGAACTGGGCATGCTTGCGAGCAATCCATTTCGGCCACCGTACATTAATGCCGTGATGGGCCTCTCGCCATCTGAAATGCCTGTGGAAGGAATCTCCATCAGTACCGGATCCTCACCATTTGAAGCCTCACATCCGGGTCTCTTACCTTCTCTCACAAGTAGGATGATCTGCCATCCGATACCAAAGGTACTTTTGAAAGAGATTACAGGAAATTGAACAAGATTACAGGTCATAAGGAAAATTTTACATGAGTGAAAATACAAAACGATAATTTGAATGATGAAATAGAGCTGTCGGTTTCATACATTGATAATTCGAGAAAGGTTATTGCACAAGTAAGGTTTGGTCTTTTCTGGTAAAATTTTCTAAAATTTTAATCAAGGATGACTGAAAATATTTTTTACATTTAAGACATCAAAAACATATTTACATCTCGCTCAATTTAAAACTGAATATTTCTTTAGTCACTGAGAATATAATATTTTTAATGAAAAGAATTACGAATAACATGTATCGATCAACATTTCAGTACCCCCACGAAATTGCTCAAGCTTACTTTAACAGTCCCGAGGCAGTGTGTGAGGCGGCTGCAAGGTTACTCTTTATGAGTGTAAAGTGGGTGAAGAGCGTCCCCGCCTTCAATAGCCTCTCGTACAGAGATCAGATTCTCTTGCTGGAGGAATCGTGGAGAGAGCTGTTTGTGTTGGGAGCCTGTCAGTTTCAAATACCTATCGAACCTGCTTCCCTCATGGCTGCTGCCGGTAAGTATACTTCAGTCGAAATTCAGCATTTCTTTTTCTGTAGAATTTCTTTCAGAAGTACATTTAAGAAATTTCCATTCTTGTTTGCTTTGTGGAAACCATTTCTGTATGTGTATTACAAAAAAATATGTGAAAATTAAACATATATTAAATTCAATTATATTTACTTATACACAAAAGTTAGACATCTAACTAGAATAAAGTTATAATTGTCATATTTTATAGGCATTACCTCAGAAACGTCGCCACCAGAAAAAGTAGTATCTTTTATGGCAGACATAAGGCTACTTCAAGAATTGGTTGTCAAATTCAAGGCCATGCAGATTGATCCAACAGAATATGCCTGTCTGAAAGGGATAGTTCTTTTTAAAACAGGTAAGTTGTTAACAAATACTTTAAAATAGGTCACTTCTGTCAAGGTAGCATTAAAAATATTGAAAATCTCTGATATATTCTTGCTTGACGCGGTTTTGAATGTACAAAAAGGCGAGTAGGGTGTCTTCATTATGCATATGCTGTAAAAATATGAACGCGACAAAAATAAAAATAGACTAAAACATTAATTTCTTTAGACTTTATGAACGTCGAAAATGCTTATAACCACCATCACGACGTTTTTTTAAAAATTATTTTTATTCACATTTTAATTTGTTCTCACTCACCCATTTAAATGTGATTGAGCAGAGAGAAAAAAAGGGCAATATTCCTTTTATAAGATTGTTGTTATACATAACCTGACAAGACAGCTTGCCAATTTGATATTTAAGGAGTCTTTTTAACAGAAAGATAGTATGTAAATAAATAATCGTCCGGTCATTGTTAATGTCATGTCAACATAAGCTGTGCACCGAATGACCCCTCTGCAGGCATACTTTGAAATAAATCAGTGAAATATGCTTACAGGTCTGTGGCAATGTTTTGGATTTTGTGTTTTGATAGTGACGCAATATTGTGGAAGTTGCGATTTGGTACCTCAGAGGCTCTTAAATTCATACCCCATGAACCCTTCTTGAACAAAAAGAAGTGAAACATACAAGGCTTCTTCTAAAAGCATCTGGCTACTCTTTAAATTTAGTCGTGATTTTGGAGAATTCTTTCTTGATTTGTTGCCCGGGCCCGTGAAAGGAATGCTAAAGCCACACTCTGGCTGGAACAAATGGACCGAAGGCAGATCTAAGTCACGTAGTGCGAATCAACTAAAAAGGAGACCCCTAGAGAAATTAACAAAGGTTTTTAGGGTTTTACAAGTGACCAGTGTGATTGACTTTGTTTCAATGTGCCCACAATCTGCCACCTTCTGCTCCGCCCCCACATGGCTAGCCTTAGGTTTGGATAAGGTCGTGGGTTCCCACGCGCAGCCACTGTGCCGTCTTCTTTTAATGACATTTTTTACACCGTAAATAAGGCTACTAAATCTAATGTAGAATAAAAATGTTTATGTAAATCAATGTACAAATACAAATCTAATTTTCATTTTATATCGACGCAGAGATTAAAATTAAAAAAGGAAAAGAAATAAAAAACAACACACATACTTATGTACTAATACAACACAAATTCTTAATGTATATTAAATAACTCACATTTTCACTTCTTTTCGCTACTCGATTAAGTGTTGAAGTCAAACCTATCATTTTGTCTTTATACATTTCAGTCTTCCAGAACGCAAATTCAGATATGAAGTCCCTTCGTGACTTCCACGCCGTTGCTAGCCTCCAAGACCAAGCTCAGCTGACACTCAGCAAGTACATACAGACAGCTTATCCAACACAACCTTTCCGCTTTGGGAAACTTCTTCTGGTCCTGCCTCAGCTGCGCGGAATATCCACCAAAACTATTGAAGAACTGTTTTTCAGAAAGACAATCGGTTCCATTCCCATGGAGAGGCTACTCATTGACATGTATAAGTCTGGCGATTTCTGACTAGATGTTCCTACTTACGGGTATGTGCGATCTTTTTAAAAAGGAAGACAGGGTTTAACTTGCGCCGTGAGTTTTTGATATTCTTGGCAAAGACGGCAAACAAACCAATATCGCAGAGTCGAACATAGCGATACCTCTTACCGCTTAAGACACTGACATGCAACGGGTGTCATTGGGAAGACTAAGTCCTTGTAGTATAGTTTCCTAGGTTATATATCGGATATATGTTCCTACGCTCAACAGTGCACCTGTCTTTGTGTTTTATTTATGCACAGAACAAGTTGTCTTACGAAATTAATGGGGATACAATTGTTTGTAATTAATATCTTGCCAAATGCTCACCATTATTATAACTATGATTTGGTGAGTGACCAGAATGATTTTATGACTAGAATTGTTTCACACAGGTGCGTGAAACAAGATAGGGGAGTGCTGGGCACGGGTCACAACGCTGTTCACACTGTTTGTATTGCGATTGTCCAGAGTAAGTAACCTGGAAAAATCATGTTGTTGCTTTGCTTGCTGGTATTACGAAAGTGGTGTTTGCAAAGAAAATCAACTTGTAGGCCAATTATATGCTATTGTACACGAAGTTTTCCAGTCACTTTTGTAAATTGTTCTTATACATGACAACTGGGTAGTTTTCATCAAAGATGTAGGTACCTGGAAAGACTCCTGCAGTTAACCAAACACATGTCGCTTCACCTGTGTCATCAAAGTCATCAGAAAGGGAGAAAACAAACTAAAAGAATGCTTGCTGGAGAGCAAGTGGCAAAACATGGGTATTGTGTCAAGAGGAGCTTGCTCACTGTGTAGCACTAATACTATTGTACAGTCTGAATATTTTGTACTGGGTAACTCTCTGCCGATCGGTGTCACTCAGTACAGCGTATTCAGGAGCGACACTTTCTTAGCCACATAAACAATGTCATGCCTTGACTTTAACTATAGAGGGGAACATTTGCACTTGATCTGAAACTTGTCTTCTTACAATGATAAACACACAAACACGTGAATCAACAGAGTTACATGCAAAGCTACAATAGTCATTTTGCAAAAGTTCTTTATTTCATTTTATATTTACATTTTTGTCAAGTTTTCTTTAGAATACTGGGTGCAGATTTTTAAAAAATTGCACCAAAATATCGAAGAAGGGACTCTTGAATTTTAAGTCTGTAAGGTTATGATAATTAAAATTTCAAGTTAATTTCTTTTCCGAACATCAATTTTTTGGAATTTGAATTGATAAAAGATAAATAATGGATTATAAGTAATTTTGAAAAATTATGTGTTAGAAAATAATATAACATAATTACACTGACCAAATTGCAATGACGAAATGTGATGGATTACCTCATTGAGTGACAAAATAATATTAGTATAAAGTGTAGAAATTCTCAGATGTGCTGGTATTCCAGTTGAGTAAAAAATGGCAGGTCCAAAGTCATTCGACAAACTCAGGTATATTATCACCGTTTGTAAAACGGGGCATAGCATTGTTATTATTTTATTTCTTCTTTCTTAAATCAAGATGTAATAACGCAGGAATAATTTAATCTAATTATTATAGATGTTGATGAAATTGTATATACTTTTATATATGTTATTATTATTATTATTATTAATTTTATTTGGTTTGACACGATTTTGAAAATCGGCTTACTGACTTCTCTTAAATGTAGAGTAATTCAATAGATAGTTATATAGATTGTGCAATTTCATCCGTTGGCTAAAAAGCAGTTATAGGAGGGGTGATGAAAAGAATTTATACAAGAAATATGACTCTGTTGGCCAATAGTTCTAATTTGCTGTTAGCTTTATAATAACTCTAACGTTTTGTTTGTTTTTATAAACGTATCCCCGAAGTAGTTGTTAACTTTGGTTGGTGCAGTGTGATTATGTCACCCTTGCTGAGTTCAAATTCTTATGCGTTCAATACTTTATTCCTATTTAATTTCTGATAGACGCTTTTACTTGTAACCCATAAAAAGTACACCACTTTCACGATCATTGTTCGCATGTATTCGCATCCATTTCTGTCTTGTCAATAAAAGATCTAGACATAATTACATGTATTCAAATCTCACCCGTGTGCGTGCGTGTGTGCAGGCGGAATATGAGCAATGTCAGAATATCAATACAGTTGAATTGTTCAGTCAGAACCGTTTCTTTAAAATATGTCAAACATGTTTCTGTCAAACATGTTTATTCGTGTGAAAATGATAAAAATTGAGTACGTAGGCATAACTCTGTTCCGGGGACATGAAGTAAAACGAAGGAAATATTTTTAAAACATCTACCAACAATAAACCAGTCTAACGGGTAAGCCTATTTATTCTTTTAAAAGGAAAAAAACAAAAGAAAGAAAAAAAAACAAACATTCTAAATCATTGTTGAATTTTTTCGGTCTTTAACACTTCAACAAAAATATCTTGGAATTGTTTCTTTTACAGAAGGATCAAGACAATAGGGGGAGGGGGGTCTACAGTGGCCCATGGACTACTAAACATAATATAAATTTTCGTAGATACTGCTGCACATATATAGATAATTTTAGTATGACGTCATCAACAACGACAAGACGTCACTGACAGTCGTCGCGTCATATAGCTGGGCACTTGCTTACGTAGATGACGCAATAGACGCGCTGGGTTTGTTTCAGATGTAAAAAGTTTATGTTGAGTTGTGTCAGGAGGTTGAATATAATCTATTAGATCTAGAAGCTATTTTCTAGATCTATCTAGACAGGGCCTATTTAAAATTGTTTTTCCAAGAAGTGTAATGGGGAAAGATAGAAGACCCAAACCACGCAAACGGGCAACCATTGGAGAAGAAAAGGGAGAGGATAAATGTTATGAAAACAAACACCTTTGCGACGGCAGTGGTGATACTGGCGATGTTAACATTCCAAACCTTTATAAAAGCGAGGGGAAAGAAGATACGGAAAACGTAACCGTAAAAAGCGGGAATGGTTAGTCATCAATTAGATATTCAAACATACACCATTACTACAACAAACCCTTTATTTAATTTTTCTTAAAACATATTTCAATATGTCGAGACATAAATCTGATAATGAATGTTACATACCATATTTAAAGTAATTTTTAATCATTGCGAGAGGTTTAAGATCCATTAATTACCAATGGCATTTTTCTCTTATAAAGTTTTGGTTCAAAATGGAGAAATAAAGAAAATACCACGCCCTATGAATCCTTTCATGTTGTTCGCCTTTGAGCAGAGACGAAAACTACAACAAAAATATAGAGGAGAACCTAATAACAAGATAAGTTCCAGGTAACGTCTAATTAGTTTTAGAAAATATATGAATACGGTTGGAACACGATGGATGTTTGAACCGACTGATATAATATAGGAGCGTAAGATTAAGGGGTTTCGATACGTTAGGGCGGTTCCTTATCCGCAAAGATAGGGAAATATGCGGAAATAAAATTGAATTGACGAATAACGGTTGGTTACCCAATATTCAAAATGCGCATGGGTGGTGAAAAAGTCAACGAAATGGGAGCTTGTGTTATTACTACACTAATTTCAATATAAATTTAACGTATCGAACCTCTCTTAAGGCACATAATCAATTTATATGGCAATAGTAACAATTATCTGGAATTTTCGATAATGCCCCTCCCCCAGCCCCCATTCCCGATCACCAGAATATACCATATCTACATCTGGTCACAAAATTACGATTTATAAACACTTTTTTCAGTTCCAAATTTGTAGTTTTTGAGATATTCTAGTAATAGAGATAGAGAATTTCACTGGGGACGGTAAAAATTTGAAAATTGTAACTCATAGATCATTATTTTCTCAGCCGTTTTTGGTATTATATGTATGTATGAAATTGGTGTTTTCTGATATTTCCAGAATTTATTTTACTGTATAAAAGTCCAACGCACATAGCATGCCTCTTAACTTTTTGTCTAATATGGAGGTTATTTGGGCGACACAGCACAACAACTTTAAGACTGGCCATTCGCCTAAGCGAGATTCAAATCCAGTTAAACAGAATACCCAACTGTCACACAAAACACAGAGATTATTTTAAAACAAATCCGTATCTACCAGTATATAAAAATAAATCATCGTCCCATGAAGCAAGATATTCCCACATGTTAGGAAAGAAAAGGGACACACTGGAATGAAAGTATTTTACATACAAATAAATTTTTGAATTCAGTTCTTAATGTCAGTATATGTTAAAAGTCAGAACGGAAGGTAAATGCAGTTCTCATTAACTTTAGGTTAGGTGAAATGTGGAGAAATTTGAATCCCGATGAGAAAAATGAATATATAGAAAAGGCAAAGCAAGTAGAGAAAGAGCACAAGCAGAAATACCCAGGTAGGTGATTATGAAGAATGAAAACGATACCACAAATGCAGTAAGTGTGCTTTGTGAGATGTGTCAGTGTAAGGTACATCGCATTCAGACAACTTTTTTAGTTCAACAATATGATCTGAAACGTCTCTTTTTGTAGATTATGTCTACTGTCCTGGTACTGCAAGGAAACTCAAACAAATAAAAGCAGAAGCAAAGCAGAAAATGAACATCCAATTGCGCCAACAAATCAATGAATTCCATCAAATGAAAACAGATACAAGTTACCCATCTGAAGCGAATCGTGCCAAAGAAGAGATGCCAGTTAAACCACAGGACGGACAGTTTCAAAAACACAAGTCACTAATTCATCCACAACAGCAAAGAGTCAGTAATGTTGGACCTGCCTACTTCTCTTATCCTGGGATGATTCCCCAACAAATGATGCCAACAATGCCTTATATACAGCCTATTGTGTATCCTCCATGGGGCCAGTACCTACCTCAGCCAAACTGGATGCAACCGCCGAGAGGAGGCATTCAAGGGATGGCTGAAAAAAGAGATGAAAAAGCATCGAAGCCGGCTGAGAGTAGTAGCTGCCCTGGTAGGATTTTTTCATAGAATATAAAAAATCTACTGACCGTTTAGAAAACTACATTATAACTCCGTCAGTCTCACCATTATTTCTTACTGGGTCATTTTCACCAAGTAAGCCAAATACTAGCGTGTATGACATATAATCGAGTAAATGACAAAAGCAACCTTCAAACTTTAATTTTTGGAAAACAATTCTCCATAATGTAACTTAATATCTTACAAGTTATTGCCCATTGCCTCTAAAACAAAGTTTTGATTTAGCTTTTGTAACTCATGTGACCTTCCCTATAAAAATAATAGTCCATCGACGCTTTGCCGGTCACAATTTCTATCCGTAAAATAAATTACATTGTCAATAAGGGTGGAAGAAATGCTTGCCACCCACAAGATCATGAAGGTACAAATTGAACATACCGTGGCCGAATTCATATACAAAGTTAAAGGGATAATAACTCTTCATATGAGGTTTATATTTCACAATAAAAATATTGTGAATAACTCATAGAAATATAATATATTCTGTTTTACCACAAAAACGGCAGTTATAGCTATTATTGTGATATCTGAGCTTGTCTTTAGACCACGTGACCTCCATTGATGGCTATACTTTGTTAAAATCTCTTAAGAGATTTTAACAAAAAACCAAACTTTTTAGAAAAAAAACCAGGGACTAACTTTGAATATAAAAATGGATTCATTAACCATTGGTAAGTATGGGAAAATTGTTGTTTACTCCAGGAAAATTAATTTTTTGGCCGAAACGAAGAGTTGTTATCCCTTTAACTGGAAGACAGAGAACCATTGAAGGCGAATAAATGAACCATACTTCAGAAGGTCAGGAAGGTAAATACATAAAAAGACAAGGAAATATGTTAAAAATTGGACCAGGAATGTGCAGGAAAAAAATCGCCTTCTCTAACAGCCTACAGGTAGAATCTTATATGCTCGAGTCCGGCATTACGTTTTTTGACTATGATTTTTGTATTAACGGGCCACAGGGATGCACTTGGATCTAATATATATGTCTTGGTTAATGAATTTCAAAATACGAATTTCAGTGCATTTTGAAGACCCTTTATAACACGAAGATCTTTAAACACAATGCTTATTCTAAAATAATGCATTTTCAGCACTGTATACCGCTTCAAACAATGTTAAGCAAGCTGGCGTTTCGGTGGTATACGTCCCTGTTTATATGCCAGGACAACTGGAAAATTCAGCTGTGTACCCATACCTACCACAAATGCACGGAGGAACAAAAAGGTAATTGTCCAATATTTCTTTTCGCATATCAAAACAGATGAAAAGAGATAAAAAGGTGAATTAAGTCCGCAAAAGAAAAGAAAGGATTTATCAAAGCGTACGTTGTACTTAATAGAACATCATTTCTGTATCTAAAAAAAATATATTGAAATTTTACTAAGTTTACAAAATATAGAACCAAAATTGAAAAAATGACGTCAATATTGAAATGATCTGGATTCATTATTTTTTATATCAAGCATGGTTATCTCAATGCCGCAAGAGACCCATAATCAAGATCAGACACATCTGAACAGGAGAACCACCGGTCAGACAAAATATGACCAGTTTACATTGCGAGTTGAGGGGACACAACCACAGCAAGATAGCCAATGTCAGGAAACGATCAGCGACGCTATAAACAGTGGAGAAAATGAGCCACGTAAAACTATTGAAGCTCCTGTTCAGAATGTCTGCGTAGTGCCGTCAGTTCTTCCAGAATTGAAAAGAATACAAGACCAAGAAGACGGCTGCCAATTCGCTTGTGGAGATCCTATAGCAAACACCACAAACTCCGCGGCTTCTGATAATACTTGGTTCATCATTGAAAACGAAAGTCCCAATTTACACGTAGATCCACAAATTGAATCACTGATGAAGCAAGTCCAAAATAATCCTGCAGTGCCCAGCACCTACTCTGATGATGCTATTAACTCTGCAACTCACGTTGACAATGATGCACCGATAATTGTTGACTAATATTTAAAATAAAAATTCGTACATCAAGAAGCAAATGTTTTATGCTTAGAACACGTTTATTTTAACTAACCTCAAAGTTTAACAAGATACAATGCAACACTTA